CCTAGCCTGCCTGGCTCACGGGGGGGGGGGAGGGGGGGAGGACGCTAGACCTATCTAGCCTGGCTCACTTCTTATATCACCTCAGGTAACAGCCTATACCCTGCATAGTCTACATGTTATGTTAGCTTAGTCACTATAGGCTAGCCTGCATGTTATCTTAACAGTCTCCAGCCTAGCATAGCTGGCATGTTATCTTACCTCAGCCACCCACCTAGCATAGCTTGAATGTTATCTTACTCAGCCACCACTCTAGCATAGCCTCCATGTTATCTTAACACAGTCACCAGGCTAGAATACTTAACAAATGAATAATAGAGTTTAACTCGAACAAATGTAAAGTAATGAAGTGTGGAGAGCCTGCGTGTTATCGTACCTCAGCCACCAGCTTAGCACAGCCCACATGTTATCTTACCTCAGCCACCAACCTAATACAGCCCGCATGTTATCTTACCTCAGCCACCAGCCTAGCACCGCCAGCATGTTATCTTACCTCAGCCACCAGCCTAGCACCGCCAGCATATTATCTTACCTCAGCCACCAGCCTAGCACCGCCAACATGTTATCTTATCTCAGCCACCAACCTAGCACCACCAGCATGTTATCTTACCTCAGCCACCAGCCTAGTACAACCCACATGTTATTTTACCTCAGCCACCAACCTAGCACCGCCAGCATGTTATCGTATCTCATCCACCAGCCTAGCACCGCCAGTATGTTATCGTACCTCAGCCACCAGCCTAGCACCGCCAGCATGTTATCGTACCTCAGCCACCAGCCTAGCACCGCCAGCATGTTATCGTACCTCAGCCACCAGCCTAGCACCGCCAGCATGTTATCGTACCTCAGCCACCAGCCTAGCACCGCCAGCATGTTATCGTACCTCAGCAACCAGCCTAGCACCGCCAGCATGTTATCGTACCTCAGCCACCAGCCTAGCACCGCCAGCATGTTATCGTACCTACCTAGCACCGCCAGCATGTTATCGTACCTCAGCAACCAGCCTAGCACCGCCAGCATGTTATCGTACCTCAGCCACCAGCCTAGCACCACCAGCATGTTATCAAACCTCAGCACACAGCCCGTCCTTCAGAAATGGGGAGGTAAATGTAAGAAGTAAATGTAAATGTAAATGTAAGGTAAATGTAAATTCATAGCAGTCAGGAATTGTACTTATTTTCACTTAGTATTAAATCGTACTGTGAAATATATATGTGAATATTTGAGTTTACCTGAAAAACTGAGTAGAAAACCATGACCTCACCTAACCGTCTTAGTTTTTCAAGATAATAATTTTATTGCTTCTTAATTACAATTAGTACTTAACCTATAGCTATATTTATATTATAGTTTTATAAAACTAATAAAACAAAACTTAAATATATCAATAAATTGTAAAGTAACTCAAGATATTTTCCAATTTTGTATAAAATCTCTATTGTTTAATAAAACTGAAAAAGAAATTCCTGATATTTAAAACTTTTGCATAGCAGTTTGAACTTGAAAACTTCATCCTAAGATTCTGAGTGTCTTAACAGAAAATGAGGAGAATAAATGGGTAGGTAAATGTAACAGTCCCATAAGTGAAATTATGTACTGTGTATGACAGTGAGGAAATGTACTTACACTTAATATTAAATCGTACTGTCAATTCGGAGGATGGGTTACAAGCACAACGTGATCGGTGTGAGGTTGGCGCGTGTGTCTGTACACTGTACTCACCCAGTTGTACTCACATGGTGGTGCTTGCGGGGGTTGAGCTCTGGCTCTTTAGGCTCGTCTCTCAACTGTCAATCAACTGTTGTACACTGGTGAACCTCTGCACGTTATGTAAACATATTTCTGAGGTCGAGCGAAACACTGAATGGGGAAATTGGTTTGATTAAACCGTGAAGTAAAACTATATTTATTTATTTATATGCAAGACTGCACATCTGGATGAGAAAGTACACACAAGGCGGGGTTGAGTGTTATATTCTTGCCAAGCCACTAACGTTTCCGACACCTCCTTAATCTAGCCAGTACATGGAATTATAGGTATTCCATTCATTTTAATAATAGTTACATTACATACATTTGTTCTCAAGAACATTATATTGTAATAGAGTGTGAATTCAACATACAAACTACAATGTAAATTGATAGAATAGTTGCATGTCTTTAGTAAAGGTGATGGAGAAGATGGTGAGGTCAAAACCTGGTGGCACATCTCACAAGAAGGGACCTTGTAACATACCACCAATATATAGGTTTAGCCAGGGGGCAAATCGTGCCCCACAGGGTTAATAAAATTCTATGGCCAAGTGAACAATATTTTAGCAAGAAAGAGAAGGGTGGACAGACGGCAATTTCTTGGACTGTCAGAAAGCCTTTGACAGAAACAGTCAAAAGTGACACCTGAAGTGCTCCAGTGGATTAGGGAGTAGCTAAGCAACACAAAACAGAATTACTGTAGCTACAGTAATTATGGCAGAGAGACGAAGTCCACAATAAGAGTAGTGGAAACTAGGCCATAGAGCGACCCCCTAAAAAATCAAAATGGTCGCTCTATGGCCCGGTTTCCACTACTACACTACTAAATTATGGTGAGACTTCAGAATGGTGAGATATGTCACCCGCAGTCACACAGGGTTTTGTTATCGGACCTTTTGCATTTCTGGTATACTGTATGTCAGTGATTCTGGTATACTGTATGTCAGTGATTCTGGTATACTGTATGTCAGTGATTCTGGTATACTGTATGTCAATGATTCTGGTATACTGTATGTCAATGATTCTGGTATACTGTATGTCAATGATTCTGGTATGCTGTATGTCAATGATTCTGGTATACTGTATGTCAATGATTCTGGTATGCTGTATGTATGATCAATGATGTCAGTGATATAGACAATGAGTCTATACCCAGAGGGTAAAGACTCATTCTTCGTAAAGTTTGCTGATGATGCAAAAATGAAGAATGGATTAAGACAGAGGAGGACAGCAAAAGACTGCAAGAAGACCTGGAAAGCCTGAAGGAATGGTCCAACAAATGGCTACTAGAGTTTAACTCGAACAAGTGTAAAGTAATGAAGTGTAGGGAGCAGGAGGCCAGATACAAGGTCCCATTTGGGAGATGAAACCCTTCAAGAATCAGGAGAGAGAAATCTGGGGGTTGATATCACACGAGACCTGTCCCCTGAAGCCTTCATCAGAAGGATGTCATCAGCGGCAAATGCATCTTTGACGAACATAAGAACTGCCTTTAGAAAGTTACGTAAGGAATCATTCAGGGACCTTGTATACCACATATATCAGACCAATCCTGAGGTATGCAGTCAAGCACAAGACAACGTTAGAGAAAGTTTAGAGGTATGCCACAAGACTAGAACCTGAGCTGAGGGTTGTGAGCTACTAGCAAAGACAATTGGAATTAAACCTTAAATCACTAGAAGACAAAAGAGGTAAGGGAGTGATTACCATATACAAGATTCTCAGGGAAACTGACTGGGTAGACAAAGCCAATACTTTTAACACGGGTGGTACAAGAACAAGGGGACACGGGTAGAAACCTAGTATCCAAATAAGCCACAGAGACATTAGAAAGAATTTTGTTAGTGTTAGAGTAGTTAAGAAATGGATTTCACTAAGAAGTGATGTGGTGGAGGCTGGCTCCATACAACAGTTTCAAATGTAAGATATTCAAATGTAGATATGACAGAGCCCAACAGGCTCAGGAACCTGTATACCAGTTGATTGACGGTTAAGAGGCGGGACCAAAGAGCCGAAACTCAACCCCCGCAAGCACAACTAGGTAAGTACACTACCTCTCGGCAGTGTACCCGGTTTAAGGGTAAACCCCGTGGAACCGCCTACCCGCCGAAGCCGTAAACCCCAAAACTCTGCTGGGTTTTAAAATACAGTCGGAAAAGATCACCAGGAAAAATTGGGGGACATTTGACAAGCCACCGGCTTCCTGTCCTCGTCGACGCCACTAGTATTAGTGGACCTCATGTAAATTCAGGTAAAACTCTCTTAATACTACGGACATGTGGTGTTGATTAGTATATGAGCTAAACTATAAAACAAACCACACCAACCAATTGACTAAAGTAAACTAGCATGTTCATACACCGAGAAGAGGGTGTATAGCTCTCGAGGTATATATATATATATACGGTCGTTGTTAATTAATTGGCACATACTGTAGGGGCGGTGTGTGACGTCACATGGTCTGACAGCCGCCGCCGCCGCCGCCGCCGCAACAGCCCACCATCAGCTGACTGGACGCTGTTGACAGTTACTCTTCTTAAGAGCATCTATTTTTCTTATATAAAGTAACATTTTCCAAAATATGTTTAAGAAACTTATACGCTAATAAACGCTATAAAATATTTTTACATGTTATGAAGTTTTAAGCGTAATAACAACATAATAAACTGTATAAATAAAAACCACAAATGGCATAATTGGCAAACGTAGTACCGCTATTGCCAAGTACTATTAATGTAATTCATTATACTCTCTCATAACATATATTATTTATTGTTAGCAAGTGTTGAACGATGAATGTATATTTGGTAATCTTCTCATGTATGTTAGATTTTTTTAAATTAAAAGTTATATAGCTTGCAAATAACTATATGTAAACTCTTTTATTGTTTAGATTAGAGTTACAGAGTACAACTTTGATTGCTAAATAAAGACGTTATTGTTTAATTTCTTAGAAAATGTAGCCTTAATTTAAGCTTACCAAAGATTATAATAGGAATTTATTTAGTATCTAGCCTTCAGTTACTCGAACGTCTGGTAAATACTTTAGCAATAGCGATCAGTAAGGCTTACATGAGGCGAGTATAAAGGGAAGAAGCCGCAGGGTGTCAGTGTGTCGCTAGTCACCGAGGGTCACGGCCGCTGCCGCTCCTGCCTCGCATCACAAGTTTCATTAACACCAAAAAAAAAAAAAAAAAAAAAAACCTGTCAGCCCCTGGCCGTACCTGAGGTGAGTGAGCAGTGAGAGAGAAACGACCAGTTGCCTGTCGCAGTCCATACGCGGCGCACATGTCTCGTGTAACCCTCGTTAAACTAGTCCATCATGTGCTTTTGTTTACTGTGTGAAGGTGTTGGTGTTGTTGTGGGGTGAAGGTGGTGGGGCCCAGGAATGTTCCCGGCCTTACGGGACACTCTGAGAGCAGCAGCGCGCAACTTTTGGTCCCTAGTCCTATATATTGTGGTAGGCGGTGCACACCACCCTTCCCTGGCCATGGATCCATTCGCCTCTGATGACCAGCAGCTTACCCCGAGTAGCTCGAGTCTATCCAGCGATGACCCGCACCCCTCCCAGTCTACCCCAGGTAGGTTCCTTAACCCCAACAATGACCTGTACACTGCAGTCTACCCCAGGTAGGTTCCTTAACCCCAGCAATGACCTGTACAGTCTACCCCAGGTAGGTTCCTTAACCCCAGCAATGACCTGCACACACTACAGTCTACCCCAGGTAGGTTCCTTAACCCCAGCAATGACCTGCACACTCTACAGTCTACCCCAGGTAGGTTCCTTAACCCCAGCAATGACCTGCACACTCTACAGTCTACCCCAGGTAGGTTCCTTAACCCCAGCAATGACCTGCACACTCTGCAGTCTACCCCAGGTAGGTTCCTTAACCCCAGCAATGACCTGCACACTCTACAGTCTACCCCAGGTAGGTTCCTTAACCCCAGCAATGACCTGCACACACTGCAGTCTACCCCAGGTAGGTTCCTTAACCCCAGCAATGACCTGCACACTGCAGTCTACCCCAGGTAGGTTCCTTAACCCCAGCAATGACCTGTACACTCTACAGTCTACCCCAGGTAGGTTCCTTAACCCCAGCAATGACCTGCACACTCTACAGTCTACCCCAGGTAGGTTCCTTAACCCCAGCAATGACCTGTACACTCTACAGTCTACCCCAGGTAGGTTCCTTAACCCCAACAATGACCTGTACACTCTGCAGTCTACCCCAGGTAGGTTCCTTAACCCCAGCAATGACCTGCACACTCTACAGTCTACCCCAGGTAGGTTCCTTAACCCCAGCAATGACCTGCACACTCTGCAGTCTACCCCAGGTAGGTTCCTTAACCCCAGCAATGACCTGCACACTCTACAGTCTACCCCAGGTAGGTTCCTTAACCCCAGCAATGACCTGCACACTCTGCAGTCTACCCCAGGTAGGTTCCTTAACCCCAACAATGACCTGCACACTCTGCAGTCTACCCCAGGTAGGTTCCTTAACCCCAGCAATGACCTGTACATTCTACAGTCTACCCCAGGTAGGTTCCTTAACCCCAGCAATGACCTGCACACTCTGCAGTCTACCCCAGGTAGGTTCCTTAACCCCAACAATGACCTGCACACTCTGCAGTCTACCCCAGGTAGGTTCCTTAACCCCAGCAATGACCTGCACACTGCAGTCTACCCCAGGTAGGTTCCTTAACCCCAGCAATGACCTGTACATTCTACAGTCTACCCCAGGTAGGTTCCTTAACCCCAACAATGACCTGCACACTCTGCAGTCTACCCCAGGTAGGTTCCTTAACCCCAGCAATGACCTGCACACTGCAGTCTACCCCAGGTAGGTTCCTTAACCCCAGCAATGACCTGTACATTCTACAGTCTCCCCCAGGTAAGTTTCCTTTTTCCCTGCCTGAGCCACCACATCCTCATTTGGATGTGATGTCAATTCCATCACATCCAAACGATGTTATCTCGGGTGCTTTCGTTATTAATTCTATACAATAATTAAGCCCATGAAAGCACGTGATGTGGAACAGTGTGCCCCAATAAAGGTGCTGTAGCACAATGGTCTACAGCCTTTGCTCGTAATTAAGGGACCCGAGTTAAATGCTCTCATATGACAGAATTTGTTCAGTGCCCCTTGTATGACGGAATCGTATGTTTTCTTCCACTTGATGTCTGCTCATCTAATAGTAAAATAAATATCTGGGAATTTAGCCAATAGACGTGGGTTGGTCCAGTTGGCCCAGGTAGGTGGTTCCTTGATGAACCTAAATACAGGTTTCCAAGCCACGACAACAGGAGTTATATACTGTATCTGCAAGTTTTTAATAAAAATTTATAAATACAGTAATTGGTAATGTGTTTTCTTCCAGACACACCAGAAGATTTGCCCTCAAAATTCTGGATGGCAGGAATATCGCAGATTGGTGCTCGTTCTCCTGATCAGAAGGAGTTCACTGTTGCCACACCGCAAGAATTTGTCAGGAAGTTTGGAGGCAAGAAAGTTATCACAAGAGTGAGTTAAATATTGACAATTTAGCTTTATATTCCATACTGCATTGATGTGATTAATACAGGAAAGTACAGTAGTTGACAAATGTGAAGATATGCAATGCATTCTTTCAGAACACGGTAGTAATTTTATATGTAATGCATGCACAGTATTATTGTTACTCTATCTAAATGTGGCTATCAAAATTGTCACCCTGACTGTCAAAAAAACAAAAGTAATTAATGTTTATTCTTTTGAAATTGTAGATCTGTGTTTAAAATTCTAAACAATAAATGTTGTATCTACTCATGTTTTGGCCTGGACAGGGGTCAACGTTCCTTTTGGTATTCTTCAGCATTATATTGTTATGGGACTCGGGCTCCAAACGTTCTTCAACAATACATTGTTGGGACCCCCAGGTCCCATTACATTCTTCAGCATTACATTGTGATAGGACTCGGGGACCAAACAAATGTACTAATTTTGTTCATATGAATTGTAATTAAAAATAAGATGCCCATATGCAAAGAGTAAAATGAATATTCTATTATGTTCATACAGGAAATATTGGTGTTAACCTAGATGAGTGCGGTCATCATCATTATTTGATAGGGGTCCATAAGCTGAAGTCTGACTCCAAATTATTTTGTTGCCTCTAACTGCTGGGAGACACTATGGCAAATGTGCAGAGCTGTTGCTGCCATATGTACAACACTGGTATTCAGATGTTGGTGCAAACCTCAAATCCTTATTTTATGCAGACACATTACACTAGATGATCAACATATGACAATGACCGCATTTAGGGGGGGTAAATGGAAATGCAAATCGAACTTTTATTAATATTGAATTCTTTGGTCAGATCCTCATTGCAAACAATGGCATCGCTGCAGTCAAGTGTATGCGTAGCATCCGCAAGTGGGCTTATGAGGTGTTTAGAAATGATCATGCCTTTCATTTCATTGGAATGGTTACCCCCGAGGATCTTAAAGGTAGTATAAAGTAAATAGTTGTTTTTGGTTTATTGTGAGTGTTCACGCCTATTCCACTATATTCAGACGTCAACATAAATGCATAACCAATTATGTTTGTTTTCAATAATTGAAATGGCTATCAAAAGTGTTATGCGTGCTTGATGGTACAACTTGTATTGAAGCCACCAAGCTATAAGAGTTATAATTGTTGTTCTCGGTATAAATTTTGCAATATTTTTGTATGGTTGTATCATTTCCCATGGAAGTTTCTTGTGGTTTAAATATTCTTAACTAGTGAGAGTTTTTGTGTACACAGTAAACTAACCTAGTATCTGCTTGGCTTATTTTTAATCTGAAAAATTCATGAGGATTATCCTAGCAGTTATTTCTTTTGTAACAAATTCTGGAGTTGAAGAAAATTTAATGAATAACAATAAAATAGTATTCAGTGACAAAATACAGTACAGTGATAAATATTTTTAATTTCAAAATTTGTGTCTAATAATTATAAATACAGTATATTGTATTAAATGTTTGCAGAGAAGAAATAAATAAGTAATTTGGCTTGTATTTTCAGCTGGAGCAGAGTATGTCAAACTGGCCGATACCACAGTGTGGGTACCTGGAGGGGCAAACAACAATAACTATGCCAATGTGAAGCTCATTCTTGATATTGCCACTCGTTATGATGCAGATGGTGTCTGGGCTGGTTGGGGTCATGCCTCGGAGTACCCCGAACTACCAGGTAAATTCATTTGAGTGTACAGTACGTAGTTTAACATTTTATTTCTACTTAAGAATTTTTGTTAATATGTAATAAGTAATACACATGAAGCAATAGAACTCTTGAGGAAACATTATAGCATTATAATACAATCTCATACTACCATATTGACCATCCTTGCTCCAACCCCCTTGTTTATATGAAGGTCAAACAGTTTCCTGTATTTAAATACCATGTTAAATTTTTGGTGGACCTTTCATTTTGAATGTGATATTTTGCAGCAAAGCTACACAAGAATGGCATAGCATTTATTGGTCCACCTGAAAAGGCCATGTGGGCACTTGGCGACAAAATTGCATCGAGTATAGTTGCCCAAACAGCAAATATACCGACTCTTCCGTGGTCTGGCTCAGGTTAGTGTGCATCATCATTGCAATATAATCTAAAATAATAAAATAATGTATATTTGTAATCATCACCAACAAATATTTGAAGGAAGTCTTCAAAGCAGAGTGGCAGGATCTGATGGGGTTTTGGGAGTTCTTTTGCTCCCCAAGTCTGGCCTGAGGTCAGGCTTGACCTGAGAGCTTGGTCCAACAGGCTGTTGCTGGGAATGGCCCACACGCCCACTTATCCACCACACCCTTCATGAAGAAAACTATCTAGTTTTCTCTTGAAGATATCCACCATTGTTATGGCAATATTTCTTGTACTTATTGGGAGTACGTTGAACACTGAGGACTGAATCGGCATCCTGCTGTCCTGCTCCAAAGATTTCCTCGTAGATATAAAGTACCCTGTAACATGTGATCTCATTGTGTGCTGTTCATTTTATGGATTTTTTCTGGTAGGGTCCCTTCACTAGCTTCCTAATGCTACAACTTAGTAATGATCAAACCTTGGGAGACCCCAGGCCTCTAGACCCATGAGCTCCTACAGGTGACCAGGACCAGAATCTAATCTGCTCAAGGAGGTGAAGGGGAACCCCCGAGGATTGGAGATCACTGCAGAAACCAAGGAAAAAATCCTTGCTAGGAAGCCAAAATGCTTCAAAAACCATTAACTGCTTAGACAAATTTGTAATCCTGAGGAAAATAATGCAAATAATCATTACCGTTTGTAAATTTCCATCCACTACCAGATGGCGGCCCAGTTGATCTAATCACCCCCTGCAAGAGCCTGATGTCGACTCTCCTTCCAGTCCCAGAGTCCACATTAGACTTTTAGATATGGGGTATTAAGCTGGGTTTCTCTGAAGCTCATTTGTGTGATGATATTGGGGAGCTACTGAATGGGGATTCCCAGAAATCCAGGTGGGGACTCTCAGAAGTAGCTCTTCATCCCCAACTTGTTCCCCTCATTTCTGTGGGAGCTAGCTGACTCTCTTCTGGGATGAACTGTTCCCAAGACCAAAAAAAAAAGATTGAAAAGGAACAGCATTTATTTGGACTTCTATGATACATGTCAGTAAAATTTATTTGTAAATACAGTATTTCTTTAAGGTAACTGTTAGTTCCTGTATTTGTTATTTACTAACAAATAATAGGTTCTAGAGGACTATATTTGTTGTATAGGTCATTTAAATTGCCTGCCTATATTTTCCCATATTCGGCAGGTCTAAAGGCAGAATACACTGAAAGTGACTCTGGTCCCAGATTGAAAATCCCACACGAGTTATATAAGCAGGGATGTGTCGAGACCGTAGAAGAAGCACTCAATGCTGCCAAGAAAATTGGATTTCCTGTTATGATTAAAGCTTCTGAAGGAGGGGGAGGAAAAGGAATCCGCAAGACTGAGTCGGAGGATAATTTTCCTGCTCTTTTTCGACAGGTTAGTTTCATATATTTTATTTATATAAATCTAAAGAAATTTAAACATTTGTTTTCTGTACAATAGGTTTATATTAATTATTGTGTGACTACGAACTATGTATGCTAGAAATTTTGTGTATGCTTATGAACATGTATATTATACAATATACATGCCTTTAATTTGTGGAGGAAGGTGCTATATTTGGATATCCTTTTGGTATCTGTTGGTATTTGTAGGTATTGGTTATCAGAAGGGCCATTTGTAACTTTTTTTTTTTATTCATTACAGTACTGTGTTAAAATTAAGACATGTTTTATTTTCAGGTGCAAGCAGAAGTTCCTGGTTCTCCTATTTTCATAATGAAATTAGCAGAGTGTGCTCGTCATTTGGAGGTGCAGATTATTGCCGATGTTTATGGCAATGCAGTTTCGCTGTTCGGACGTGATTGCTCGGTGCAGAGAAGACATCAGAAAATAATTGAAGAAGCACCATGTGTGATTGCTAACCCAGAAGTTTTCTACAAGATGGAGCAGGTTATATAAAATATTATGTAAAATGTAAAATATTAGCATTTTCAATCCACACACAATTAAATGTGCGATGATATGTCAGTTCGTCGATCATGTCTAGGGTCCAGGACGCACAGAAACGTTGACACTAATTTCGTATGTGTGGGTTGAGATATTCAAATATTTTATGTGCATCTGGCTGTGCACTAATGTCACGATAGCTTATGCTCTTCAATCAGGTATTTTTATTAATTCCATGAATGCTGGTTCAAGATTTTGTGGCTTTGTTGATGTAAATGTTACACCTCTTACATCTGGGCCTTTCGGAGGTGTGAAACCCTCCTGAAAGGCCACGGGGAAGGTAGGTCTAGTGAAGGCGGGGACAGGGGATGAAGTTTTACACCCTCCACATCCCTGCAGTGGGAAGGTTACACCTACAAGTACACCTTGTTTGTACAACAGGGACAAAGATCGATTGATAAAAGTAGTTTTCAAAAGCGAGGACACAAAAGAGTTAATTTTAGCAAAGAAGAGCAGCCTACTCAGTGTACTGAAGTTCAAAAAGGTATTCCTGCAGAGGGATATGAGGAGAGACGGAGGGCAGCAGCAGCAAGGAAGGAGCACAAGGAGAGGGAAAGGAATCGGGGGAACCCACAACCCAGAACCCTATGATTCCAGAAGGGAGTGGGGAACCCTCCACAGGCAATTCAACAGCTCCAGTGGGAGGAGGATTACACCCATCTCCCACCCAATAGAAGCCCTACCAGCCCCTACACTCCACCACCCTATGCCCTCCCTCCTCCCCCTCTCCCCCAAGCCTTTCTTTCTCCCCCATCCCCCAAGTCCTCCCTCCCCTCCCCCAAACCCCCCTCTTCTCCCCAAATCCCCCTCTTCTCCCCAAATCCCCCTCTTCTCCCCATCCCCCCTAAGCCCTCCCTTCTCTCCCACCCCCTCCAAGCCCCCACTTCGCCCCTACCCTCTCCAAACCAGATCCTCCCAGCCCTCCCCCCACAACCCAGGTCCCCCTCACTCTCGGCTCCCCTCAAACCAGGGGCCCCCCCTTCCCCCTCCCCATCCCAGACCCTCCATGTTTATCTACTCCAGTGGAATCAACAAACTGTGGATGGACAGTAAAGAGTCGGCTTCAAGGTGATGTACACGAACATAGATGGGATTACAAGCAAGGCGAGTGAACTTGGGGAAAGAACACAAGAAGTAAACCCAGATGTAATTGGAATCACGGAAACAAAACTCTCGGGAATCATAACAAATGCGGTCTTCCCAGGATTACACTGTATTAAGGAAAGAGAGGGAGGGTAGGGGAGGAGGTGGAGTGGCCCTATTCATGAGAAAGGAATGGATTTTCAAGGAGATGGTTATCCCAGGCTGTGAAGGGTTTAGAGACTACATAACAGGCACCATGACGATGGGAGGACCTGTAGTAGCAGTGATATATAACCCTCCACCAAATGACAGAAGACCCAGGCAAGAGTATGACAAACAACATGGCAGTTAATAGCATAATTGAGAAAGCAGCCTCTGCTGCCTGTAGAAATCGATCCCATCTGCTCATCATGGGGGACTTCAACTACGGAAGGATAGACAGGGAGAACAGGGAACCGCATGGAGGAGACGATACATGGAGAGCCAAACTAGTGGAGGTGGTGACAAGAAACTTTCTAAGCCAACATGTCAGGGAACCCACTAGGATGAGGGGAAATGATGAACCAGCAAGACTCGACCTAGTCTTCACTCTGAATGACTCCGACATAAGGGAAATTGACTTCGAAGCCCCAGTAGGAATGAGCGATCAGTGTACTGACATTCGAGTGTCGGGTCGAAGAAGGGCTAAAGTACTCGAGAAAGGGAACTGAAAGTAAAAGGCTAGCATTCCGTAAGGGAAATTACGAGGAGATAAAATTCCTAACGGATATAACATGGGAATCGGAGCCAAGAGGAAAGACGCCCCAAGACGTGATGGAATACATCACACATAAGTGCGAGGAGGCAGCAGAAAAGTTTATCACAACCCAAAAGGTAAAAAATGAAATGCAGATGAGAAACCCATGATTTAATTAGAGATGTAAGGTAGCTAAGCAGCAAAGTAAAAGAACATGGAGAAACTATAGAAATAACAGGACACTTGAGAGCAGTGAAGGTTACCAGAGAGCCAGGAATGAATACGTCAGGGTGAGAAGAGAGGCAGAAGGGCAATATGAACGACATAGTAAGCAAGGCTAAGACCCAACCCAAATTGTTGCACAGCCACATCAGGAGAAAGACAACAGTGAAGGAACAGGTAATGGAACTGAGGATAGGTGCAGACAGATTCACTACAAACGACAAAGAAAGTGTGTGAGGAACTCAATTTGAAATTTCAGGAAGTCTTCACATTAGAGCAAGAAGTTCCAGAGATAAGAGAAGGAATAATTAACCAGGCAACACTAGAGGAATTTGAGATTACCAGTGGAGATGTAAGGAAGCGTTTGCGAGAGTTGGATGTGACAAAGGCTATAGGCCCGGATGGAATATTGCCATGGTTACTAAAGGAAGGAGCAGAAGCACTGTGCCTGCCACTCTCCATGCTGTATAACAAATCACTGGTAACAGGTGAACTGCCAGAAATTTGGATGGCAGCAAACGTAGTCTCGATATACAAGAAGGGGGGATAGACAGGAGGCACTGAACTACAGGCCAGTGTCCTTAACTTGCATACCATACAAGCCAGTGTCCTTAACTTGCATACCATACAAGCCAGTGTCCTTAACTTGCATACCATACAAGCTAATGGAGAAAATTGTGTGAAAAAAGCTAGTCGAACATCTTGAGCGAAGGAATTTTGTCACAACACCAACATGGTTTCAGGGATGTTAAGTCATGCCTCACAGGATTAATTGAATTCTACGATCAGGCAACGAGAATCAGACAAGAAAGAGAGGGGTGGGCGGACCGCATATTTTTGGATTGCCAGAAAGCCTTCGACACAGTGCCACACCAAAGACTAGTGCGAAAGCTGGAGATGCAGGCAGGAGTGAAAGGGAAGGTACTCCATTGGATAAGGGAGTACCCAAGTAACAGAAGGCAGCGAGTCACTGTGCGGAGTGAGGCCTCAGATTGGCGAGATATCACCAGTGGGGTCCCGCAGGGTTCAGTCTATGAAACCCATACTGTTTGTTATATATGTAAATGGTCTTCCAGATGGTATAGAATCATTCCTCTCATTGTTTGCTGATGATGCATAAATTATGAGGAGGATTAAGACGGAGGAAGACAATATGAGACTACAAGATGACGTAGACAGACTGCATGAATGGTCCAACAAATGGCTACTAAAGTTCAACCCGAGTAAATGTAAGGTAATGAAACTAGGCAGTGGAAATAGGAGGCCAGACACAGGATACAGAATGGGAGATGAAATTCTTCATGAAACGGACAGAGAGGAGGATCTAGGAGTTGATATCACACCAACCCTGTCTCTTGAAGCCCACATCAAAAGAACAACATCTGCGCCGTAACCGAGGCTGGCTGACATCAGAACTGCCTTCAGGAACCTGTGTAAGGAATCATTCAGAAACTTGTATACCACATATATAAGACCAATCCTAGGGTATGTGGCCCTCAGCATGGAGCCTGTACCTTGTCAAGCACAAGGCAAAACTTGAAAAAGTTCAGAGATATGCCACTAGGCTAGTCCCAGAACTAAGAGGCATGAGTTACGAAGAAAGGCTGCGAGAAATGCACCTCACGACACTAGAAGACAGAAGAGTAAGGGGAGACATGATCATTACCTACAAAATTCTCAGAGGAATTGACAAGGTAGATAAAGATAAACTGTTTAACATGGGTGGTACGCGAACAAGGGGGGACAGGCAGAAACCGAGTACCCAAATGAGCCACAGGGTTGTTGGAACTTTTTCAGTGTCAGAGTAGTTAACAGATGGAATGCATTAGGCAGTGATGTGGTGGAGGCCGACTTCATACACAGTTTCAAATGTATATATGATAGAGCCCAGTAGGCTCAGCAATCTGTGCATCAGTTGATAAACAGTTGAGAGGTAGGACCAAAGAGCCAGAGCTCGACCCCCGCAAGCACAATTAGGCAAGTACAGTTAGGTGAGTACCTGTTAGGTCCCGAGATATGGGGTTTACACCTCATTTGGTTATTTCTTATATATTATACATTCGTATACTGTGTATGTTGATCAGCATTCTATACCTAACCTTTTTACTGAATCATACTGATAACCTTACCCTATTTACAGGCTGCAGTTAACCTAGCAAAATTAGTAGGTTACGTTAATGCTGGCACAGTTGAGTACTTGTATGACAACGATGGAAATTTCTTCTTCTTGGAGTTGAATCCTCGTCTGCAGGTGGAGCACCCTTGCACCGAAATGATTACAGACATAAATTTGCCAGCAGCACAACTACAGGTAAGTGTTGACTCATACTTCATATTGTAATGCTCATTAAGTGCATAATGTAATCATTAGACCGTGATACATCTAATGAGATGATATTGAGGCCATACAGTGGGATCACACCTGCATCCCTGAACTTCCCAGGCACACACTCATTACCAACTGAACCAGCTGGTCATGGTCAAGTGTGTGCCTGCATAGTTCAGGGATGCTGGTTAGATCCCACATTTGGCTTCACTATCTGCTTTATAAATGTTGTAGCTCAAATAATTTTTCAAAGATGCATTAACATTCTTATATCGGATACTGGTACAGGTTTTTGTGTTGAACATTTCTTGATATATTTTCAAATTGAGTTGTGTACCTGTTGGACTAAGTTTACCTTTTGTTTTGTATCATTAGGTTGCAATGGGCATTCCACTGCATCGAATCCGTTGTGTGCGAGTCCTCTTTGGGGAATCTCCATGGGGTGACAGTGTAATTGATTTTAACCAATCTAAGAATAAGCCTGTGCCAAAAGGTCACTGTATTGCTGCCCGTATTACAAGTGAAAATCCTGATGAAGGTCTGTTTTGTGAACTTTTTTTGTTGACAATTTTATTTGCATATGAAGAAAATTAATTTGTGGATTGAGTAATGAATATTGGGAGAGAACCTATTAAGAGACATTTCACTTCAGGTCAAAGTGCAAGTGGAAACTAAGAAATTGTTGAGGATAGGTCTGGTAAGTTTTTAATTTATCTTGCACAATAGCTAGTTGTTCCTTTTTTAATGTTCTCATGAGTCAACTTCTCTTGGGGGAAACCCTTTGTTGTTCCCTGAAGCTACTACATACAGATATGATACCATCTACTAGGTTGACACAGCCATGGAGTTTTATTGGCATACCTGGGACCAGTGCTAAAACCTGGCCCACTCAGCGAGGCACGAAGAGTGGTGACATTTAATTTTGCCAGCTCATCAGGGAAGACAACCAGAAAGTCAGGGAGTTGAAACAAACCATTGCTGGCTTCAAGAGTGTGAAGCCACAAAACCCCTCCTAAAGAACTCCCCCAACTATGTAAACAAGTAACTGAATTCTCTCAGAACTAGCGTGAGCCCGTTTGGTAGGAGGTACAGTGGAACCTTAAGTGACGAGTGATTCCAGTTACAAGCATTTAGAGTAACGAGTGAGCCACTCGCAGAAAATGTCTCGATTGACGAGCTTTCGCTTGATTAATGAGCAAACTATATGGTGCTTCCTAGCGTTCCCTCTGGTTCTCGAATGCCTCCGACAACAGTGTTGTTTCGTAAGACGAGCATTTCACATGACGAGCTCGGTGCCAGAACGGAATAAATTCGTTAATCGAGGTGCCACTGTATAGGCAAAAGTAGCCCACCACCAGCTGGCATCTCAGCCCTCAGTTCTAGTGCTGATGTAGTGTGTACTTGGTTGCCTCTCTTCCATGATGTCTCCAGTGTTCTACTTTTCTGGCGGGGGGGGGAGCCCCGGAGGCTCCCCGGAGGCTCCTCGGAGCTATCTAGGCTGATATGCTAATGTCAGACTTTGGCATCGGTCATGTGTATGGAGTTCTGTGGGCCTACCAGGGACCACGAGCCAGAACCTGGCCCCCTCAGAAAGGCATGAGGAGCAATGGCCTATAGAAACCCCCGTGTGGTTGGAAGCATTCTATGTCTGCCATCGACCAGGTCAGGCATCCAGAAAGGGAAGCATTCCAAAACAAACCCATATTCTGGTGAAAATTGCTACAAAAAAGCCGAACACGTGGATAGAACTCTCCAAACAGAAATGAGCAAACGAGCACGACGTCACACATTGCTGTGCTGCTGTCTGTGCAGCTCGTCCCTCCTCGGGAGGGGGAAGGAGGTGCCCAGACCCCCACGCCGGCCATCCACACTTCAGTTCTGAGGCTGGACATCAAAACACATGAAAAAATGCAGACTAGGAGGGGGGGGGATGCTGGGAGCCTCCGGGTCTCACCCAGAAAAGGCATTTCATTACATTCAACGCTGGTTTTCTGCGGGAGCCCCTTTGGCTCCCCGGAGCTAACTACCCAGAGTAAATCCTGAGGGACTTACCCCGGAGGCGGTAGCTGCTCACTCCTCAACCCGAAGTAGAAACAACAGGCTGCAACCGCCGACCCAAAGCGACACAGGCCTGACTAGGCCCAAGAACGTTCACAAGGTAGCGCGCAGCCAAGATTCTGTTTGACCGCCAAAAACCTGCTCCCAAATTTCAGCCCAGGACATGTTGCCAAAGACGGCAGCAAGAGCAGCGAACTTACGAACGTCATGGGCATAGGGATGGACCGCAGGCTGGCTAGATTTAATAACCTTACCCGGGAGACCCGCACCCACGAACAGGGAAAAAGGGAAACCGGATCAACCCAAAGTGCAGTCTCGGACACAGAAGACATGGCGCACAAATAACGGTGGAGAGCCGCAATCGAACACAAAACATGATGTACCCCCGGCCTGACCAACCAAGCATCAACAACCCAAGGACCCCTCTGGAAAGCAGCGGTCTCATTCTTCGCCAGAAAAGGAGGAGACGGCTGCAGATTAACAAACCGATCACCACGACCGAAAGAGCAGAAAGGAGGAGAGCACAAAGCTCCCCGACCCAACCTCCAGAGGCCAATTCCAACAGGTAAAGAGCCTTCGAGAAACAATCCGGAACCAAAGGGGCCACAACAAACCAAGGAGAAGAGAGAAAGGAGAACACTGTTCAATAACCAGAACAGCTCAGGCGACGCACGAGCAGGCTGGAGGTAAAACGACACACGAGACAGCTTGCGAAACGGAACAGAAGTAACATCTATACCAAAAGCAAGTTGAAGCGGCTCCGCCAGCGCCACATGATACAAGGCGACAGTATTCAGCTTAAGATGACAGTCCTGGAACAACCAAGAGAGAAAGGACACCACCACCTGAACTGAAAGCAAAGCCCAACAACGAAGATTCAAAAAGAATCTTTGACACAAAACCGGAGTTCTGGTTTTGTGCCATAATTATAATTAATAATTATATAATGTGCCATAATTTTGTGCCATAATTTGTGCCTCGGCAGTGCCATAATTAACTAGGCAAATGCTCCAACTTTGTCTAAATGATCATAGCGTAACTTGAAAAAACAAGAGAATCAAAATTAATTTTAAAATTGAATATTGCAAACTTCAGATTTTCAATTCAGAATAAAACAAATGAACTATCACCAATTGTTCATTTAATGATGATATTCTCTCAGAATAGCATAATCTTCATTTTCATCAAATTATAATATAGGTTTTCAGTACAGTTTACTGTAAAAATAAATTGTCAATAGGGCATTTGAAATATGTGGCAAATTTAGAAAAAAACAATTATAACAAGTGTATAAAGTTTATGAAAAATCCATTCTGAAGGGATTATAGAACAGACAGCTGAGCACACAATGTCAAAATAGTGAGAATCGGTCAAAAGCTGGAATATTAGAAGCCACTCAGTTGAAACTCTAGTTTCAGAGATAATTGAAGTTGAAGTTATCAACAATGAATAAAGGTACAGTAGTTTTAATTTGCAGGCGATGACGTAGTTTTAATTTGTTAATTTACTTGCATGTTTTGATAAACATTATTTGGCATTCGTACTCGAATATGTGAAAGTTGTAGGTCAATGTGTGTTGAAATTAAGTAAAAAAAAAAAAAAATATATATATATATATATATATATATATATATATATATATATATATATATATATATATATATATATATATATATATATATATATATATATATATATATAATATTATTATGGATAATTATAATTATAATGATTTGGGGATATATTTAGGGTATACTTTATATAAGTGAAAAAGCCCTAATATGGTCACTAATCATTAAAACGACCTAAAGAGACTAAGAAAATAGTTTGAAATCAAAGAAAAAATCAGTCAAAAAAATTGTCCCAAGTTTTGAGAGTTGTGACTGATTTATTTGTTGACCAGTTTCATTCTATCTTCTTATAGTTAGGGAAACATATACATTCTCCAGGATGTAAAGGTTACAACAAAATGAGATAGTGAACAAAGGAGAAAAAACTAAAATCTTGAAAAAAAAAATTCCCCTAAAAAAAATATTTTGGGGACATTGATGAAAGTAACATATAATAAAATTGGACAATGCATTTATATGATATATAACAAAATAGATCATATTAACGTAGTAATTCATAATTATTTGTTAGGTATTACTCAGCAATGATATAAAGGCACCAGCTGCATATCCACTTTGTGGACACTTCTTACTACTATTCTTCTTCTTTGAGCGTCGGACAGGTGCTTGCATCTCTTAATTACTGCACAATCCTTCAGTTAAATTTATTAGGAGCTGTTCTCCTTATCAACAAAACGTTCTTATTTAAAAAAAAAAAATCGTCTAAAATCAATTTCTGAATATATTTTCATGAAAGTTTCACGACACTGAAGCCAATAAGTTGGAGATTTCTTTAACATTTTTAAGTTATTTTTACATAATTCAAATATTTTTTGCTACCAGGCCCCCCAATATGTGTGATGATATGCACAGTCTGATATATATATGATATGATATGATATGCACAGATATGCAAAGGGTTTAGCAGCTATACTCTGCTTACAATACTTGTATCAAACTTCATGTGAAAGTTTAATGTTATGTACAGGAGCCATTTAATTGTGGTATTGGGGCAAATGTTTCCATTGTTATGGCATAAGACCTTCGTGTAATTCTTTGGCCTGACAATATTAGCATGGTACCGAGTATTTTTCAGCATAGCATGAGCACACAAGCATTATAATTTTTTATAACAATTTAGGTACTGCTATATTATCAGGTACTGAATGATTTTTATTATTCAGGTTTCAAGCCTAGCTCAGGGACAGTGCAAGAATTAAATTTTCGCTCCAGCAAAAATGTTTGGGGTTACTTCAGTGTGTCTGCCTCCGGAGGACTTCACGAGTATGCTGACTCTCAGTTTGGCCATTGTTTCTCGTGGGGAGAGGACAGAGGAGCAGCTCGAGAGTAAGAAGTTATAGTATATATATTTGTAAACATTTTCATGATTATATAATCTCTCTCCAACAGATTTTTCAAGTCTAGACACTGCTTATTAGACAAGGGCTTTCAATTTTTTTTATTGTTTATTTAAACCATTTCTGTGGAGAGCTCTTTCGGCTCCCCAGAACTATACTGGGCCGATGTGCATACATTAGACTGTGGCAACAGTCAATCGATGGAGTTCTAGGCCTACCAGAGACCAGAGCCAGAACCTGGCACTCTCAAGAAGAGGCATGAGGAGCAATGGCCTAAAGACACCCCCATGTAATTGGAAGCAGTCTGTCTGCCATCAACCAGGTCAGGCACCTAGAAAGATAGGAATTCCAAAACTACTACTGGTCAAATATTATCACCATCTATTTGGTGATTAGGTGGCTTCTTTGCTGCTGTCCCACCTGCGGGCTTTGTCTCGGCGGCAGTATGAAGTTTCCTTGTGGTCCTACCATTTCTTTTTGTCTCTTTGTCGCTGTACTTCACTGTCTGTTAATGTTGTTTTGGCCTTTCTCTCGTGGCTGTTTCAGGACCATCATCTTGTAGCTTGCTTTCGGTATTGATGTTACTTCTGCACCATTTCGCAAAGCTGTCTCGGGCATTTTTTCACCTCCGGCCTGCTCGTGCGCCGCCTGAGCCATCTTGGTCTTTGAACAGAGTGTTTGTATTTCTGTCTTTGCCTCAGTTTGTTGTGGCCCCTTAGTTCAGGATTGTTTTTTCAAAGCTCTTTCCTTGTTGGCATTGGCCTCTGGGGGTCGTGTTGGGGAGCTTCATGCTCTCCTCCGGCGCAGAGGTTTCTGCTCTTTTCGTCGTGGTAATAGGTTTGTTTGTTTGCAGCAGTCTCCTTTTCTGGCGAAAAATAAGACGGCTGCTTTCTGGAGGGGTCCTTGGGTTGTTGATGCTTGGTCAGTCAGGCCGGGAGTGCATCATAGTGTTGTGTCCAGTTGCGACTCCGCCATTATTTGCGCGCCACAGCCTTTGTGTCCGGGGATGCACTTTGGGTTGATTCGGTTTCTCTTCCCTGCTCTTGGGTTCGTGTCTCTCAGGTCGTCCGGAGTGTTATTTGGTCTAGCCAGCCTGCGGTCTATCCCCGTGCCCATGACGTTCGTAAGTTTGCTACGCTAGCTGCCATCTTCAGTAACTTGTCCTGGGCTGACATTCAGGCATGAGGATTTTGGTGGTTGAACAGGTTCCTGGCTGCACGCTACCTCGTGAATGTTTCTGGGCCTAGTCGGGCATGTCCCTTTGGGTCAGCAGTTGCAGCCTATTGTCTCGACTTCGAGTTGAGATGTGAGCACCGACTGCCTCCCGGGTAAGTTCCTCTGGTTTTTCTCGATGCGGTCCTTGGCTCTTTGGGGCTAGTTGCTTCAGATAACTCATCTTCTGAGATCTTGGGGTTTGGCTCTTCTGGCGGTTCACGTTCAGGGATGTCAAACATCCTGGCGGACGTCATGTCTCGGTTCATTCCCCTATCCACGGAATGGATGGTTGCGCCGACTCGTTCAATTGGCTCTGCCGGATGCATGGGCACCTAAAGGTGGACCTCTTCCATTGGCGTGGGGTTATCTGTACCTCTTCCCACTGGTTCGGTTGTTGCTCCGGATCCTGGCTCGCTTGGAGAAACTCACCAGGGGAGAGTGAGTTCCCATCCCTGTCCACCTCCCGGGGAGGGTGGGTTGGGCAGACAGATGCGTGGTGGTTGTGGTGACGTCATGTTTGTTTCCTTATTTTTGATTGGAGAGTTCTGTTTGCTAGTTCGGCTTTCAGTTTCCAATTTTTGACCAGCAGTAGTTTGTTTTGGAATTCCTACCTTATTGGTGCCTTACCTGGTAGATGGCAGAGAAAGACTGTATCCAATTACAAGAGAGTGTCTTTAGGCCATTGCTCCTTGTGTCTCTTCTTGAGGGGGCCAGGTTCTGGCTCTAGTCCCCGGTAGGCCTAAAACTCCTTCGATTGTCTGTTGCCACAGTCTAATATATACACATCAGCCCGGTATAGCTCCAGGTTGCCTCCTGGGTCTCGCCCAGAAAATGACGTTTCATTATGTTCAATGCTGGTTTTTTATAGTAGATGAATTTTTAATTTAATGTCCAACTTGTAATTTAATGTATTTTTCATAGTGTTATAATTTTCAGTACTATGCTAGTGATTTCATCTCACTTTTGTTTGAAGAATTTTATTAGGATATTTATGTAGTATCATGCTTACTTCATAATAGATAAAACTATTGAGTAGATTTAGGACGTTTAATAATTTAACAATGCGACTTGAGTGTCCAAGATGGACTGAAACCTCATCACTTTCCTTTCTCTTCATATGTATGGTTTGGTTATTAATTTTTAGCCACGTTATTGACTACTCTTGTGCTAAATAGTCTGTGCTAAATAGCCTAAATATTGGATCATTTGCTAATAATTCTTTAACTATTCATATGTTAGTGTAATTCTTATTTAGTATTTAGTGTTTACCTCGTTAAACATTTCAGTAATTTAACAATTATTTTAAGTTATACCAGAAATGTTTTACGTACTTATGGTTTTATTTAATAGACATTTTAGGTAACGATTTAACCCCTGTACTGTATTGCCACATTTTTCAAATTACAGCATTAATTATATTATTACAATAAGAAATCATAATGGCACGATATGTCAATGAGAAAATCATTTGGAGCAATGCGGGGATTGGAACCAGCGTTCCTGCGACTCCCAAATGCTCGTCTTAACCTGCTCAGCCATGACAGGCTTGTCCTGTGGAGGCCGAGTCACTAGAATTCTGGTTCAGATCCCCCACATTGCTCCAAATTATTTTATCATTATTATTATTATTTAGTACAATGCTTAAATTAGTTCTGTAATTACAAATCCATTACAGTACATACTGTAATTATAGTAATTACAATTGTAATTATAGTAATAATAATGTAATTATACGATGATTACAGTACAGTATTATAAATAGAACTATAATTGTATTGTACCATACAGTACAATACAGTGCTTTAAAATTTTAAAATTTTCAGGAACCTTGTGATAGCCTTGAAAGAACTTTCCATACGAGGAGATTTCCGAACAACTGTGGAATACTTGATAACTCTTCTGGAGACTGAAACATTTCAAGAAAACTCTATTGGTAAGTTGAAAGTATTATTGCATTTGTAATAATACAAAAAATATTAATAATCTATTAAACAAATAGCAATAAAGCCATTGTGCATATTTATTATATAGAAGACAGTTTATGTGGAAGAAGATTGGGGTTAATTTTCTTTGGATTCTTGCTCACGAGATTGAGGTGAGACCTCTGAAGAGGAATTTTACTAAAAAAAAAAAAAAATCATTTTGGCTTTGAAAGCCTACTGCCGATATGCTGGTTTGAATAGGACAGCACATAATGTAAACCTAATGGTGGAACTGACTCTGAACCTAGCAGAGAGACTGCTGGTGATGGATGAAATGATTGTCATGGTCGCAATGCTCTGTAGAGCATCCTTCCATGCTGCATCAAGTACTTTTGCCACTCACTATAGTGCTCTTACCATAATGCCCAACACAAGGGACACGTCCTAAATCTTTGGACCCGAGTTTTATGTCGCCAGGTCTTCTGCTGTTGACTTAAGTACTAAAAAGAGGCTTTGGCTTTTAGGCAAAGTGCTTGGCAATCACTAATGTCATTTTGTCACTGTGCTCTGCAGAGAAAGGCGAGACCTATAACTAAGTAATAATAAAAATATATTGCCATAATATCTCTACCAAGGCCTGACCTGGTGGATATGTCAAATAGTCTGCACTGACTCAGTTGAAGGTAACTGCTGAATGGGCCAATGCACTGCATGCTGGAAACTTAATTTTAAAGATGAAAACATGTCGAACTGGACTGACAATCTAGTTCTAGCCTGCCAGTTGCACTTAGGACAACACTCAAGGCGTATGTGATGTAGTTTGGGCCAGGAGACCCCGAGATAAAGTACTGCCATTGTGGTGCTTGGTTTATTTGACCAGGGAAGATGAACGGTAGTTAGCGAAAGCCCTTGATGGTGGTCACCTGCGATGCGAAGGAATAGTTTGGAAAGGTGTCAAGTTGGTAAATCTAGACTGGCTTTGTTTCCCAGTGACTTCCCTATCTCCTTTAATGACCACACTGGGCCTGTTTGAAAAGATGCAAGGTGTCAGTAAGCCATTGTGCCCAATTGTGCCATGTTCATTATGCCATGGACAATTAGATAGTAGAATTTGGTACTGCTCACGTTATAATCAGGAAAAAATAAAGCTGAAAACCAGACAAATATTCCTAGGCCTAGTATAGCACATGTGTGTTTTGTATTAGGCCTAAGATGGCTAGATTAGGTTCTATTAGCAACATAAATACAAAATTTTTTCCAGTTACAAAATAAATAGTACCAGGTTCTTCTTTCTAATTATGCTAATATAGAGTATGTACAATGGTCCACATCATTGCTATAAACACCATCTAAACAGGAGGATGAGCTGTAGATAGTTGACTAGTGAAACTTCTCTAATGGAGTTACTTGAAAGAAAGTATCAAGGTTATTGATATAAATAAAATATAAAAATTATCTATATTCTCAATGTTGTACAGTATATTAGTGAAAAGATATATCTAATATTTGTAGCGATTTCCTCGTCTAGAATTCAACTCGAATGGAACAATTAATTTTGCAACTCTTCTGTTGCTTCTGACATTTGCTTTTGTTTTCAATATTTTTGACAAATTTTTTTTATTTGTATTCATGTAAGTGATAGAACAAAGTATTGCATATACAGTACAGTATTTTGATTCTTAAGTAACTTGAAAATAATAATTTCTGATCCAAATATCCATTATCGTTATCTCATTTCCTACTTCCATGGTGTCGGGAGGCCTCGCCATAGAAGGAATAAAATAGGGGACTACTAGAGCAAAATAAGTTTGATATTAAAAATATGAAATCGCTCATTTATCATCTTTTCATTCACCTGGGCTGTAGGAGACGTGAACCACTGACCCCACGTGTGTGAGGCAGAAGCTCTATCCACCCAGTTATGAGTGGATAGACTCATTTGTTATATTGTATTACACTATAGCATTATAGATAAGACAAGAACACTTACACTACAGCAGCCATCCACCACATCACCCTACCACTTCGTAGTTTCATGTGACCATGAAGTATTATACAGAGCTCCTTATGTTATATGCGTCTCTTTTGCTATATGCTGTATAATAAAAATATATATTGACTCCCTGCTTACCAACCACTTGCACCACATCCCATGCATGTTCACCCTCTATCCCCCCCATTTCTAAACACACTCCCATCATCAAGGATATCATCTTGAACTCTCGGGAATATTTGTGTACATCATGAGATACATTGCTTAATGTTAGAACTGTATATTATATTTGATGGATCCACAGTGGTACAAGTGGTTGAGCACCATTCCTTCACTCTATCCTTATATCCTAGCTCCTTGCCTTTATTCCTTACAAGTGCTATATACCCATACTGGCTTAGTAACACTTTCTCCTAATAATAACTTTTCCTTCCTAATTATCATCATGATGGGAACATCATGATGGGAACATTGTGCTGCATATGAATATAATTTTTTTTTTATAGATACTGGTTGGCTGGATCACTTGATAGCATCACAGGTGAAAGGAAAGAAACCGGATACCATGTTAGCAGTGATGTGTGCATCTGTCCTCATAGCTGACAATACTATTCAGGATGCTTATAATAATTTCCACAACTCTTTAGAAAAGTAAGTACTGTACAGTATATGTACTTGTCTGTCTGGTAACATGTAAATGAAGATACATGGTTTGTGATAAAACACATACCTTGTATAATTTAAACAAGAAATGCAGCATATTTTAACACTATCGTGTGCCGGGCATGCGCTCCGCCGACTTAGAGGTCACGCCCCCGGCATGCGGGCAAGCGTGCGGCGACACTGAAATGTGTATACTCGTTTAAATTTTCTTGCCTTAATTCTCGTTCTACGTCGCTTGTTTTGGTATCATTGTGTTCACAATTAAATTCCCTGCAGGTGTATATGCATATAGTGTACAAAAGCCCGGCGTGGTTCCCCGCAGGAAAGCCTAAATTTACCCGTAAACGAGCACCAATTGGGACACCTCAACCTAATGTGTATACTCGTTCAGTTTGATAATATAAATTTTCGTGTTACGTCTTTCATTTTGGTATCAAATTGTTCGCAATATAAAGGCGCGCATTTTAAAATTAGTCCCATAATAATAGAGCAATAGCTGGAATTTTAACAAATATTTTAATTTTGTACCCTCATCATCACAAAATTATTTATATCTTTCAAGTGTTCTGACATCAGGTTTCGTGTTACATCTTTCATTATGGTATCAAATTGTGCGCACACTAAGGGGGCTTATTTTAAAACTATCCCGAAGTCGAACGGATAAAAAATGAATTTTATACAAATATTTTGGTATTGGATGCGAGTGCTGTCCACGGCTAGGACTCAAGAGAAAAAAAAATGGACGTCAGCGTCGTCCATGGCCATCGATACTGCTAATTTTATATCTAGGTAGTAAATCTGATATTTTTTTTGCAAGAGAAAGAATTACCATGGTAAACAAGTGGTATACTTGGTACTTATGGGTGATGGTATGGTATACCATCACCTTATGGTATGGGTGATTTGTTTGGGTCTGCAAAATCATCTTGAGCTTTGTTTCAAAAAGCTGCTAATGTGCATTTACAAACATCTTTCTGAAGGTGTCTTCTGCACTCGGTCCAGTGGAAAACCGAGTTCACATCTTCCCATAAGTGCTGAAGTCACTTGCCCATTGGGCTGAGTCCAAAGGGCACTTTTAGAAAGAATTTACATAAGTACTCAAAGCAACTTATGGAAACCCAACCAGAAGATGGTGCTGGTATGCTGCATAGCCAGAGAAAACAGCTAGAGGTATGGCCATGTGCAAGAGTTGAAGAAAATTTATACAACTTGATTTGAGAGTTGAATGGTCAAGATGAGGGAAGCTTCTTAAACATTAAGACAGTGTGCTATACACTTACAGAATAAGTGGCAATGAACAGACCTAAGTGGAAGTTTTGTTGCAAGGGAATAAATGACTTGACAGTTTTTGTGGGAAGTCAGTTTGAGAAATTCTGATTTTAATAAATTGCTGGTGATGGTTCGTAGTTTACAACTGAGCTGCCAGTTATTGGAAGTAATATGAAAGGTCATTACATCTCTGTAGGTTGAATACTCTTCCTATAATTAGTTTTCATCTTGAATTTAATGCATTTGAAATTTTCGAAATTTTGTTAGAGGACAACTTGCAAAGGCCTAAATTTTTTTATTATACAGTGTGTGGGTATCTGGGGGTGACCCAGGATGCAAGTTCCGTACAATTGCATTGCTCCCGAAAGATTTTCTCAAAGATTATATTTTTTAACTATACTGTAATTAAATAATTACCAAGCTGTTTCTTTCTTTAAAGGGGACAAACCTTGCCACTTAAATCACTAAATAATGTGGTCGAGGTTGACCTGATATCGGATGGGATCAAGTACCATGTGCAGGCCACCAAATCGGGTCCTACTCAGTACTTCCTAGTGCTAAATGCCACTCACAAATGTGTCGATTTCTTCCGCATGAGCGATGGTGGTCTGCTGCTGTCAGTGGATGGAGTTAGCCATGTCACATACCTCAAAGATGAAGTGGACAAGTAAGTGATGTTATACATGTTAAAGGGAAAAAACTCTTAATAGTTTATAGTCTACTAACATTTTTTTTATGCAGCCTACAAGATAAGGCCATTCTCCTAAGGTTGAGAATCTTAACAGGATATCCAACAAATACACTTTCGTTCATAATTTTAAGCTGCTAATTTATTGTACCAAGAGTGGAAACAAAATTGCTATTGCTAATATATTACAAATATGAGGGATCATCTTTGTAGAGGGTATGTAGAGGGCACACGTTTGATGCAATGTGTTGCTGGAAATATAGATTAGCTGTCCCACACTACCTACACAAACCATCCTTATTCTGTTTCACATGAGCAGTTGTTCTATTTAAAATTTCACCTTTGCTATGATAAACAAAGAGGAAATGAGGACCTAATTAATAAAAGGAAATGAATATTAACAAAGTCTTGCTCTTTTCAACAGGTACTGCCTCACCATTGGTCATCAGACTTGTGTATTTGAAAAGGAAAATGATCCAACGACCCTGCGTAGTTCAGCACCAGGAAAGCTCATAAATTATCTACAGGAAGATGGAAGCCATGTGTTTGTAGGGCAACCATATGCTGAAATTGAGGTAATTTAGCAAAAGTTACTTAGCATGTTTCTTAAGTTGTCACTTTCATGGCATGTTCTTTACGTGCTTAGTTTGTTTTTCCTGTGAAACTATCAAAGATTCGTGAAACTGTCTTGTATTTTGTGCCTACTCTTTCTGCATATGCTTTATGATTTACTCTGAATAGGATGTTATAATATTGATGTACTGTATCATGTATTCTGTTTTAAGATAATCCTGTGAACTCACTAATATCCCTTTACATGGTTACCAAATTATTGATAGTTTTCTTAGAGTATTCTACCTTCAAATTCATGGTTTTTCTATTTTGAATATTTATAAATTTGCAGGCAAGTAAAATTGTCTTACCACATATTATAAACATTTCCTTGATTTATGGTATACAGCTTGTTCAGTGTTATACCTTGTTTGAAGAGTTGAGTCATGTTCCATTCAGCTTCCTCAGTAAGCCGATTTCATTCTAAGTCAATTTTCATCACCCATTTCTTTGTTTCATTAACCACTGAGAGTTGTGCTTTTTTTTTTAATTGGGATATATTTTAATGTTTTCATCATTCTGTGTTTTGAAATGAAAATGATTGAGTTTGGAAACATTTTGACATTAACTTTCCTTGAACATTTATAGAAACAACAAAAATATGTTCTTGACAATTGCACTATGAAGTTTTTGCCGAAACCAGGTGCGCAGTGTGGTGGTTAAGGTACAGGTAATGTCTATGTACATGTGGTGTCCATACTTCAATACAGTAGTTGAGGTTGGAGACCTTCAACTTGTATTTAAAAGTTGAATTCCTGGTGTTTAGATTTTGTAACAGGCTTAGAGCTTTCTCCTCATCATAAACCTTATTATGTTTTCCTTGGAATATGATCCACCTATTGATTTGCAACCAGGTCCCCAATTACTGCTGAGGTGAACAGAGACTAACACTTAAAGGATTGGTGCCCAGTTGATCCTCCCTAATCTTTGCTGATGCCTTCCAACCCCATGAAAAGTGAGGAATTGGAATAAAAATAAATGTACTGTTTTACAAGATAATCTTTGGAGCAGTCTTATGGAATTGATCTTGCATCCTTGGTTACCCCAGATGAACACATTACACATTAGACTATGATGGGCATAAAAGCAACACAACCTGATGTCCACATGAACTTGAGTTGGGTGGCACTGGAATTTTTACATGTTACTCTCACTAATTGGTGTAGGTAATGAAGTTCTGTACCAAATGCTCCCATTTTGCTTCTAAGCCTATCATTGTTTATTGGGTAATGTGTGCATCTGGGGAGACTCAGGATAGGAGTTTGAATCCATCAGACTGCTCTAAAGATGTTCTCGTAGATATATCGTGCTACTATGATTTCATATTGCATGATGCTTCTAGATATTGAGCTTTTTCAATAACTAGTGGATGTTTACCGTTATATCCCACATCCTCAGTCTTGTTCTGAAGGATCTTTGCGAGTCTTTTGTCCATTTGTAAAGCTTGTATTGGGGATTAATGCATGAATATACAGTATTGTATGCTCAGTGTCCAAATTTTCTGTAAATTTTTGTCCACAAAAGACAAAATTGATGATGTAGTTTGAGATGCTATTAATGTTGACTACAAAACTGGGTTGGTTGCAAAATGTATTCTTATAGCACTAAGCTGACACCATTGTGCCAGGCAGACTTTATTTGTTGACTGTCTTCTGTGTTTTGGTTATTGTATTATTAATTATATTATTTTGCCAGGGATTCCATCACTTGCATTTTCTTGACTATTGTGTAGCACTTAATCATATTATTTAATTTCAGTAACATAATGCAATTCGTGATAGACAAATGCATGGTAGGTCCAGTAATTAATGATTTTATTGATTAATTTTAATAATTTAATTTATACAAAGTGTTAGTTGACTTTCTAAATTAAAACCTTGAAATATTAAACTACTAATGATTTCTGTGAATTTTGTTAGGGTTACAGCAAGGAGGAAAGTAATTTAGATATAAATGACTATATATTTATGAACTATGATTGAGAGAGTCATGAAATTAGTTTAAAGGAAATATCCATTAAATATGTAATGGTGTTTTAAATAACTACTGTATAGGACTATTAAGTATTTCAGTATTTCGTATCGTTAACTGAACCTCAACTTATTGCCCTATCTGGTGTTAGTACGAGGGATTAGGAAACTCCTGCCCACACATTTTTTTATGAATGCATCGAGCTCTGTCGGTGTTAACTAGAATGTGTCTTTTCCTGTCAGATAGTGATAAATGGTCCTCGGGCATGTTGACATTAGAATGGCTGGCATTTTTAAATGTGTTCATTTTATCTTTTATTCATGTCTCCTTATCTTATTTTCCATAAATGATTTTTTATATGGAAATTTTTTTTAGGTTATTTTTTCTCATCTTTGTCCAGACCCAGTTTTCATTTAAATATTAATAAAGAACTGTGAATGATCTTCAGCTCCTGTGCTGTTTCTGCATTTTTTCTTATAGAAATCATTAAAAATAAAGTGCATACTTTAAATCTTAAGAGGTAAATTTGTAAATTTTTCTATTTCAATTTATTATTTAAATTTTTATTCACTTGAATTGTATAGATATCAAGGGTACAATGGAATGGGTTGTGAAAGTAAATATTTTGGTGATTATGTAGTTATGTAGTACATTCTTGCAAAGCCACCAACACGTAACGATTCATCAAGGTCAGTTACGTTGTTTCCACAGCTGATTATATTAAATACCTTATGATTCCTTCAGAGCATGAAGATGGTCATGGCATTGACAGTAACAGAATCTGGGTGTGTGTACCACCTCAAGCGTCCTGGAGCAGTGCTGAGTGCTGGAGACATTATTGCAAGGTTGGATCTCGATGATTCCTCCATCGTTACGAAAGCTCAGCCATTTACTGGAGGATTTCCCACAAACAGTACGCCTTTACCAAGAGAAGATGAAAAGCTTAACCACATCTACCAAACACGAAGAGCAATTCTGGATAATGTTCTCAATGGTAAGGAAGCTTTCTCTTTTCTGGCTTTTGATATTAATAGTCTCTGGTCACACTTTATTAATTTGGCTTTCAGATAGTATTATATCTGGGTCAAAACTTCTTGGTTGAAAACAATATTTAATAAATTATCATGAACTGCAGAAGTTAATCTTTCAGTTGGCTTGGATAACATTTTGAAGCAGGTGACAATTATTTTCAAATATCAATGAATTTGAAAAAAAAAATGCTCGTGGGCAGATTTAGAATACTGACAAGGGTGGCAACCTACAACTACTGTACTATTCCTTGACCTTACCATTGAGCTGGGTTTGTTCCATCCTTCTTTCTCCCTTCTTCAAAGGGATACATAAACTTAGTTTTTAAAAGACAATAAAAACTTGAGAAAATCAGTAAGACCCTTGAAGAGGATCCAGACCTGCACACTGGATACTCCAAAGTACACGCCTTGAACCACTGACTCCTACTGATTTTCTCATTGATTCATCACGTTAATGTGATTTCTTTGAGGAAAACTTATTCTACAATAATTGTGAAAAGATGCAAAAGAACTCGTGCATGGAAAGAAATCTTGGAGGTATTGGATAATAAAGGGTCACATAACAAAAGTAAAATTGTGAGCCTTGCTCTTTTGGCCAAATTAAATTGCATTTTAAAGTTGTAGATGATGAAGTGCAAAAATAAATGTATATAATGAGAACCTAACTAGACTGTGTAGCACTTGTATGGTGCTCATATCTCAAAAACACATAAATGAAAGAGAAAAGGTGTAAAGACATTCCACAAATGGCTCTCAAACCAAAAATACTGTATGGGCCCCAAGCTTTTTACCGTATGTGTATAGGCTTTAGTACCGAAACCCATTCTTACTTACTAAAGATTCCATAATTATGGAATCTTTATGTAAATGGGGAATCCTTCTTGGAGGTACTGTGATAACACAATAGTCAAAATTAACAAAAAAAAAAAAAAAAAAAAAACTTTGACAGGATAACTCATTCTTTTCACTGTTTGACAATTCAGTCAAGGCATACAAGTTACAGTGTACATTATAGTTTGTAGATGAACAACTTGTTCTATTTTAATAGCCTTAATGGTTAAGTTTACAAAAATGTCTAAAATCTTACTTTTACTAATAACACTGAATAAAAAAAATTCTTGTTAAGGACTACTCCAACAAAAGCTGACTTAGTCACCAAGGTCGTGTACTAAGTAATTCTTTTCACAGTCAGTATTACTGAACTTTCATTTACTTCTAAGTGTGTTCTTGACTGGACCTAGTCCATTGTTACACCATCATTGCAAAGTGAAAATGCCACTAGTAGGTGAACAAATATTAATAGGACACCCTGTCCTCTTACAAAGAACATCTCATTTTGATCATGTGATTACATAAGGCCAAAAATTGTCTTTCTAGAAAATTGAAGTGGCTCGTGAAAGTGACTTACTGTCCCGTTTTCTGTTTTGGGTCCTCTGGTAGGTTAGGAGTGGACACTTTAAATTGACTGTTTTGTTGACATTGTGAAACCTTAGGATGGACTGAATAGGAAAATTCATAAGAGATGGTACTTGGCACAAACTTTCACATAACAAACATACATGGCAGAAATCATAATGTGGTGCTTTGCCACTGGGACATTTACCAACATGGAATTCCTACACCTTTGCTATAATATAATGGCACCACACTAAAAGATCTATTCACTGCACATAGCTACAGGTTGGATGAACATGCTTTTCAAATTTTATTTCATCTTATTTCTTACAGAATTTAGAATTGATCTTTTATACACACACACTTTCCTCATGTTTTCCAGTCACAGAATGTACTTGGAAATAATTTTTTTTTTTTATATAGAATAGCATTTGAGTGTGTTTTTAGCAGGGGACCACTGAAAATACACTACTGCACATGTACAGGGTTAGCTGCTGCTTTGGCAGGCGTTTTGAAAGTACCCTTTACAACACAACCACTATTTAAACCAACTTATTACAATGGTCCCTTAGAATACAAGGGCTTTGTGGAAAGACAAAGTGTTTGATGTGCAAAAATTAGTGGACAGAAGAAAAAAGTGACATGATTGCTACATGCAAGATTGTAATGAATTTATAAAATTGATTAGGTGGAATTTTATAAAGTGTGCAATATCAAGGATGCAGGTCATGAATTCAAGGCATGCATAATTTATATGAGAAGGTAGTTTGTGTGACAACCATGAGAAGCTTCAAAACTTCATAAGAAAACTCTGCCTGTCAATTCAGTAAAGCACAAGCCACACACATGAGCAGAGAATTCATGTTAATGTGAAGTGGTCATGAAAATATAGCCAGACAGCACAAAATATAAACAAAATGTTTGGGATTAATTTCACTTCAACAGCAGTGGTAGCCCTGGGAAGAGAGTGAGGTGGAATCACTAACTGATACATGATTCGTGGCTCCACCTGGTGATAGGTGGGGGGTGATAATCAGACTGCTACTAGTTGCTACTGCTATTGTTTGACTGCTATAAACTATTAGTTGACAAAGTATTACAATGTGGCCACATTTGACATAGGGCTTTTGAGTATAGAAATATTCCTTCTGGTGATTCAGGACTTGAGAACTTCTCAACCCAGCCATCTTTCATCTATATAACCCTGGTAGATGCATTTAGAAAACTGTGTTGGAGATAAGATTGTTTCTTATAAAAATAGATTATTGAAATCTATAAATTTCCTCCAATTTTACAGGATATTGTCTCCCTGATGACTACTTCACCCCCATGGTGAAGGTGACTGTTCAAAAGCTGATGAGTGTGTTGCGAGATCCAAACCTTCCCCTGCTTGAACTACAGGTATTGATTTATTAAACACAAGATTACAAGTATTTTTATGTCTAGGAGTCAATATATATATATATACTGTATATATGGCTGAAGTAATTTAACTTTTTATTATGAAATTTTTTATAGCTAGAAATAAGGCTAGCTAGGTGTAAAAATTATTTTATATTGGATATTAATGTCTAATGAAAATGAAAAGATAAGGAAACTAACATGCATTTTGGGTCGTGTCGCCTCAGATTCATGTGCAAGTAAAATCTAGACTAAATGTCTAGGTCAGCATTGTCTTCCTGCTTAGTGCAGCTGGTTCAAAACCAAAAGGTTCTGGGTTTGATGCCCATGAAAGGACACACACACACACACACACACACACACACACACATTTGGGCACATTTCTGTTTGCCTTACACCTCTGTTCACCTAATAGTAAATTGTGTTTAGTGTGTTTAAACCAGTGTTTAAACACAAACCAGTGTGTTTAGTCAGTTGTGTGGGTTGTCTCCTGGGGAAATGTCGTTATTGCTCTTGATGAACCTAATTAGATTTTTTCCCCAAACATTGGGACACCAAACCAAAGCCACATGTGAAGTTCCTTGTCAAATAAAAGCCTTGTTTGTGTACAATGTGTTGAACAGACCCTGGCCATTGATAAGGAAGTAATTGATGGATCACTCGGAAAGGAGCATGTTGAAACGCCTAATTCCCCATTATTGTAAATTTATATGAAATACAGTATACTGTGTTTAAAAGTTTAATTAATCCGTTCAGTTAAGATCATTTTTGTGATATTGGTTAAACCCTTAATCATCTTATAATAAAAAGATTATTTGAACATGAAAACAGATGAAAATAATTGTATAAAAAATTATTTATTCTTGCAGAATAATTTGACTGAAGTGCAAATTATTTGGCATGCATCATTACCAACTCTTGGGTTATTTAAGGTGTTACTTGAACAAATGTTGACAAACCTTTAGAAAATTTGTGTATGAATTTAAGGGAGGATTTTTCTTCTGTTAAATTGAAGCTGGAAAATGTATTTTGATGTACAGTATTAGGATACTGTACTGTACAGTATATGCAAAATAGTAGCAGAGTTCTTTTTAAGAGTTAAATTGATTATTAGTTCTGGTATAACTCTGCTTTCTATCACCTGTTTAGTATTGATTTTATTTCTGTAGGAAGTTATAGCATCAGTGAGTGGGAGAATACCTCAAGCTGTGGAGAAGAAGATACGCAAGTACATGATGATTTACGGCAGCAATGTGACTTCCATGTTGGCACAGTTCCCATCTCAGGAGATTGCAAGTGCTGTTGATAGGTTTGTAATAATGCTTTCTGGTACTGGGAATTGGCTGGTAATTAATATACATTACTTTCATGCAATGTTCAGAAGTCTCTTCTAGTTGCCTGGCTTGATGGAAGGTGTGTGTGGTGTGTAATAGATTAATAATATTTTCCAGTTTGTTGCCTGTTAATTTTCCAGTTAAAACTAAATTTGTACTATTATGTTGTATTTTTAAAGAATTTGTTAGTTCTGTTAAAAATGAGACCTACAGTATTAGGTGAGAGGATGGTTGTACTTGACAGGTTAGACATTTAAGGCATTTTATGAATTAGATGCACATCTCATTTTTATGTGAAACTGTTTCAAAGAACACCAGTATTCATCCTACAGTCATGCTGCGTCTCTTCAGAAAAAAGACCGTGATGTGTTTTTTGTAACGACTCAGGGGCTGGTTCAGCTTTGCCAACGTTACAAAAAAGGTAGTCGCGGTCGTATGACGCAGGTTGTACAAGAACTACTAAAGCATTATCTACAAGTTGAGACACAGTTTCAGCATGGTGAGTATGGTATACAGTTTTTCAATGGAATAAATGTCCTTATACCCATGCCTTGCAGATGACTGGAACTCTTGCTGTTCTTTGCACTCGATGATTCTGGCACTGAACCCAGTGCCAGAATCTTGTTAATGCATGCATCATTCTTGTCTTAGGTTCATCGATATGAATAATTCCTCATATAATGCTTTACATGTATTTTGTGAAATGAAATTGAAATAAGTTTATCGAGGTTTACGTACACACAAAGGAATGAGGTAGCTCAAGCTATTCTCACCCTGTTCGGTACTATATTTTGTGAAGGTTTCTCAAACACGTATATTTTATAACTTGTATATTTTTAATAAGAAGTAATATTGTAGAACAAATTTCCTTTGCAAACATTGCAACATACTGAATTCAACCACTGAACAGATCCTTGTGACAGTGGGCATTAGCCATCAAAATAGTAGCGATCTACATCCCGATTCACAACCAAGGGTCCCGGGGTTTGGTCCCTGGGCAGAACATAAATAATTGGGCACATTTCCTTTCACTTAGATTCCTTTGTTCACTTAGCAGTAAATAGGTACCCAGGAGTTGGGCAGTTGCTGTGGGTTGTATCCTGGGGAATGTCAGTAGGCCTAACGGGGACCACAATAAGCTTTAATACAGGCTTCCTGTTCCCAGCAACGAGAATTATTAAAGGAATGCTTTTGGGACATTAAGGCCTATTCTTTTTGAGTTTCACTAAAATTCAATCCTAACTACCTGTGTTTTGCCTTAGTTTATTTGAAGATGGTTGTGAGGATTGATGCCTTCCAGGGCCTGGTCTCTAAACATGTCTCTTGGTTGACTGTCTGATCTACCAGACTGTTTGATGCTGCTGCACAAGGTCTAATGTAGAAATCACAATTTGGTTGATCAGATGGGCATTATCAGTCGCTATGGCGCAGTGGTAAGACACTCGCCCTGCTCTTTGCGAGTGATTTGGCCTTGGATCGTATCCTGGCTGGGAAGAATTGACTAGGCACCAATCCTTAATTGTATGCCTCTCTTCACGCAGCAGTAAACAAGTATCTGGTTGTTAAACAATTTGGCGAGTCGTATTCCAGTGAAAATTAAGATTAAGGACCTGCCCAAAACACTATTCATGCTAGAGGCTTTACAAGAATGTAAGAACTCTTGTATATATAAATAAATAAAAAAAGATCTTCAAATTATCATAAAACTCTGTAAATTATGTACTGTATTAAAAGTAACAAAGATTACTTTGTAGGGTCTTACGACAAGTGTGTCCACGCTCTGAGAGAGAAGTACAAGGAGGATGTCACTAGTGTACTGGCTACACTTGTGTCACACTCGCAAGTTGCTAAGAAAAATAAGGTTAGTAGTATTATCTAAGATTAATCCACTTTAATTATTCCTTTGAAATGTGCTCTCTCCTGGGAAGATAGTATGTTTTATTTTGAGTGAGAGCCACCACTCTCGCCCCTCACCTATAGACACTATATGCTATAAACATCTTGTGCAGTAAATATTTGTTACCAGAGATTCACCTGTACTGTTGACAGGAGCAGCGTGGCATTAGTTGGCTGTGTGGATGTTTTAATGACTTGTAAGAAGATTCTTGTAGGTTGAAAAGGGGGGTTGGGTAAGCAGGGCCAGGAGAAATATATGTGGAGAGGAGGTAATTTAGTGCGGTTACAAGGACTTCACCTAGATGCTGGACTGTTTTATTATGGTCTTGGCTTATTGGAGGCAAAAGTATTGGACAGGATTGGCATCACTTGAGTCAACGGTGGATTGAGATGCAGAAATGAGGACTTGGGAGGGTCTTTGTATTAGTGGATGTTTGCAAGTTGGGCACTTGAGTCAGGGACTCCCTGTATATATAAATGTAAAAAATTAGAAATTATGCAAATGATTTACAGTTTGATAGTGGTACTTTATTCTGAAGAGTATAGACTATTTAGATTCTATAGCTATAGTGGTAAATATTACAGTGCAATAATTTTTTATGTATTTTTTTATTAAAGGTCTTAAAAGCTGATTTTTTTTGTTTCTAGATGGTGATTCTTCTTATCGAGCACCTTTGTGGTCATGAGCCGGGCTTGACGGATGATCTGTCATTGATCCTGGAACAACTGACAAAGCTCAACAGCACGGAGCATTCTCGTGTGGCTCTTCGGGCACGTCAGGTATACAGATTGCCTTTTTATTTTGGATACTCGTTTTAATTTCATTCCTTCGGTAACGTTCTTGATCTCTAAATTTCTATTTAACCCTCGAGTGGTACAGTGATTTAAAAGTACTCTTATCAAAGTGTGCAGGATTTAAAATGGTTAATAAACCAAATTGGATGAAATTGCATATAGCAAGTGAGCAGTGTAGGGGTTTTTATTTTCCTGCACTTGTTAACTTCACTGTAGTACAGTACTGTATTGCTCCAACCTCTAAAATTTGAGTATGAAATAAATTCACTCAAGTTGGGTCTTTTGATTGGGAAGAAATAGTGTAGAATATATGACCATTTATTATTAAAAGGGAGAATATTTACCTGTAAATTTGCACGTTACTGAAAAACGTCACGGGCTGGTCGCCCGTGTGTGACGCAGGGATGCCAGATTTGAATTGCCGAAAGTCGCGAGCTGAAGAACTAATTGTTACAAACTTTACAATAAAAGTAGCCAAATATTTTTTTTCCGATTAATTCGCTTTTTAGAATAAGCAGCAAAGCTTATTTTAACTGTAACCAAAAAAATAGTAAGTAGTGACATACGTAGATGGTTTTTTAATTGAATGCAATTATCCTAATTGGTAACCGAATTGGGTTACAAGTAGCCCAATCTGGCATCCCTGGTGTGACGCTCCTAGACGCTCACCATTCAAGCTTAGCGAGTTACCCCACACACATTTACAATTAATATTTTGATTTATTTTTCATGCTTTATAATGTTTTCTTTCTATTTTATCTGATGCATATGTGTCTTTTACAATATTTATTCAGTAGAATGTTCATAATGTTCCATGGAACTGTGATTCATGTCAGTAATGTGTCCACAATAAATGTTTATTATTGCAATATTGCTTGTTCAAAATTCACTAATATTACATTATGTACAGCTTCCACACACTATTTACAAAGTAATATTGTAACTTAATATTTTACCCCCGACAGGTGCTAATTGCTGCGCATCAGCCGGCTTATGAACTCCGCTACAACCAGATGGAGTCCATCTTCCTCCCTGCTATAGATATGTATGGTCATTCATTCCATCCTGAGAACTTGCAAAAACTGATCCTTTCAGAAACTTCTATATTTGACGTGTTGCATGCTTTCTTCTACCATACCAACATGGCTGTCAGGATGGCTAGTTTAGAGGTAAGGATTATGTCATTTTTCACATTTCTTCTAGACTGTGTTGTAGTATTTGAAATGGCATATGGCAAAGTTCTTAGAAATGAATTTTGGAGAGTGATACATTTGACTGTTATATAATACAGTAGAACCTCGAGTGAGGACCGCCTCAAATGGTGAGCAATTTGGGTAACGAGCGCTCGGATTGCCGACAATTTGTCTCGTTAGGCGATCGCTCGTTTGAATAACTTCAACACCACATGGTGGGGTCGCGCCGCCTCTGACGACAGTGTTGTTGTGGTGTCGCGTATGACCAGTATCCCTCTGCATCGTTTCGCATATAATTGTGATAGTGGGTTTTGTGTGGGTTTGTGACTGCACTTCTTAATGCATGATGTCGGCAAAGAAGCAGCTTGGTAAAGGTGTTGGCAAGGAGAAGAAAGAGCCAATCACTGGACATTAAGAAGGGAATCATAGGAAAGCACGAGCGTGGTGTTCGTGTGGCTGATCTCGCCAGGGAGTATGGCAGGTCTTCCTCAACAATTAGCACCATTTTGAAGAGGAAGGAACAATTTAAGACGCTTGATGTGGCCAACGGAGTTACTAAGGTTACCAAGAAACGTCCAAAACTCCTAGATGATGTTGAAAGGCTACTGCTGGTAAGGATGAATGAACGTCAATTACATGGCGATAGTGTCTCTGAGCTATCGTTTGTGCTAAGGCAAGGGTGCTATATGTGGACCTTGTCAGGAAGATACCAGGTGCATCGTCCGAAGATGAAGAGTTATTTAAGGCAAGCCGTGGATGGTTCGAGAACTTTAGGAAGAGGAGTGGTATACACAATATGTGCGACATGGGGAGGCTGCCAGCTCTAATAAAGCTGCTGCTGAGACTTTTGTGCCACAGTTCGAGGAATTTATTGATCGGGAGCAGTTCCTGCCCCAACGGGTTTTCAATTGTGATGAGACTGGGTTGTTTTGGAAAAAATTGACAGAGGACCTACATCACGCAAGAGGAACAATCGTTGCCTGGTCACAAACCGATGAAGGATCGTCTCACCCTCGTGCTCTGCGCCAATGCAAGTGGCGATTGCAAGGTAAAGCTGCTGCTCGTCTACCACTTGGAAAATCCACGAGTGTTCAAGGCGTGTAAGGTGCACAAGACACGGCTAAATGTGATATGGGGGTTCAACAAGAAGTCCTAAGTCACACGGATCTTCTTCAGTGAATGGGTAAATGAAGTTTTTGGCCCCACAGTGAGGAATTATCTTGTCGAGAAGCAGTTACCACTCAAGGCCTTGCTCTTGCTCGATAATGCACCTGCGCATCTTTCACAAATGCAAGATGATCTGTTCCCAGAGAATCAGTTCATCACCATAAAGTTTCTGCCTCCAAACACCACTCCACTCATCCAACACATGGAACAGCAAGTCATTGCTAACTTTAAGAAGCTGTACATGAAGGCTTTGTTGGAGAGGTGTGTTCATGTGATAGACACCACAGAGCTGACCCTCAAACAATCCTGGAAGGACCACTTCAATATCATGGGGGCCCTGCATTTGATTGATAAGGCCTGGGAAGGAGTGTCACTGAGGACCCTGCATGCTGCTGGCGAAACCTGTGGCCGGAGGGTGTCCCTGACCGAGATTTCGAAGGTTTTGGTCCTGCACCTGCATCTGCATCCGCACCTATGGATGACCCGGACGCGCTTTTAGTGGATGATATTGTTCCTCTGGGGCAAACATTGTGTCTAGAGGTGGATGCTGCTGATGTGCAGGAATTAGTGGAGGAGCACAGTGATGAACTGACCACTGAGGAACTCCTGGAACTGTTGAAAGAGCTGGTGCAACAGGAAGTAAGGGAGCTCGCAATGGGGGAGGAGTTATGGGAGGATGCTGTCCCGTCCAGTGAGATCAGGGACGTGTTGGGAATGTTCGGAAAGGTTACCGCATTCGCGGAAAACATCACTCCTGATAAGGTGGTGACAACACGTTGCATGAACATGTTTAATGACAATGTGCTGTCTCGGTTTAGGGACATCCTAAAACGTAGATAACGCCAAGTGGCACTCGATACGGTCTGTGGAAAGGGTGAGAAAAGACATGCAAGTGATAGTGAACCACAACCTGGTCCCAGTGGGGTTAAATTCCCAAAGAGAGAGAGCCCACCTGACTCACAGGTGGAGTCTCCCTCCACGCCGTAACCCCCTCTCCTCCTTCCCACCTCCCGATCGTCTCCCTCAAGCCAGCAACGTCTCTTCATAAGGTACAGTGAATGTAAAAATGGGAACAGGCAAACAAAACATTTATTGTACATGTACAGTATTATATTACCAGTGTATAATGTTACATTGTTGGTTTTGGGGCTGGAACGTATTATTTCTATTTACATTATTTTCAATGGGGCACTTCGTTTTGAATGACGTCAGTTTCACATGATGACCACGCCGTCGGAATGGATTAAATTCGTTATTCGAGGCTTCACTGTATTACATAAATTTTTTTTTTGACATTTGGCCATTTGGTGAAAAGCTTTGTGGCTTTTGTATACAAGAACAGGTAAGACTGTGTGTACATTTAGTGCATACTACCTGTTTTTTCTTGTTTACCATTTGTCATAATAATCTTCGTTGTGAGTTGATTTACCATTTTAATTTGTAATTTTTATTTTTTGGAATGACATTCTAAATGCCACTGAATTTGTTACTAATTTTCTTCTAAGGTTTATGTCCGGCGTGCATACATCAGCTATGAGCTGCCTTGCCTGCGGCATAAAGAATTGGCTGGAGGAGTCTCTGTTGTTTTCTTCAAGTTCTTGCTTCCCTCCTCGCATCCCAATCGGTAAGTTTCTTGATAGCTCCAGTACAAATATTGAAGGCACATGTAACCTATTTGCATTTTAACTTTTATATTTGTAAATTTTGTAATGTGCTCTTTCTTGAAAAACAGAGATCCCTTGACATTTTTAAAATAAGGAAAGACAGATGGTGTGTATTTTAAGTATGAATTATATATATATAATATACACACACACACACACACCACAGAGAGAGAGACAGACAGACAGACAGAGAGACAGAGGAGACACAGACAGACACAGACCACTTCCCCTTTGAGAGAATTGAACTTGGCCCAGCCAATTGGTTGGCCCGTGTGCTAACCAGACCACCATCAGATCATTAAAAGAGCTGCTAGTCAGGCAGCAGTTCCACGACTTTGCAGCTCCCAATGACACCAGATGATAGTTACAGATTAGACACATTTTCTGTCAATCATATTTACTATCTGTAACTATCATGTCTACTATCATAAGTAGGGCGCCTGACAGCTGGGTGGACAGCGCTTCGGATCCGTAGTCCTGAGGTTCTGGGTTTGAACCCCGGTGGAGGCGGAGACAAATGGGCAAAATGTTTCTTTCACCCCTGATGCTCCTGTTCACCTAGCTGAACAGACTCATGGGTACCTGGGAGTTAGACAGCTGCTACGGGGTGCTTCCTGGGGAAGCGTGTAACAAAAACGAGGCCGGGTTGAGGACCGGGCTGCGGGGATGCTAAGCCCCGAAATCATCTCGAGATAACCTCAAGATATATTATCTGGTGTTATTGGGAGCTGCAAAGTCATGGAATAGCCGTCTGACTAGCAGCTCTTTTAACACTTTCGCGCTTTCCGCAAAGGTCACTCAGCCAACCGAATGTGCGCGCAGCGTTTTTATCGCTTAAGCGTAAAAACAAAAATGTGTATACTCTTTTTACTCTTCTGACCTTAGTTCTCATGCTATGTATTTCATTTTGGTACCAACGTGTTCGCAATAAAATTCTCTAGAAGAACATCAGTAAAAAAAGTCACGAAACGTATAGGGATACCAGCACCAAATAAATAACTACGAAGATGACTCGCCGTGAGCGCCCATCAGCAACAAAATGTTTTTACCCTTGGGATTGTAATCACCTCCACACTTATTCTACAGCGTTAATTTTGGTATCAATGGACTCGCAATGAAATTCCCAACACGGTGATATGAATATAAGCGTAGAATAATGATGCGGCCCGCCCGCAAGAGTGTGGGAAGTGGTGAAATTGTTACCCGGTATCGGTGACGGGACGACGCACGGCGCTTTGAAAGTTTATACTTATTTCACTCTCATGACATTAATTTTCTATGTACGTCATTCATTTTTGTGTCAATGTGTTCGCAATAGAATGTTCTATGTGCCCATAGGTAAAAAATATCAACAAAGCGTAAGTTAGAATAGCGCCAAATATAAAACAACGCTGGAACATATCAGTGAGCGTCAAACACACACGAAATGTTTTTACTTTTGTTATGTTTGTCAAGTTTATACTTGTTGCACACAGTTATTTTTGGTTGTATATTGATCGGAATAAAATTCCCTAAACAGACATATGCATATAATACATGATATGGGGGAAGCATTACCAGTATAAACGGCTAAAGTCACCCACCTGCAACCCGTTTGGGACAAAATACCATTTGATCGAAGTTATCCACACCTTTCATGAACTTATTGTACCATGCAGCCTAGTGGTGAGAAAGAGAGCCTCATAGCGCGCAGTTTGAAACAAACCCAAAGTAAATCGGATAAAAATTGAATTTTATACAAATATTTTAAAAGAGGACTCAACTTTATGTCCACTATGCGTTAGCGTTAGACGAAACGGGACGCGCCGGCGCGTCCAGATAGCGCGAAAGTGTTAATGATGTGATGGTGGTCTGGTTAGCACACTGGCCACCCACTTGGCTGGGCCAAGTTTAATTCTCTCGTAGGGAAAGTGTTCTGTTTGTTAAATATAACTTGCACGTTCATGCAAGTATGTGTGTGTGTGTGTTTATAATTAATTAAGTGTAATTAGGTAAGTGTAGTTACAGGATAAGGGCTATGCTCGTGGTGTCCCGTCTACCCAGCACTCTTTGTCATATAACGCTTTGAAACTACTGATGGTTTTGGCCTCCACCACCTTCTCACTTAACTTGTTCCAATTGTCTACCACTCTGTGAAAGTGAATTTTCTTATATTTCTTCGACATCTTTGTTTAGTTAGTTTAAATCTAATGGTCTCTTGTTCTTGAAGTTCCAGGTCTCAGGAAATCTTCCCTATCAATTTTATCAATTCCTGTTACTATTTTATACATAGTGATCATATCACCTCTTTTTCTTCTGTCTTCTAGTTTTGGCATATTTAATACCTCTAACCTCTCCTCGTAGCTCTTGCCCTTCAGTTTTGGGAGCCACTTAGTAGCATGTCTTTGCACCTTTCCCAGTTTATTGATGTGCTTCTTAAGATATGGGCACCAGATAATCACTGTATATTCTAGCTTTGGCCTAACAAAAGTCGTGAACAATTTCTTTAATATTTCACCATCCATGCATTTAAAAGCAATTCTGAAGTTAGAAAGTGTAGCATAGGCTCCTGACACAACGTTCTTTATGTGGTCCTCATGTGATAGTTTTCTATGTAGAACCACCCTTAGATTTCTCTCTTTATCAGAATTCTTTAAAGATTTATCACATAATTTATAGGTTGTGTGGGGTTTGTTTTCCTATTCTACATTCCATAACATGGTATTTATTCACATTAAATTCCATTTGCCAAGTAGTGCTCCATATACTTATTTTGTCCAGGTCTTCTTGATGGGCATGACAATCATCTTAAGTTTCTTATCCTTCCTATTATCTTAGCATAATCAGCAAACATGTTCATATAATTCTGTATTCAGTCTGGTAGATCATTTATGTAGACAATGAACATCACCGGTGCAAGAACTGAACCCTGTGGTACTCCACTTGTGACATTTCTCCAGTCCGATACATTGCCTCTGATTACTGCCCTCATTTTTCTATCAGTCAGAAAATTTTTTATCCATGTTAGAAGCTCACCTGTCACCCCTCCAATATTTTCCAGTTTCCAGAACAACCTCTTTGTGTGGAGCTCTGTCGAAAGCCTTTTTTAGGTCCAGATATACGCAGTCGACCCAACCATCTCTTTCCTGTAACATCTCTGTGGCTCTATCATAGAAACTGAGTAAATTTGATACACTGTGTGTGTGTGTGATCTGGTATAAATCCAGTAGATTTCAATAAATCCAGATAGATCTGGATTTATTGTAACATGATTTGGGAATCCTGGAAAGGCGAGTGCTGCCACCTGTCGGCTGGAGTCTGGATTGACTAGGCAGGTGATAATATTTTGAAGCCTCACTTTACTTGGTAACACAAGTGACCACTGTCACTTGTGTTAACAAGTGAAGATTTGGTAGGGCTTCAAGTCTTCATGGAAGTACCCCGGATACACTTTCTGGGCTGTATCAAATTTTTCTCCAGTACCTCCCCTAGCATCTTATATGGCCCTGCAGCGATGTTTAAAAATATCTGTGGAGTGCTTGAATGTTGTCATCCTGACTTTAGGGAACCCATCAGTTTCACAGCAGAATCAGATCTTAGGAAGCAACTGAATGTGTGCTCAGGAATGAGCATTTTTATTTCCTAAAACCTGATTTCTGCCTACTTTGTATAACCCAAACATTGTTTTTGTCTCATCTTCAGAATACCTCACAATAAGATGTGGACCACATTGGAGTATACCGATCCTCACCATACCCCTATAGACCCTCCTGCCAATTTGGAGAACTGCCAGCGCATGGGTATTATGGCTGCCTTCAAGAATTTTGAAGATTTTGAAATATACTTTAGTGATCTGATGAATTTCTTTCAACCTTCTGATCTTGGAGGACTAGAGGGAGAGATGAGCCCTCAGGAAGTACTTAGCGGATCCATTAAGCTTGGCTCGTCTTTCAAGGACTTCATGTGTGAACCGCAGGTATGTCTGAGGAAACCATACAGATGATGTAGATAGACATGGAGATTGGTCTGAGCTAAGCATACCTTTTGAGTCTTTCTAGATAATGGTGAATAATTTGGTCAACTTGTTTCTAATCCAAAACAAGTTAAGCGAGGCTCAGAATAAGTTAAAGATGTATTAGGAACTGCTGTGATAGTATGGCAAGGTTTCAAACAAAGCCCTGTCCATTCTGTCGTGTCTCTCTTAAATAGATTTTCTTATTTCTTCAAACTGTTCTTTGGTCAAATCAAATTTTAGCTGTTCTCCTATGTAAGTTTATCATCATCATTAACTTCTACAGAATAATGAGTTTATTTGCAATAATAATACATTAAGCTAATTTGTAGGTGAAAAATTATGGTAAATAAGATTTAATTCCAAAGCAATTTTTCAGGCAACTCTAAAGCTAACACACATATAAAATGTAATAGTTGTTAAAAATGCATCGCTAGATTACTTGCAGTCGCCAGTTACACTGTTAAGAGCTGAACAGGTATACCATGCCTGAGGAAAATTCATTTGTGGGGCAAGACTGTGGAAGCTGCTCTAGCTTTTGGCACTGATCACCCGGGACTCGTCAGTAGTTGCTCTAGCTTGTGGTACTGATCACCCGGGACTCGTCAGTAGTTGCTCTAGCTTGTGGCACTGATCACCCGGGACTCGTCAGTAGTTGCTCTAGCTTGTGGTACTGATCACCCGGGACTCGTCAGTAGTTGCTTTAGCTTGTGGTACTGATCACCCGGGACTCGTCAGTAGTTGCTCTAGCTTGTGGCACTGATCACCCAGGACTCGTCAGTAGTTGCTCTAGCTTGTGGCACTGATCACCCGGGACTTGTCAGTAGTTGCTCTAGCTTGTGGTACTGATCACCCGGGACTCGTCAGTAGCTGCTCTAGCTTGTGGCACAGATCACCCGGGACTCGTCAGTAGCTGCTCTAGCTTGTGGTACTGATCACCCGGGACTCGTCAGTAGCTGCTCTAGCTTGTGGCACAGATCACCCGGGACTCGTCAGTAGCTGCTCTAGCTTGTGGCACTGATCACCCGGGACTCGTCAGTAGCTGCTCTAGCTTGTGGTACTGATCACCCGGGACTCGTCAGTAGCTGCTCTAGCTTGTGGTACTGATCACCCGGGACTCGTCAGTAGCTGCTCTAGCTTGTGGCACAGATCACCCGGGACTCGTCAGTAGCTGCTCTAGCTTGTGGCACAGATCACCCGGGACTTGTCAGTAGCTGCTCTAGCTTGTGGCACTGATCACCCGGGACTCGTCAGTAGCTGCTCTAGCTTGTGGCACTGATCACCCGGGACTCGTCAGTAGCTGCTCTAGCTTGTGGCACTGATCACCCGGGACTCGTCAGTAGCTGCTCTAGCTTGTGGCACTGATCACCCGGGACTCGTCAGTAGCTGCTCTAGCTTGTGGTACTGATCACCCGGGACTCGTCAGTAGTTGCTCTAGCTTGTGGCACTGATCACCCGGGACTCGTCAGTAGTTGCTCTAGCTTGTGGTAGTGATCACCCGGGACTCGTCAGTAGCTGCTCTGGCTTGTGGTACTGATCACCCGGGACTTGTCAGTAGCTGCTCTAGCTTGTGGCACTGATCACCCGGGACTCGTCAGTAGTTGCTCTAGTTTGTGGCACTAACCACTCTAGGAAATTTTGAGATTGTGTTGGCTAATAATAATAGTTTATGCAGGTAAAGGTACATACATTCAAAATGAGTTACAAACAGAATGTAGGATTTCTAGATAGAGCTAGTACATGCTAATGGATGAATTGTTTGCCATTGTTAACAAGGACTCTAAACCTGCCTTTTCTTGTATAACTGGAAGCTCTTGGAGATTAGGAATCAATGATATAACTGAGAGAAACTGGCTGCATTGAGACCCAAAAGTCCTTTAGAATACACTAATAACCCAAAAGTAGTGCAGCAACACTATTAATATCAACTGGTGACGGCAGTACATATTGGACTAATAGACAGTTGGTGGGGGTCACCAAAATTTTTTGTGATGCCCTCGAAGTCCACTGGTGTTGATTAGATAATAGAATTTCATGAGTATATTTGGCTCTCCATAGGCAGTGTTTTGTGAAGGGGTTCCCATGCTTTATAGTAACTTCATAGGGTGTGTCCAGGTTCATTGTGTCTAAACTTCTCATTAACTTGGTTTCTGGGTTTACCTTCCCGATATAAACTGCATTGACTAATGACGGCCAGAGTTCTCTTCTCTTTGAGGATTTTAGCAGCTGCTTTGGGGACTATCACAAGAAGAAAGTGCTCAGTGTCTTGTAACCTGAACCAGCACAGTTTGTTTCTGTTGACATTTGGGTAATACAGTACTGTACTCTTGAACTGTCTGTACTGTTTTTGCCTAATTGCAATGGAGTATAAGATGGACTTGGCCATCTTTTGTTGGATTTGAGAAACATTGTCACCTTCAGGTGGAGTGTCCTGTTTGCATCAAAGGAGAACTGCCAGAGCGACCAGAAAGAAGCATTTTATTACATTCAGTGCTGCATTTCTCAGGGAGAAATGCAGTGAAGTGAAAGAAAATGCAGAAAAGTGTCGTGAAGCCCCAACCCAGAGTCAAGGCATCCGTAAACACATCGAGTGATGGGGAAGGATAACTCCATGGATTTTAAGCCCAAAGGAAAAGCCAGCATAGCAAGAGCCAATGAAGGGCAGACAGTGCCCAAATCAGCTGGTCCTGGGTGCGGCAAAATGGACAGAACTAGAGAAATGGCTACAACTCTCGGAACCAATCCCTTCCCAGAGAGAGAAGCACACAGGCAAAGATCAGGCTTCCACATAACTGCTCAACCAACAGGCGTGTCACCTGGTGCCACTCCAACATCTGATGCCGAGGAAGCTACAGGCTGGGCAAAGCTGGAAAAGAGAATCTGACTCGAGTCCCAAACTAGACCCAGTTAAGTTCAAGCCTGGGATAGAATCAACTGGGACTTCCTCCAGTTCACAAAGAACCTGAACTCAGTGAGCTGGAAAAGAACCAGATCCCTGGCTAGCTGACATACAGAATCGTGGGATCAGGAGCTGACAAAATGAGCCTGCATGAATCACAAGCAGAACCCCCTTTCTGCAATGCATAGTTGCGACATCGAGCAGAAGAGGAATTCATAGCAAGAAGTGCACTAGGTTGGCAATGAGGCCATCCAAGGACGTACCTTGATCAACAGCAGGCAAGGTCCCCCACCTGACCAGACCACCTACAAGCAGGGGGTGGGGGCAGAACCCTAAGGAAACAATTGATTGATGGGGTGAAAAGAGGAAGGCACCATGGACAAAACCTAGTCAACCTGGCCTTGTTAGCACAAGGTGGGCCAAGTACAATGCTGCCATTGGAGAGGGGTGTACAACTGAGCAAGGCTCCCAGGTCCAGAACCCTAGGCCTCAAGGCTACCACATCCAGATTGGAAGCAAACGATGCCATGTCCACACAGTTGCTCAGAGCCCCCACCCTGAGAACCCAAATGGGCAAGATCACTGCCAGGTGGGAACATGCTCTGTGGTCTTCCATAGTATGGGCCCTAGACAGCATTGGCAACTGCACATGAAGTTGCCACCTGCCCTTGTCATTAGTTTACAATAAAAAAATTTAATTGTGATGATAATTGTTAAATTTGTTAATACAATAACATATTATGTCTTTCAATTTTATTTTAAGTGATGTCAAGTTTAACGGGCAATAATTAAAGCTAAATATTTTAGGAGGTAAAGGACCCAATACACATTATGAACATTGGCATACGGATGGAGGAAGAGGATGACTCCCAGTTGAGTGAACAGTTTGCAGTGTTCTGTGCCAGCAAGAAAGTTGCATTTCATGAAGCAGGCATCCGCCGCATTACAATGGTTGTATTTTATAAGCAACAGTTCCCAAGATACTTCACATACAGGCAAGTCTAAAAGTTTATGGTCAAACTTTATATAACTTGAGATGTGTGTTGCTGGGTTGGTGAGAGAGAGTGCAGTGTTATTTACAAATGAGGTTTCATATTATTTTTTTCTAAACCAGTTTAGAAATACAGTAACTTGGCTTCTATACTGTATTGATACCAATTCATGAAATTTGTATAGTTACACCTTAATTTTACATTTATAGAATTCAGATCAAACATAAAATAAATATGGCTGAAGAAATGTATCTAAAATTATCTCTAAATATTTTAAATAAATATTTTTGGCCATGGTGGTGCCTCATGTTCCATATTTCTTCTGATTATTTGTTTTGTATAATAGAGGTTTAGCATATTAAATAATAGACACAGACATTTCAAATCTGGGTAACTAGGAATTTGTAAACAAAATATTATTTGCTTAAATTTCTATATGGTAAAACATCATGACATATTTTGGATTCACCGTGATGAACCAAAATACTTGATTTGATGTAAGCTGTTGTTTAAGGAATAGGGACAGGAAATTAATCTTGAAAAAAAAAACAAAGTATAGGGTTTCATAACATTTATCACTTAAATTACTTATTTTATGGGGAAGCCCCTTGGGGGGGGGGGGCGCCCTTGAAGTTATCTTGCTGAGCTTGTTCCATGCATGTGAGTCGCATGTGATGCAATTGTTGTTTGGCCTACTATGGGAGCCAAAACTGCCCCCTCCCCCTGTCCCTTCACACAAGCAGAGAGAGCATGTGACAATTCACCACCACACTAGGAAAGTATGCAGAAAGTCAATGAAGCTTTCCAGATAACTGGAAGGGTAATAAAGACCCAAGCCTCAAAATTGCCAAACAACTCTGCAAATGATTCACATAGAATAAGAGAAACATTGAAAATTAGCATGAAACTCGTAGCACCAAATGCAACCACCTGGTGGTCCAGCTTCCACACACACACACACGGATGGACGGACAGATTGATCGATCGATCAATCAATCTAGAGAGCTAGAGTGAGCTAGCTAGCTCTCTCCCTTCCTCGGTTCATTAGCTGATGTCCAACTGGACAGTAGTGTTCTGGGTCTTAGACATGACAAGCCCCTCTGCTTCAAGCTAAGTTCTGGCAGTCCTTGGATTTGTTCCTGCTGGGGCTATTTGCTGTGTGCTCTGCTTTATATTTTAGTTTTTGCTTCATGCATGCATGTTTTCTTTCCACCTTATGTGGGCTTGGCTTTGTTGTGCTTTGGGCTTGATGCACTCTGGGTTTCTTCCCAGGGTGCCTGCTAGCACTGCCACTGCACTGACAGATGGGTAGATAGCCTTGCTTAGGGCTATTGATTCCTCTGGACCCTAGGTTGGGACATTCTGTTGGTTGTGCTGGGGCATGTTTGGGGTTGCGTGTTTATGTAAAATGACCGGTGCCAGTCATAGCCTGAATTTTTTGGCTGTGCTTTATGACTGTCTTCTGGTGAGTGGCCTTTGTCCTGGGTGTCCAACTAGCTGCCTTCAGACCCTAGTAATCCCCTCATCAGCTTTGTCATGGTTTGGCCCATTAAGCTTGCACTCTCCAAGTGAGTTTAAATGGTGTTTCTTGTCTTTGCTACCAGACGATGGTCAATTTTTCTGCTTGCAGAAAATCTTGCTGCTGCAGCCTTTTCCAGTTGGCCTATTCATCATTTGTTGTCTTCTCTGGGTTCTTCCCTCATTTGGAGGCAGTCTGGTAGGGTTGGAACCTCACCTACTAAGAAATCTAAATGACCAGGCCAGGATTTGAACCTATGCCACCCAGGATCACCCCAAACATACATGATACTTTGACCACCTAATCATTGACACCTCTGTCATTTCTGTTGATTCCTGTTACTATTTTGTATGTAATGGTCACATTATCTCTCCTTTTATCTTCTAGCTATAACATGTCTAGCCTTACCTTGTAGCTCATGTTTCTCAGTTCATGAAGCCACTTTGTAGTGCTTTATGTCTACACCTTTTTCAGTTTATTGATGTGCTTCTGGAGATATGATCTCCAGAAGCTCCAGAAGATCTCCAGATCTCCATTATATACCACTGACCGCTTCATATTCCAATTATGGTCTTGCAAAAGTTGTGAATAGTTTTTCATATTTAAACATTCATGTATTTCAAAGTGATTCCGATATTGGAAAGCATAGCATGCTCCCTGCACAATGTTCTTTGTGGTTTTCTTGTGAGTCTACTATCCAGAACCATCCCCTAAATCTTTGTCAAAATTCTTTAATGTCTTTCCATATAAATTGTAGGGTGTATGTGGCCTAGTTTATCTTGCACCACATCCATCATGTACCATTTATTCACATTCAATTTCATCTGCTAAGTGGTGCTCCATACTCTCTTCCAGATCATCTTGAAGAGTATAATAATCATCCAAGTCTTAGTCTTGTCTTCCCTAGTAGCTTACCATTGTCAGTAAGCATGTTCATATACTGTAGTTGTGTATTCCTTCTAGTAGATTGTTTATATTGATGAACATTACTGGTGCAAGAACATAATCCTGTGGTACTCCACTAGCAACACTTCTTCAGTTTGATACATTGCCTCTGATTACTGTCCTCATCTTTGTCAGTTAGATTTTTCTGTTGGAAGCCCCTGAAACTATTGGAACTAATGTGCTATATTAGTTTTGGGTCATCAGTCACAGGAGTTATGTCTGCTGTGAGCCACAAACCAGAACCTGGTCCCCTCAGAGAGGCACAGGGAGTAATGGCCTTTGAGCACTTTACATTTAAATTAAAGTAGGCCATATTTACCATCGACCAGGAAGGACCCAGAAAGGTAGGCGAATCAAAACAGATCTGGTGATCTGTGTTAAGTCTGGTTAACCTGTGAAATCTACATCCAAAAAGATGAAAAAGAACTCCCCCTAGAAATATAACCAAACAAGCAACCCTTCCTGCAACTAGCACTTCCGCTCATTAGCATTATCCCCCCATAGGGTAGGGAGGGGGTTGGCAGCCCACCCATCCAGTTCTCGGCTGATGTTCATGGCGGTCAGCACTCTCCTCTGGCCTCGATTTCCTGTTCTGGATTTTGCCCTGTGTGACTGTCCCGGCAGTGTGTGTGGTGTGATGGCCAGGTATCTTCTTGTACAGTACTTGAAGCTGCATTCGTCTACGATCGACTTCCCTAGGTGCTCCGTAAGTACTACCCTTGCGTTTCAGGGTTTTCTTCCCTGGGGCATTCGGGCCTCACTCCAGTTAGCGGACTTCGTCGCTGAGCGTTGTCTTCGCCCTTGAGGTATGCCGGGGGTCTTGGGCTTTTTTCCTTGCCCCGGGTAGGGAGTGTTCTTGGGTGGGTGGGGCGCACTGCGGCCGGCGCAGCTTGCACACGCAGCAGCCAACGATTCTTTGAATGCCACTTTGCTTGTGTTTTTGGGGGTTTTCATTTTCTTTCGTGGCATTTTTGCTCTTTGGTCACAGAGGTGGTCTGCCTAGCTTCTTATTAGGCAAGCCTTGGTTGTGTTAGTGGCCCTCCTCTGTTGCCCCTGAGGTTTCATGGCTGCTACTGGTGGTCAGTTTGCCCTCTGACAAGCCAGGGTTCTACTGTCTTAGCTAGCCCCATTGCCTTGGCTTCCCATAGGGCTTATTCACCCTACAGGCCCTGGAAAACCCCAGTGGGCTCGGGGGGGCTGGTAACATGGATGTGTCTTCAGAGTCCTCTTTCGCTTTGTACAATGTTGAAGGTTGTTTGTCGCCCATATCTCAGGGAGACGATAATCCGTACTCTGCCATGCTGCCTGTTGGGTCAGTGACACATATGACCCGGAGTCTTGCAGAACTTGTGCTTCAATTTACCCATTCTCTGTCTGATGATCTCAAGGGTCAGGCAGCGGCTGCATTGCATGCTCAATTCTCTTTCTTGCAACGAGCCAGGTTAGTGGCCCAGTTGGAGGTTGCTTCAACCTTGGTTCCATCTGCACCCCCGCTTTCTTCTCATGTGGGCATGGTATTCCCTGCTTTCCTCCCCCCCCATCCCGACTTCCTGCTTTCAAATGGCTGAGGGTTCTGGAGTCAGGATGAGGCTTGGGAGGAGCTTCAGAGACTGCCCCTCCGACTCCGGTGCGGAGGTGATTGAGCCCGATTTTCTCGCCGCAGCTTCTGGGTCACCCCATTAGACGTCCTTCTTTGAAGCTTTTTCCCTGGAGACTGACTTTTCTTCATTGGTGGTGTGCATGGATAAGGGCTCTACCTTGGGGCCTGTGTTGGGGGTTCCCAAGGCTGGGATGGGGGGGGAGGTTTGTAGCCAGCTTAGAGCACTTTTCATCAGTCATCATTCATTCAAGAACTGGAGGGGTGGGCTGCCAACTCCCCTCCTTATAGTCCCATGAATGGTTTACTAGACAGTAGTCTTGTCTTGATTTGCCTACCTTTCTGGGTCCTTCCCCAGTCATGGCAAGTATAACATACTGTACTTTAAATGTAATGAATTGATCGGCCATTGCTCCCTGCACCTCTGAGGGTACCAGGTTCTCTTTCTGGCTCTTGGTTCCTGGTAAGAACTCCTATGACTGATGACACCATAATAGTATAGCACATATCAGTTTGGAAAGAATTAGGGAGCCTTTAGGACTCACCCAGAAAATGGCGTTTCATTACATTAAAGTTTTTTTTTCACCCACAAGTTATTTTTTGTAGTTGAATTTAGATACAAGGATTTCACTGCTGATGTATCTGTCTTTTGTCTTCTACCACAGACCCAAACATCAGTTGAGACATATAGCTAAACCTATTGATCCAAGGTATGGACAGAATAATGTTGTGGTAATCAATCGACCACATTGGGCTGCATTAACTGGTGCTTTTGTATACTGTAATTGCAAGTGATATTCATATTGCAGCTGCTGGCTATAATGCACTTAACCTTTGAGCTGCAGTTTCAGGATCTTATAAATTTTCACAACTTTAGTATATAAAGAACCAATGCTCAGTGTGCACGTTTCATCCACAATCAGACATTCCATGGCATTCTAGAGCCTGAGCATTTATGGATGCCAAATTCAAGGCCATGTTTGCCTTCAGTGGGAAGATATTTTGAGAAGATAGGTCCTCAGCATAATTTTTAACCTCTATATTGCAAGGATGTTGGGCCGATTGCATTACAGGGGGTGCTTTGTGTAGCTGCTACATCTTAATTTTGCATCATTCTTAACACTTTGTCTGGCCCAGCGTGCATGCCTCAGCCCACCCCAAGGTCGGCCGAGCGTTTCCCGCACTAAAATGCGAACTATTTTCAGTTTTCTCACTTCAATTATGTGCTATGTCATTCATGTTGGTATCAAATTGTTCGCAATAGAATTTTTGAAAGGGATATATGAATATAAGGTCCAAAAGCCCAGTGTGCTAACTGCAGCAAACATGAAAATTGGGGGAATGTTACCCGTGAGGGAGCACCCACTCGCACACCGGCAACACCTGCACTAAAATGTTTATACTCTTCAGTTTTCTCACATCAATTTGTGCTACGTTGTTCATTTCAGTATCAAATTGTTTGCAATAAACATCTCTAAAGGGATATATGCATATGAAGGCAAAAAGGCCCGCGTGTTACCCAAAGCAAACCAATAAATCCGCCGAGCATTTCCTGTGAGATTGCACCCATTGGCACACCCACAACACGTGCACTAAATTGTGAATACTCTTCAGTTTTTTTTCTCAACCAATGTTTCATAGGTGGAATGGATGGTGGGTAAGCATTACTGCTTATCCACCCAGTATGTCCTCTTGCGATGGTACAAACCAGAGCATGGCGCAGCACACAGTGCCACACCACATGACTTGCACTTATACTAGCACTGCTGTTTCACTTTCAACCACCTCACTATCTACATCACTGTCACTTTCGGCACTTTCAAGATTAAGATCAGAAAACTCGTCAGCTATAGTCAGGAATTTTATTGGTGCGAGTTTCACTTTGCTGTACTTTTGGTGAATACTACTTGGCTCTTTTCCCTCGGATGTGTTTCTTTCCCTGGTTTCATCATGGAAAGACTGTTCTTGATCACTATCCATCTTTGGGTAAATGTAGAGTTTATAAAGGCAGTAACAAATATAGCCTAGGAAAAATAGCCGTCACAGGCACTTGTTTGTACATGAGGGAAGGTGGCAGCGGTCAAGAAAACATTGGGCCTATTGCATGGGAGCCTTGATGCCACATGGGGCATCACAGAAAATGGGTAGATATTGGTGCTCCTTTTAAAACGTGTACCATAATGTTTGGAAAAAAAAAAAGCAATTTTAACAAATATTTTAATATCGGACACAAAATGCATCCCTAGTCAGGATCCGTAGTTATATACAGACGCATGTTGCGTCCCTAGTCAGGCAAAGTGTTAAATGTTGTGAAGTTTGGTTGCAGCTGTTAGGCGATAAATTTAATGCTAATGGTTCATTTTGTGATATGTTGAGAGAGGGGGAGATATTGACATTCTGCCAATCTTTTTTTTCTGCCAAACTTTTTCCTTTCCCCCATTCTTTCTTTCTCACCAACTTCCTCCTCCTCCTATTCTTTCCCTTTCCTCACCCTCTTTTTTCCCCTCCCTTTCATCTCACTCTTGTTTTTTTCTCATACCATTCTGCCTTCCTCTCTTCTCTCCTGTTTCCCTTCTTTACCCCTTCATCTCCTATTCCTTTCTTGGCCCCCCCCCCCTTTCCCATCTCACCTTTTTTTCCTCCCCCCCCCCTTGTTTCATATTATTCTCGCCAACTATCTCTGTAAATAGAGATGCATTTAATGTATCATTCTTTTGGCATTTTTAGATTTATTATGTTCAAGTTAATTGTATTAGTGTTAGTACACATCGATGCAGCACATTTTGGGTTTAGTTTTACATACATACATTTACTCGTATACAATATTATTTACCCCATTTCTCACTTTCTGGAGGAGGAAAGATATCAGTTTCGAGGGAAAGTGAATAGTACTTAAATTGTTCATTGATTTGTTTATTGATTTGTTCATTAATTTTATTTTTCTCAAATAAGTAAATAGACAAGTGATTTGAGAGTTTTTAGTATGCCCAGTTCCTTCGTTCCTTTGAAGTACTACACATACCTGTCAAAATCCTGACAAGCAGCTGAAAGGTTAATACACTGCAGTATTGTGGATGCCTGTGTTGGGGCAAAGTGTGAGCTCTCTGTGGTATTTGAGAATGCTTTGAACACTTTGTGTATTGATATTAATGTGTGTAAAATATGTCCAAGGGATCAATTGTCCAGTTTACTAGGTGTTCTGCTGTGTAAAAATAATTGGAGAAATAATAAATTATCAAATTATGCAAACATTAAATTTTTGTATTTGGTGTGTGGGTGGGTGTAAATGTGTAATGACAATTTGATGTATTGATATAAAGAACTCCGTGGCTGATGCGATTTAGCTGATGCGATTTTCATTGTTTCTAATGAGCTTCTCCTTGGGTATTTTTTTAAGTTTAGCTATCTTTCTGAAGTTATACCAAGATGTTATAGTTTTCATGTCATAGTGCAATTAATAAATTATATTTTGTGTACCTCATTAAGCAAATTATATTGTGCCAAATAATCTATTCTGTATTAAAAGATTACTTTTATGCAGTGAATGATGATTTACCATTTTAAATTGCATTAACCTTCGATTTCACTATTAGGTCAAGGGATGAATTCCAGGAAGACCGAATCTACCGTCATCTGGAACCTGCGCTTGCATTCCAACTGGAGATCAACCGTCTGCGGACATATGACCTGGAAGCTCTTCCAACCTCTAATCGCAAGATGCATTTGTATCTGGCAAAGGCCAAGGTACTGTATTTTTATTATGGCTGAACGTACATAATGTAGTAATGTCTTGGCAACCCTTTCTAAAGATTTGGTAAGTAAAAATTTAAGAGTTTTGCCTGACCAGGAACATCCTACTAAACATGCAGGGGATGAGTCACAATAACGTGGCTGAAGTATGTTGACCAGACCACACACTAGAAAGTGAAGGGACGACGACGTTTCGGTCCATCTTGGACCATTCTCAAGTTGATTGTGGTCCGTCCTGGACCATTCGCAAGTCGATTGTGAGAATCACTTGAGAATAGTTCAGGACGGACCGAAACGTCGTCGTCCCTTCAATTTCTAGTGTGTGGTCTGGTCAACTCACTAAACATATTAAGGCCAATGCATGCTATGGTTGATAGCGCTCAAATTGTAGTTTATGAAATGTGAGGATAGGTTGATCTTGGTGAGTTGCCAAGGCTTTGATTTGAAGATGTAAAAATGGCTAGTAGAGTTCAGTCCCTGCAAGTGCAATATACTGGTAATGAAAATGGGGAAAAGGGATGGTATGCCAGAGGGGCAGCCACAGGAATTTGAGATTTAAAATATGATTTGGGCATGGGGAGAGCACTTGGCACAGTAGTAGATGATTGGAACAAGTGAGGTGGTGGTGGATGCCAAAACCATTGGTAGTTTTAAAGCGATATGCGATACAGCACTGGAAAGACGAGACAACTTTTGTGTAACTCTCATCCTTTAACTACATTTAGGTGATTACACTGCTAATTACATGAATAGAATAACATGTATTATTATAAAAGATTGAGACATATGGATAATATTTAAAAACCTAAACAAACATTTCTGGGAGGAGCATCTTTTTGCTCCCTGAAGCTATACACCGAGAGGGTTCCCATTTACTAGGTCACATTAGGCGTGGAGTTCTTAGGCCTACCAGGGGTCAGAGCCAGAACCTAGTCCTCTCAGAGATGCAGTAAGTGGGGGACATTTTGCTACCTCATTGGGGAAAACATGCAGGAAGTCAGCAAGCAACCTGTCCTCAGAAATTACGTCTGAATTTGGCCGTTTGCCCATATGGCCACTGAAAATGGATGTAATTTAAAAATGAAAAATAATTGAAAAATGAATTTTGTATTGTTTTCAATACAGCAAGTTAAGTGTCCTCTGCTAGGTTAGGAGGACAAGAAGTTCTCCTAAGGTTTCAAAATGTCACGAAAACAGTTAATTTAATGTTTCCTCTCTTAACCTAACTGAGTAAGCCAGACTCAGAAACAGAGTCCTCCGGCTTACTCAGAAAATGGGACAGTACATCACTTTTGTGAGCCGATTTCATTTCAAATTACATCCATTTTTTACCGTAGCGTGCATACGAGCAAAAAGTGACTTTATTCTAAGAGGACGAGTTGCAGCAAGACAAAGTAAACTACTGCTGGGTTGTTTTGAACCAGCAGTGGTTTGAAGCCTCAGAACTTGCTTAATGAACTCTCCCCAACTATGTAAACTAACTCCAGGCTGGAGCCAGCCCGTCCTCACAAAGAAAGACCAAAGTCCATTCCATGCACCCGCCAAACCCCTTGTTTATGAATGAAAAATGGTTTACACAAGACTTATAACTGATGATATCCAAACACTTCCGGAACACATGCTTTGCTGACGACTTTTGTTTGAACCACAACCCTGTAAATATTTCACCCATGTACTACAAATACAAATAATTGCCAACAGAACCTTAACACCTAACCTAACCTAACCAATGCCTAAATATGCACAGTATGCTAATATATAATATTAATTTATATGAGAAAATTCCTGTTTTGAATGGACAACATGTTAAAATTGATGAATGTATCTTTGGGGTCGACTGCTGGATGGAATGAACTTGGTCTGAGGATGGGTTGTTGGGGGAGAAAGCTTTTAAGGTTCAGATAAATGCAGTTAACCCAACCATATCTTTCATGTAAAATTTTTGTGACTCAGAAACTAAGTAGATCTGTTACACAGGAACTTCGTGTTCAAAAACCATACCGTCTGTTGTATCATTTCTCTCCATTTCTACCCATTTGTTTTTAATAATTTTGCCTAGTGTTTTGACCAGCATGCTTGTCTTGATACAGGTTTCTGATTAAGTGGGTCTTGTTACTATTTTTTGTTGACTGGAACTATGTTTGCCTATTCCCATACATGTGCCAAGACTTCTGTACAGAAAGATGCCTGAAAAATCAATTAGAGGAATGCTCAGCGCAGATGTGCATTCCCTGATGATGATGCTCTATCCACGCCAACTGCTTTGTTGCTTCTTATCTGCTTGAGCATTTTTCCCCACTTCATTTCGAGACACCTCTATGCACTCTGGTATTCTCTGAAATTAGTATTGTTTGGCTCTCTTAAAAACTTTATTTTGTACAGACACACTTTGGAACTCTTAATTTAGTGTTTCACACATTTTCTTTTCATTCCCTATGAGTATGTTCCCCATTTTCAAACTCCAGATTTTATTCTTTACCTGGAATTTGCTTTTCAAAAAGTTATATAGTAGTCCTGGTTCGGTTTTACATTTGTCTGCTCTCTCGAGTTTTTTTCTGCCTCTCTTTTCACTGCCGTATAGTTTTATCTTGTTTGATTGTATTGCCTATACATTTGAGGATTAGGCCTATTCCTACATTGAACGCATTTATTTGTCTTTTGTTCTCTGGCCCTCTTGCAATTTCTGTTGAACCAATCCTGTTATTCTAGTTCTGTGTATCTGTTTTGGTATGAATTTGTTTGTGCCTTCATCATATACACACAATTTTGTAGATCTCATTTACTTCCTTGACTGACAAAGTCTTTCCAATCAAATTCATTACAGGACTTGCCAAGTTTCCTATAGTGTCCTCTCATGAAATCAAGTTTGTCAACAGTTTCATCATCTTCATTCTCTTTGGATTATTTAGCATTGCATATTTTATTTGCAGAAGGAAATAGTTGCTCTTATAGTTGCCCTTACCTTAGGGAGGAAGGTACTGAATGTCAAATGAACAATATATATATATATAAAAAATTCTGATGAATATCCAATCCAGCATTGAAGGAGCATCCCTTCCCTCATTCTTGTGGCCTGCTTAACTTTTGTACATTAATGTCTCCAGGATGAACTTAATGAATTTACCAGTTCAAAAGTCCTCCCTCCTTTCTTGCTTTGTAGGCCTTGCAGTCTGTTGATTTAAAGTTGAAGCCACCAAGTACCAACAGTCGTGATATATACCCGGTATCTTTATCTGATCTTATTATAATCACTCTCATGATCGTCATGAAGTGATCTCATTTTTCATCCAGCTTCCATTGTGTCTGTGTTGCTTGCTGGTGGACTATAGGCATTTGTGATTATCAGTTTATCCTGATTACAAATCTCCAGTGCCATTATGACAACTTCTGATGAATTGTCAATTATTAAATCTTTTACCTTAAAATGTTCTTTCACCAGCATGGCAACATTTCTACCTTTCATAATTTTTCTGTCACGTCTCTAAATTTTGTAGTGTAGAAGATCGGGTGCTAGAGGTTTGTGAACACTTTGAAACTCTGCCAGTCTTTTTTGCTTGTGAAGTTTTTAGCTCAGTTTAATCACTGCTTTTAGGAGGGGGGGGGGGAGCAGATTCGGTGATCTTCCTTCACCCTCTTTGGGATTCTTCTTTGTCGGTTTGAGATGACTTGGTCTTCTATCATTTTATTTCTGGCCCCTTTCCCTACAAACATGATGCTTGTGTGTCTGGAAGTTGCATAATATTATATATGCTGTGTGGTATTTGAGGCCTAAAATTAAACAATGCTTTAAATTGAGATTAAATTGGTTTCAAGTTAGAAAAAAGTGATTGGTCATCCAAATTTTTGTTAATATCCTTATTACTTTTATATAGTAAGTTTATGCAATATCCTTGTTGTCGGGTCATGAGTGGTGTTGGAAGAATCTAAGCTTCACAATTACACTTGGATGCTTTTAACTGTAATCAACAAATACTGAACTATTAAGTATTTTCTTTTTACAGGTAGCGGATGGGCAGGAGGTAACTGACTTCCGCTTCTTCATTCGATCGATTATTCGCCATTCAGATCTAATCACGAAAGAAGCATCTTTTGAATATCTGGAAAAGGAAGGAGAGAAACTATTGTTGGAAGCAATGGATGAACTTGAGGTAGCATTTTCCCACCCACTGGCTAAGAGAACAGATTGTAATCATGTATTCTTAAATTTTGTCCCAACTGTTATCATGAACCCATCAAAGGTAAGTTAGTATGTTGCTCTTTGTTTGAATACTACATTCTAAAATTTAATACATGATCTGTATCATGTAACATTTAATATGCTTGATTTAATTGAGTACTATATATATATATATATATAGATCTCTGGGTACTTCCACATTATAATTTCATATCGTAAAGAATAACTTGAATGTTCTTGTCTGTGGTTCCCCCTCACACTGCCACCTCGTGGTCATTTTATACTCCATAAATATATCATCATAAACCTATTTTCAACGCTTGTATTGATAAACATCACTCCAAAACCTGAAAACCAATATTGATGGAAATGTTGGTACAATATGTCAATCTTGGGCTTGTGTAATTTTTCTTAGATGAAAAAATATGTAAAATTTGACTATTAAAAATGCAACAATTTTAAATGTTATAGATTGAAGATTCGATAAGGTCAATTGTCAACCGGTATGGGCGTCGGCTCTGGAGCTTACGTGTTCTACAAGCTGAAATTAAGATGACAATTCGCCAGACCCCCCAGAGCAAGACTATTCCTATTCGACTAACTCTTTCTAATGAATCTGGATACTACCTGGACATGCACTTGTATCGTGAAGTAACAGACAAGCTTACAGGACAGGTAAGTTTTTTGTAATTGACATTTCATATCTAAAAATTATGAAATTAATGTAATTTTTCAGCAGAAGTTTGAAATAATACAATATGCAGTTTAAAACTGAATCAATTGTAAAGCACTGAGCAATTAACACTACAGAATTCTGAGTGTTCAGTTTTGGTGTGCACCTGGCAGTGACATTCTCCAGCTGAGACTGTTGGCATTTCCAGCATAAACACTTGATTAACTTAATAGCTTATTGTAAGTCAGTGTTATGAAGTTCGTGTGGGTAATGTGGCGAAGATGTCGGTTCACAAGGAAGGAAGGAAATATTACGGGAAAGTATATCAGCATTATATATGTATCTCACCACTTGGTGAAATACATATATAATTTGAGCAGTTTGCTTTCTCACTTAGTGCATTGTGTAACCTTGTGAAAAAATACACTGGTCAGTCATTCATATATGTGCGGTTCCAGACGTGTCATATACAGTAAGTGTGCAGATCTTCAAACAATAAGGGACCCAGTAGCAACCCTTGTTGCTGCCACTTAATTACAAATACTGTATGTGTACAGTATTAACAAAATGCAGAGAATAAGTTACAACAACATTGCTGAAAATTAGTAACCCAATCTCCACATAAAGAAGAAAGGAAAGTGATGATGTTTTGGTCCGTCTTAGACTCTTGGAAAGGATCCAAGATGAATCAAAAAGTAGTCACTTTTCTTCATATATGTGGGTTGTGTTGTTAAAAAAAAAATACTGTTGGCTTACCCAAGGAAGTATGAAAACCAGTAGGCTAAAATGAAAGTATGATAAGGGAAGGTAAAAGATTTAGATGTATAAGATAGAAAAATTTGAATTGTTTGTTTTGGAAGAATGTTTTGATGATTTAGAAAGTTTGTCAGACCCCCATGTATTGTTACATGAGAAGTCTTGTGACCTTGGAAGAGAACCAATATTGTATTTTACTAATTTTTATCACACTTATTTCTGAAACCAATACCACCAGGTGAAATTTTCGGAATATAAGATTGACGCCCCTCATCGGTCACCATGTCAAATAGCATCTCTCAACACCTGGCGACGTTATCCATCCCCTGCCAGAGGGGTCTTCACGGTACCTTCTTTTATCAAGCTTTTACATATTTGTGTGAATAGTGTATAGTACTTCTTAATGGCATGGGAGAAATAATTGAGCAGTACATTTATAGGACTTTTGTATTTATTATAACATGAATATAGTAGTTAATGACACTAACTTTTGAGACACTTTATTTCTTGCTCCATTTGTTGACATTGCATGGAGCAGTTAGTGTATATTTGTTGGAAAGTTTTTTTTTTTTGATGATGTGATGTACTATAGAAGGCTCTGATTAACAACATTAGAACCTCTGACTAGTCTGCTTACAGAATATTAACTGGTTATAGGGTATATGCAAAATTGTATTTTTAGGGTTTTCTAGCGGTTATATAGAAATTAACATTATATTGACTGTCGCAATGCTTTATGATATTTTTTAGTCTGTGTTGCAAGTACTGTACTGTATATCGAGTAAATCGGTGGTGGACTTGAATTTCCATGGTAAAGACAAAAACATCAAAATACTTTGTATTACTCATGAATGGTTTTACACAGCTGTATTCTTTTTTCATGTTTTGTAGAAAAAATATTGATATACCTTCATTTGTATACAATTTTGGGTGACAAGACTTGGGGTGTAGTGATTTTAATATTTAGTTAATATAGTCATGGTTACAGCAATCAGATGTTGAAAATGTGATGACATGTCATGATAGCCGAGATGAGGATGCTTGTGCAAGGCCTGGAGCAGAGAGCTTGAGCGAGGCTTGGGGTAGAGAGCTCGAAGGAGGGCAAGAGCATAGAGCTCAAATGCAGGGTGAGAACGGGTAGCTTGAATAAGGCCAAAATAAGCTGTCTGCTCTATAGTGAGGCTGTAGGATCTTGTGAGAATTGGAACTAGATTTTTCAAGTGTTACATCCTTGTCAATGAATGGAGAAGATCTGCAGTACTGTACTGTATATCTAGAGTGTTTGCCACTGAACCACTATTGGAGTTACTGTCAATTCTACATTACTGACAGCTTATATTCATGCTTCACCTGACTACATTGGACAGAATGCTTCTAATAAATTGATCAGCTTGCTGGGAAACGTTTTGGGTACTTCCGGCTGTCCTAAATGATTCCCGGAAACCTTGGGAACAAGTATCGGTTGTAATTAATGCACATAGGATTATTGGAGTGTTTATCATAGAACTTCTTGGAATGTGTAATTCTTAGGGATAAGTTGTGTGGAATTAACAGGCACATCTAATTGCCTGCAGTGGAACGTCTGAGAACTTTGGAAAAACTATATTACTTATTCACTTGTGCCATCGGAGCCTTGACTTTGTGACCACTGACCACTGGAGTGGAAGACTGGAGCTTTACTGACCTTACTACGAATACTCACAATAAGAGAGCGTCCCAGAGTTATGCCACTGGTATCCAACCTCTCCTGGAATATCACTTGAGTCAATTGGAAGACAGGAACTCCGATGGAACAAGTGAATGAAATGTTATTACCCGGTTATTGTGGTTTGCAATTTATATTAATCTTGATGTAGTTGCTACAGTACTCCACCTCCCAGGGGGAAGGAGGAGTACTGTAAGCAAGGTTTTCTCTAAACTACATTAGACGTGGATAGTGTCATTGCCCAACCCTTGGTGTGTCGTTCACAACCTACAGTATGGGCCTTGCATCAGTGAGGTGTACCCTATGCTGAGATGGGAATTATAGTTTTTGCTCTACTTTAAAAAATACAACAGGTAGTGAGGTGTGATAAATAGCAATAGGTGTCATATCTATCTTCACATACTCATCAATTACCAACAGTAATATTTATTCTTGGATGCAGCCAAATTTTACAGAATTCAAAGGGAGCTTTGTAACACAAAATTTAACATAACTGTTAACTGAGAAATAAATAAAAAAAAATAAAAAATATATTTAGTGTGTTCTGGAAGTTAGAACAGAACATAGTTTACAACCATAGAAGCTTGCTACTTTTGATAGCCAGATATGGATTTCTAGTTATTGTTTTTGCCTAGTGGCCAAACTTACAATTTGTCAGGTGCTGGGTCATTTCTGACTTGTTCTCTACATTCTGAAGCCACACTTCATGCCTCTAGTGGTTTGTGATGCTCGCCTCGGCGTGCAGGAGATGGTGGCAGTTTGGATGGTTCTTTTGTGTATCTCGCATGCTCAAAGCTCGGCTGTATGAATGCATAGTGTGTGTTCTCTGGTGGTGCATTGCCTCGCTCAAAGTGGGAGAGGGTGATGTGTTTCTTGGTCTCTTCCATTGTAGCATTGAATTTGGGTCATAGCTTATATTTTAGAGGTCTCAAGTGTGCACATGGACAACATCTGGCTCTCTTTGCATGTGTGGCATGTTTGGCATATCTAAGTGAATCCCTTAATATTTGTGAGCTGCCAGCATCCTGTGCACATAACTCCATTTCCCAGCTAGAGATGTTTGTATTGATGCGCTTCGATAGTACATACTCGGATCACACGCTTGTTGAAGTTCAAACTAACATCAGTACTTGTAATATGTCCAAAGGGATTAACAAGCAAAAAGGGTTATTCAGCGAATTTAATTTTAACAGCAAGAAGATTGTCTGGGAAAAATTAATACAGAACTTGCAAGCTTCCAGTGGGAAACCATCTTCAGTAACAAAACTCCCATGCAAGGAATAGAACAAATGGCTGCTGAAGTGTACAAAGCCTGCTTGAAGCATATTCCTGTGTAGCAGGTCTGAAAGAGGACCATGCTTGAAAGAGAATATAGATGATCCTACAGAAAAAGGAAGATAATAAGGGAAATAATGCTTAAACAGATATGACTATCCCAACAAAAGGAATTTTAAACAGGGAAATTAAAGGAAAGATAATTATCAGGAGAAAACACTAATCCATTACAACTGTATTGACCTTGGAAGGAACATGATGAGCAAACCACACACCAGAAGATGAAGAAATATAAAATGGACTTGATAATGGTCCAGGACAGACCGAAACGTTGTCGTTTCTTCATCTTCTGGCATGGGATTTGGTCATGATATCTTCAGCCACGTTATTGTGACTAGTCTGCATTTGAAAGGGATATAAGGATAATGATTTAGAATAGGATGGAGGAAAGGAAAGGAAAGGTGCCCATAGAGAAAATGTTCAGATCTTCCACTTTAATGGTTATTAGGTGCTAAACATAGTTTCATACTATTCTTTTACGATTTCACCATTTCGTCATTCTCTTTGTATTAACATTCACTTTTAAGTACAGGTCTAGTACTGATGGAGTTTTTTAAATTTTAATTTTTGTATATAAAAATAAATATTTTGGATTCTTCTTTATCTCTTGCATAGTTTTCCATTTTAACACTTTTGCGCTTTATATTAGAGATAACTCGTCACTGGTTTTTCTTACGATTCTGCATAACTGCCTACTTTTCTCGTCAATCGAAAAAATATTTCTATAAATTCCATTTTTTAACCGAAATGGATGGGGATACTTTTATTTTGTAGAGAATTTATTTGCGAATGTTTTGGTACCAGAATGAATATTATATCACAAACTTCTATGAGTAAAAAAAAAATACACTAAGTATGTTTGGGGGTGTGGCGAGCGTGTGGCAGTGGGTTCCCTTTAGCCGTTGATATATCCAACACGTGGGAAATATTTGTATGTGTTATGTATATGTCTGTGTAGGGAATTTTACTGCGATCACTGTCATACAAATTATAAAATGTTTCAACAAGTATAAACATGACAAACATCAAACGAACGAAAACAATGCGTTCGTTTCTGCCGCGAACGCATACTGAGCGACGTGGTTCTATATTTGGTGCTTCTCTTACACATGCTTTGTACCAATGTTATACAGTTCATCTTATAGAAAATTTTATTGCGAACACATTGGTATAAAAAAGAAATACGTACATAGAAAAGTAGGGTCAGGAAACGTATAAACTTTCCAAGCATGATTTCCCCCGTGTTTTCGCCAGTGCGCTCGCGGCTAACTACTCTCCACTTCACACACTCTTGCGGGTGGGCAATTACCTATATTAAACATTCATATGCATATGTCCGTGTAGAGAATTTTATTGCGATTCCAATGATACCAAAATTAGCGATGTAGGACAACTGTAGGCTTCGCAACCATTAAGAGAGTGGAAACATTTTGTTGCTGTTTGGCGCTCTCGGCGAGTGATCTGCATAGTTTTTTATTTGGTGTTGATACTCCTTATGCTTGGGCGGCATTTTATAGGTATGTTCTTATAGACAATTTCATTGCGAACACAGTGATACCAAATTTAAATACGTGCACCTTCAATTATTGTCAGGACAGTCAAAAGAGTGTACACTTTTTCGGTCTTACCGCGTAGGCGCGCGAAGTGCCGAAAGCATCTGGGGTATTGTTTTTTTTTTGAGCGCCGAGAGTGCGAAAGTGTTAATTTCTGAAATGATCATACCACATTGAACATAAAAGAAATTTATTTTCCAGGTAGTCAGTAAAGCAGACTAAAATGCACTTTAACTACTGTTGCTTCATACATACTCATGAAGTATGTATGAAGCTCATATTTCCTTGCTTTAATTTTTTATCATTGTCTTTCAATAAGATATCCTAATTTTTGTTTTTACATTTCCTACAAGTTCTGTACTGTCCAATACACCTTTCTGCCTCATTGGTGCAGAAGTTCTCAAAAGCTTACTGTTGCTCCTTTTCACCCAGCAGTAACTGGATACCTGGTTGTAATTGGCAGGTTGTGTTCCAGGGAAAACTAGTAGGGTAAGGCTTATGAGGTATTGAGAGGGAAAGCCCTGAGCCTGCTAACAGGAGTCAAAACTTGTCATATACTATAATCACTTGTGAATAAAAAAAAAAATTTAGATAAATTATTTGAACTCATTAGTGAACACAACCACAACTACTACTCTTGACCAATGTTGCAATAAGCCAGACTCATCCCTGCCATGAAGCAGGTCCTGGCCTGCTTCATGGTAAACAAAGACGGTCACAATCTTGGTAGCTTGGCCAAAAGTCTCAACTCTTTTTATAGTAATTTTGTGCCATTTTTTAACCACCTTTTATGACTAATTACTTGACTTGGTGTTGGAACGGCATTAACATTTTCGCAAATAACTTAACCTATGTCTTGTAAGATCTTTACCTGGAGAGCTTTGATCACACAATCTTACAGCTCAGCATTTGTATGTATTTTATTATTTGTTATTACCTTGTCTGTCTCATTTTAACTGTCAGGTCTTACTGGGCAGGTGTTTCATACTGTAATGTGTGTACACATGTGCATATTTTATACTCGTATATTGATGTGATAATGCCTCTTATTTTGTTTTTTAGATTTATTCATTTTGTCAATATTTCTTATTTTCTATTTCTTGATCTATACAGATTAAATTTGAAGGCTTTGGAATTCGCCAAGGACCTCTGCATGGTCTGCCAATCTCAACACCTTACATGACTAAGGATTACCTACAGCTCAAGAGATTCCAAGCTCAGACTAATGGAACAACGTATGTTTATGACTTCCCCGAGATGTTTCGACAAGCTCTTGAAAGAGTGTGGGAGGAGCATCTACTTGAACGAGGTATAATACTATGGTAGTAAAATTGATAGTGGACTAATGCAATGTAAGAGGCATACAGGCAAAAAACATATGATATATCAATAAGATTATTAATATAGAAATAATGGCTTTTGAGGTTCATGTTTAATTTAAAATCTGTTGGCAAGTGTCAGATGGAACTGAAGCTTGGGTAATGAAATGGTCAGAGTTCTCAAGAATGTAGGCAATGGAAACCAGTTTTTGAGAAGTAGTGTATATAAGTATGTGGGACGAGTGTAGCAGTGAGGAAATATGAGAGATGTGGTATGAGTGAAAAAAGATGGAGTCCTATGGTAGTCGAGGTAGTAATATGAATGTCGGTAGAAAGCCTGAGAATTGTTTTTAACAAGAAAGGTGTACGAGGGTGAAATAAGAGGATCATATTATGGTACAGACAACCAGTGTCATTAAAGGGGTGAAATTTGGGTAAGAGAACTTGAGATTGAAAGCTTGTTTGGTGATAGAGCCTCCTGGAGAAACTTCTGCTGTTGCCATCCCCTTATAGGAATCTCTTTGGTAAGAGTAGCTCTTGAGATCAAAGAGAATCATTACTTAGAGAAATGCAAGTTTTCTTTTTCTGATGGATGTTCTTCTGTGTTTGCTTATGTAGTGAATTGTATCCAGGTGGAGGCAGCGTTCCGAGTCATCTCATGAACTTGGTAGAGTTGGTCTTGGACCAAGATGATCAGCTGGTGGAGGAGAAGAGGCTCCCAGGTGAAAATAATGTAAGTAAATAAGCTTAAGAAAATTTGTGCAATTAGGTTCACTTTTTTAAAATACATATTTGTACATGTGCTTTAAAATAGAAATATTACGAGTCTAGATATAACACGTTTTGATTGAATTTTTTATATACAGCATTGTAATTGTCATAATTTTATGACAATTAGTGGGACGGATAGAAACTTTATCACTGTGTGGTTTGGGTTATTGTTATAGTCGCGTTACCGTGAGCTCTGTGGAGAGCCCCTCCGGCTTCCCAGAGCTTACTGGGCTGATATGTATGTATTAGACCGTGTCATCAGTCAATTTGATTGGAGTTCTTGCCTACCGGGACCACGAGCCAGAACCTGGCCCGCTCAGAGACACGAAGAGCTATGGCCTATAGAAACCTCCATGTGGTTGGAAGCATTCCATGTATGCCATCGACCGGGTTAGGCACCCAGAAAGGTAGGCGTCCCAAAACAAACTCCACCTGGTTCAAAATTGCCACCAAAAGCCGAGCTATCAAGCAGAACTCCCCAATCCAAAAACGAGTAAGCAAACATACATTACATCACACCTGCTGCAGCGCTGGTTTCTGTGCAGTTCTCTCCCCAGTAGGGGGAAGCCCCAGAACCCCGTGCCCGCCATCCAACCCCATTGATGCTGATAATGGGTTGGAGGCAGCTTCGGCATTGCATGCAAGTTCTCGGTTTGCTGCAACGTGCTAGGTTGGTTGCCTTTCCGGATGCCCTGCTTTGGTTATTGGGCCCCAGACTTGGGGGCGTTAATTGTTTCGACTTTGGTTTCATCCGCGCTCCCTCGTCCTTACCCTGCTATTGTTTGTCCTGCCCCCCCTCCCCACCTGCTGGCTCCCAGCTCCCGGCTCCCAAATGTCTGAGGGTTTCGGGGTCGGGGCAGGGTTTAGATGTTACCGAGACTCTGGCAGTCTCAGGGGCTGCCCCATCTGGTTCGACGTCTTCAAATGAAAACTGGACTGTTTTTCTAAGAGAAGTTCTGGATCAGCCGGGCTGTGGTGGGTATGTGGGCCTGTGGGCCGCTCCAAGCAACAGCCTGGTGGACCAAACTCTCACAAGTCAAGCCTGGCCTCAGGCCGGGCTTGGAGTAGAACAACTCCCAGAACCCCATCAAGCAGGTATCAAGCAGGATGACGGAGGCATTCGACCCTACTCCTCCAGCTGGGGCATTGGGGCCTGAGCAGCAGGGCCTCCCTTTTCCCAGTTTTTCCGGTGGGCTCTGCTTTTTCTTTAGGGGTGGAGGGTTTGTAGGACAGTTTTGCCCTGGGTCCTGGCATAGAGGATTCCGGGGCTGGAGAAGAATCGACTTGAGGGGGGGGAGGGGCCTTGGGCCCCGTTTGACCCCGCTTGGGTGTTGGTACCCTCGGGGGGTTGTTGCACGAGAAGGAGTTTTCTTGCCCCCCTTTCTCTGTACGAACTTGATCAGAGTTCCTTGGGTTCTTCAGTCCCTTCCTTTTGAAGGCTTTCGGCTTCCAGCATTCCACCTAAGGAGGTTTGGGAGGTCATTGTGGTGTACCTCTTGCGTAACCCGGATTTTGCCTCGATAGTGGCCCCTTCCTCGTTTGAGTTTGGTTCTGCTTTTCCTTATTGGGTGCATTATGAGTTGCCAAAGTCATCCTGGTTGGCAGGCTGCCCTTTCTTTTCTTTGCGGGTGTCTCCAAGCATCATCCAAGCATCTGTACTGGATGCTTGGATGGTGTCTCTGGACCTCCGGGATACGTATTGGCACATCCCACTTCATTCAGGGTTCAGGGACTGGCTCGGTTTTGTCGTGGGGCAGCGTGCTTACTGCTTTCATTGCCTTCATTTCAGCTTAAATCTGGTACCTCGCGTTTTCACATGCCTTACCTGGGTCGTGGTGACCCACTTGCTTCTGCTAGGGGGGTTCAGGTTCTGGCCTACCTTGACAACTGGCTAGTGTGGGCTCCCAGCCGGTCCATGTGTCTGCTCGCCAGGAGTTTGGTTCTTTCCCAATTTTAAACCAGCTAAAATTTGCTGGTTTAGCTGCCATTTTTGGTAATGTGTCTTGGGCTGACATTCGGGTGCGAGGGTTTTGGAGGTCGAACAGGGTCCTGGCCTCCCATTACCTTATTAATTAATGTTCCTGGCCGCAGGTTGCAGCCTGTTATATCGACTGCGAGTTGGGGTGCGAGTTGCAGCCGCCTCCCGGGTAAGTCCCTCTTTTACTTTTTCTGTGGTTAGGTAACTCTGGGGAGCTGGAGGGGGCTCCACAGAAAACCAGCATTGAATGTAATGAAACTCCATTTTCTGGGCGAGTCTGGGAGGCAACCCTCCATCCCTCCGGTCGGCGGTATTTGCATTTTTGATATTCAGCTCTGAACTAGGGTTGGATGATTGGTGCGGGGTTCTGGGGCTTCCCCTTCCCCTTCCTGGCGAAGAGGGAGCTGCGTAGACAATGGTGCTGTGGTGGTTGTGACATCATGCTTGTTTCCTTCCCTTTGGATTGGGAAGTTCTGCTTGATAGTTCGGCTTTCGGCAGCAATTTTGAATTGGGTGCAGTTTTTGTGATGTCTTCCTTTCTGGGTGCCTAACCCGGTCAATGGCAGACATGGAATACTTCCAACTACATGGCGGTTTCTGTAGCTCATCGTGCCTCTGAGGGGGGCCTGATTCTTGCTTGAGGTCCCTGGTAGGCAAGAACTCCAATCGAATTGACCGATGCCACTGTCTAATACATATATACATACCAGCACGGTAAGCACTGGGAAACCTCCGGGACTCGCCCAGAAAATGGCATTTCATTACATTCATCGATGGTTTTTTGATAAGCACGTGTGTGTGTGTATCTGCAAGTCTTCAAAAGAATATTGCTGGAATAAAAGTACAGTAGTGTATTACATTTGTCATCTTTTACAACCCAAATAAGTCATTAACACTTTGCCGCTACTGGCCTATTGAAAAAAAAGCCATATAGGGTATGGCTTTTTTTCAATAGGCCGGTAGCGGCAAAGTGTTAATGACTTATTTGTGTTGTAAAAGATGACAAATGTAATACACTACTGTACTTTTATTCCAGCAATATTCTTTTGAAGACTTGCAGATACACACACACACACACACACACACACACGTGCTTATCAAAAAACCATTAACGCTGTAGCACAACGTAGCACGCCGAAAGCGTGCTTTCGGCGTTTCGAGCGCTTACGAGGCAAGACAGAAAAGTGTATACTCTTTTGACTGTCCTGACACTAATTGTTGGCGTACGTATTTAATTTTTGTGTCACTGTGCTTGCCATAGAATTGTCTATAAGAACGTACCTATAAAATGCCTCGAAAACATAAGGTATATCAACACCAAATAAAGAACTACTGAGATCACTAGCCGAGAGCATCAAACACCAACAAAATGTTTCTACTCTCTTCATGGTAGTGAAGCCCACAGTTGTGGGCTTTCTTACAGCTTTCTTAACGTTCTTACAGCGTTAATTTTGGTATCACTGAAATCGCAATAAAATTCTCTACATGGACATATGCATATAAATATAGATTCAATGTCGTGGCCCACCCAAAACAGTGTGGGAAGTGGCCGAAGTGTTACCCGCGGCGGCATATCGGCGAAACCCGCTTTGAAAAGTGTATATTCAATTCACTGTCCTGACATTATTTTTCGATGTATGTATTTCATTTTTGTTTCAATGTGTTCGCAATAGAATGTTCTAGAAGAACATAAGTATAAAAGGTCACACAAGGATGCGTTCGACCGGCAGCATATATAAAAACTACGTCGATTATACTCGTCGTGTCAATAATACAATTGTTTTACCACGATGATTCACTGCCACGCCGTTCTCCTTAATAAGCTGTTAGGCTATTAGAGAAAACGTTAATTTCATGGCAAACGTTTGTAAACTATCCCCAAGTAGATCGGATAATAAATGGAACTTATACAAGTATTTTTTCTCGTGACTCTTGAGCGCGGCATGCCAGCGTAGTCAGTAGAAAAATTGGTGACAACGCTGAGGTCACCAAAGTGGGAAAGTTTTAAGAGCGTGTCTTAAAGCACATGAACCGGTCTATGCAGGAGTGGCGACTCGTTGAACTTGCTAAAGACAGTTTGTTTTTACATCGGTAATGAGTGGCTAAAATAATTTACATAGCAAGTCAAACAAGACAGGCAAGAGTTTTAAATTATCTGAAATTTAGTATTGTTGTCATTTTGTGTATACAGTATATGTGCGCATGCCTTGGTATGTGTGTACACTTCAGTATATATGTATACAGTATATAGCTTCTCTGGGCTGGACATAGAGTTCTTCTCTAGCACCATTGTGAAAAGATCCCTACAGTGTCATGACTGACATGATCCTGACATCATGCAACATTCATTGCATATCCTGTGCAATGGGATACTCGGTGATGTTACATTATGGATCATCAGACTGGAATAGCTGACAGAAGGTCAAATAACTATTGAATATCCATCCAGTAGAACATTTAGTGCTTCACTAAATTTCTCACTTTCTTTGCTATTCTATTTGTTGTTAGATTCTATTGAACTTCATATATTTACCCAACAGATTGGCATGGTTGCATGGCGTATGACACTGCACACACCAGAGTATCCGGAGGGTAGAGACATCATCATTATCTGCAATGACATTACCTACCAGATTGGCTCCTTTGGTCCACGGGAGGATATACTTTTCTTAAGGGCATCACAGTTTGCACGCCTCCACAAGGTAATAGATTTAATTACAGATTTATATTTATGATGTATGTTGTGTTCTATAGACTGAGAACAGGTTAAATTTATGAACCAAATTAGTTTCTTTGTACACCTTCCAGTCATTACTTTGTATTATATTAAGACTTTGTAAAGTAGGGGAAGATCCTGTTTGAGTTTTATACAAATGAGATTGTTCATATAAAATAGTCAAGGCACCAGAGCAATGATTCCAGAGGCGATTCATTTTGTGTTAACCCCAATTGTCAAAACTAGTTTTATAGACAGTTCATTCAGTGTATGTGTTTAGCAGTATTTGTGCCTTTATAGTGTTAAACAAATGGCTGTTTATTATGAGTTTCTGATGTGTACAATGAGTATGTACTAGAATAGGTGGTGTGTGGTACCTGCACTCTCTCAACACCTTAGTACACAGTATAAAATTTAACTTGTTTAAAAACAGACTTAAGCAAATTATAAAATAAAGCTTCTAGTGTGTAGAAGAGCCTTGTTGAACCTGGCCCCAAACTGGGCTCGGGGAGTAGAAAAACTCCATAAACCCTCTCTGGGTATGCTTCCATGTAAATGAAAAGCTAGTTTATGAACAAGTCACTTAGTTACTCATTTAATGTCCAGCTCTGACTGGGACATGGACCAAATTGTGGAGTGGACAGTGTAACCTTGGTATAACAGCACAGAGGTTCTATTCTTGCCGCACCTGCCGAGCCATTAATGGAGAAAGAGAGATGTAGGGAATGTTCAATCTGACCCTGAATGATTGTTGGAAGGCTCGAGTAATTTTCAAGCCCCAGTATGACTTGGTGGAGTTGTTTAAAAAAGATCTGCACAGCACTGGTTTGGAATGTCACCCTGCAGTGAGTATCTAGAACCAGTTCTATGAAACTTCTAGAGATTGCGTTAGGAAGCATTTAAGTGAAATGCTCACAACGGAACATTTTCAATTCACTTAAAGCAAGATTTTTCTTGAACACATGTCCTCAAATTGCAATTCTCTTAAATTTTGAATACAGAGACCTTCAGATCATGCAGATCATGGTTTGCTTATAGAATTTTTTCCCGATTGTTGCAGTTTTGTGAACCTATTACGTGGTGCATCATTGTGCCTGGTCTTGTTCATTTTGAAGCATCAGTTTCTCATGCATTTGTCTCTAGGTTTGTTAATCACTTGTTTTGAGAACTTGCAGTGTACTGATTAGCTTAAATGTGAATAAACAAACATGCATATACAAATACCAACACGTGTAATATTCAAATTCTCAAAATATTCTTAGATTCCGAGGCTGTACATTGCAGCTAACTCTGGTGCTCGAATTGGTCTGGCAGAAGAAATAAAGCACATGTTTAAAGTAGCGTGGGAGGACCCATCTGAACCAGATAAGGTAAGTTGTATGTATGGTCAGTCTTAACTACCTCCACGTGAAAGTTTGTTGTTTAGTTTACTGTACTGTGAAACCTGCAGCTGTGTGAATAAATGTTCTGTGGATCTTGCACTACATATCTCATAATCAAATGATCACATTTAAAAGATATGTAAACTGTTTCAGGGATTCAAATACCTCTACCTGGCACCAGAAGATTACAAAAAGGTGTCTACCCTAGATTCCATTCATGCAGAGTTGATTGATGACAATGGTGAAGCACGTTACAAGATTAACGATATAATTGGTATGTTAGTACTGTACTGTAATATAATGTGTCAGTATATCAGAGCATCATATTATAAAATTCCTATAGGAAAGTTTCTGTAAACATAACTACACTTATTAAAGCTGTAAACTAAATAATAGACTCAGTGCTCATAGTGTCTGATAGGGTTGACACAGAGGACTAGCTGTTGGTTCTAAAATGTCAAATATTGGGTACCAACATGCTTGATACCCGATATTTGAAAATATTGGATATCATATGACATTACAAAATAAGAAAAAACATTACATATTTTTCCTGCACTTTTAACCCATAAAGTGCATTTATCATCATACATTCATTGGGTAATGTGGGTATCATCATACGTTGAATTAAACTGTTATTGTCTGGGTTTTACACCAATGATGCTTATATGGATATAATATCTCTGTGGATGTATTGGAATTTACCTTGATCCACAAAACAATCCTGCTATTGTTTCATAATTACCTTACATGCAAATATGGGTATCATCACAAATGTTGTTAAATCAATGCAGTAATCATCATGGTATAAAATATCATTATAATTACATATGTATATTGATTGTGTGTGTGTGGTTTTCACTATGTATGGTTGACCTGGTATACTTCATTACAACAATCTTAATATGAACATAATGAAGGAACTGCAGAAGGCTTTGTGGCCTATATGAAATCACTTCTATTTATAGTCACCCAAACTAATTCACATGTGGACCTGCTAGCCTATTCCAGACAGTTCCTATTTATATCAACGATATATATAGGAGCTGCTCGTATGGGTTTCCATTTATATTATACGAGATAAATAGGAGCTCCCATTGCACGAAGCAAACTACATTGTAGATATTCGGCTTTTATTTTCTTTCTCATAGGTGGATGTGCATTAAATTGATTACCACATGTTAGGAGGTTAAGATCTGGCTATTAAAGCTTTGCAAGTTTTCAATTGAGTTGTATTATAATACTATTGTTCATTATCCTGTACAAGGGTGTGCTAGTATTTCACATGAATTTTAAATTGCTTTTGAAGGCTGCACTGTGTACCATATAAGACCACAGGTTCCCTACCCCTGGTCTAGGGTAAGCTCAATAAGCATTTCAGGCTTCTTGTTCCCAACAATGGGAAGCTAACTATATTTGACATTGTTTAGGATGTAAATGTAAAATGTATGAAAGAATGATTAACACTGTTGTCAAGTTTTAAAATTTACGTTTGAAAAATGTTTACAAGAGTGCACGTGTGTTACAGCATCGTTCATGTTAAAATGAATTCTTTCAATTAAAACAGTAATGATTTCAGTGATATGTGACCGAATTCAGTTGGGTTACCAATTGTCAATATTTAGGAAATACGTAATTTATACATAATTGCACTGAATATCTTAGTGAGGCGTTATTTTATTTATTCTTTGTTTAGGTAAGGAGGATGGCCTTGGTGTTGAGAACCTGCAGCATTCTGGAATGATCGCTGGAGAGACATCCCAAGCCTACCGTGAAGTAGTTACTTACTCTATGGTTACTTGCCGGGCCATAGGTATTGGAGCTTATTTAGTGAGGCTCGGACAACGAGTGGTTCAGGTGGAATCTTCGCACATCATTCTCACAGGGTTTAGTGCACTCAACAAGGTAACCACACACATTACCATTTAATTCTGTAATTTATTGTCTAAACATTATCATAACTCTGTATATTGAAAAATCAATAAGTTCCACTCTTAGACAAGAGCCAATAATATGTACCATGTTCAGTGGAACCTTGACTTACGAATGCCCCTACTTATGAATTTTTTGAGTTACAATCCCAATTTCGTTGGAATATTAGATTTGACTTACAACCTTTGTCTCGACTTGCACCTTTGTCGATACAAGTACAGTATGGGTCGACCGAGCACGCGGCACCTGGTGGCACAGGCGACCACGCTTCAGTTTACCAGTCACCTGCCTACTGACAATCGCACTTGAATATTACATTTGGGAGGACAACAGGATGGATGAATGGTGAGGGGACTGGATGGATGGAAAGAAAATATTTTAGAAACACCAGCACTAGAATCATGTAAGGGAAGAACACGTACAGTTCAAGTGGGTGTGCAGGTTATAGAGTGGATGGATAAGTCAGGGTGGGCAGAACAGAACATGTGGGGTGGCAGATGGCAAACCAAGGTGGTGGGTGGTAGGGCGGGCACAGAGCTGGTGTTAGCAGGGCAGTCAGGAGACAATGGATGGGCAAATGAGCAGCAGGACAGGTAGTCAGAGTGGGTGGGTAGCAGGGCAGTCAGGAGACAGCGTGTGGACAAATGAGTAGCAGGATGAGTGGTCAGAGTGGGTGGGTGGGTGGGTAGCAGGGCTTGTGGTCAGAGTGGGTGGGTGGGTAGCAGTGGGCAGTGGCATGAGTGGACCAGCTTCTTGCTAGGACTAATGCAGGAGCTGGTCACACCCGGTCCCTACCCATGACCCCCCCCCCCCATCCCACACACTGGTGAAGACGGATGGAGGATGAAGATAGACAGAGACTTCAGGATGACCTGGATAAACTTGAGGAATGGTCTAGAAAATGGCTGCTAAAGTTCAACTCGGGAAAGTGTAAGGTGATGAAATTAGGCGAAGGGAGCAGGAGGCTGAACACAAGGTATCATCTGGGAGGGGAAATCCTGCAAGAGTCAAATAGAGAGAAGGATCTGGGGGTTGATATCACACCGAACCTGTCCCCAGAGGCCCACATCAAAAGAATATCATCAGCGACATATGCTAGACTGGCCAACATAAGAACTGCCTTCAGAAACTTGTGTAAGGAATCTTTCAGAACCCTGTATACCACTTATGTAAGACCAATCCTGGAGTATGCAGCTCCAGCCTGGAGTCCATACCTAGTTAAACACAAGACAAAGTTAGAGAAGATTCAGCGGTATGCCACCAGGCTCGTCCCGGAACAGAGAGGATTGAGCTACGAGGAAAGGCTAAAGGAGCTGAACCTCACATCCCTGGAAAACAGAAGAGTAAGGGGAGACATGATAACCACCTACAAAATTCTCAGGGGAATTGACAGGGTAGACAAAGACAAACTCTTCAGCACGGGTGGGACGCGAACAAGGGGACACAGGTGGAAACTTAGTACCCAGATGAGCCACAGAGACGTTAGAAAGAATTTTTTCAGTGTCAGAGTAGTTAATAAATGGAATGCACTAGGAAGTGATGTGGTGGAGGCTGACTCCATACACAGTTTCAAATGTAGATATGATAGAGCCCAGTAGGCTCAGGAATCTGTACACCAGTTGATTGACAGTTGAGAGGCGGGACCAAAGAGCCAAAGCTCAACCCCCGCAAGCACAATTAGGCGAGTACAATTAGGTGAGTACAATTAGGTGAGTACTGGTCCCTCCCTGCAACCTGCATCTCTCCACACTGCTCCCCCCCCCCCCAGCTGTACCCCTCCCATCCGTATGGACAATATTAATACAGTGGGCTTCCTTGATACCAGCTGATAAATCAGCAGACAGACTCCCTAGGCGCCTGACATTAAACTTATTGTTTGCTAACTGACTGATTGCAACTGTGAAAGCCTGATTGACTGTAAATGCAAAACTGACCATAAATGCTTAACCGGTTGCTACCACAACAGTGAATGCTTGACTGCTTTTGGTTATGACTCCTTGTGACTGAATTTGACTGAATGGTTGACTGATATGTTGTGGCTGACTGGTTCTGACTGGCTCCCACATAACAGGCAGTGAAATGTGTGAAAGGAAAATCTGTAACCAGTGATGCAGATAGGAAAGAAGTTTAAGGCGAGCATGGGACAGTCTTGCCTCCTCCTGCCTACTCCTCACCCTCCCCATACACCAACACTGCTCCTCCCTCCCTCCTCACCGTCTCCCATATGCCAACAAGTACTCAGTAACTGTAAAGTAATTATACATGATTGTTTTGTGTGAAAAATTAGTAGTATTCTGTATAAAATGTGTTTTTGTTAATAATTTTTGGGTGTGTGGAATGGATTAATTAAATTTACTTTATTTCTTACTGGAAAATTTGTTTAGAGTTACAACCCGTCTCTGGGAACGGATTAAATTCGTAAGTGGAGGTACCACTGTATACTGGTAGTGTATTTTGTGGTTGGTGCATTGTGCATTTCTAGTATTACCGATATCACACTGTTTTATATGCAGATTTCTGTTTTCTTCAATTATTGCAAGGACTAATAGCAATATTATAGAATTTAATTGACTACTACTAAACAGAGTAAACAACGGGATTGACTACTTGCAGTTTTAGTTCTTAGGGAATGCTTAAAAATATATTCTGTGCAATCTAAAATCTTCTGAAATCCAGAACCTGGCATGTACTGTAATTTTCAAATTCCATTATTATTAACTTTACATTGCCCATAATTGTTTACCATCTAGAGAATGAAGGCAATCTACATTTTGCCACAATATGATCAAACACTTCTCTTATCTAGTAGCTTCATTGATTTGGTTTTGATATGTGTAAAATACATTACAAAAATCCTCACATTTAGCAGATGGTATAAGCAAATTTTATTTATTTTCCAGCTCCTTGGACGAGAGGTTTATAGCAGTAACTCACAGTTGGGAGGTGTACAGATTATGCATAAGAATGGGATCTCGCATGATGTTGCTCCAAATGACTTGGAGGGCATTTATATTATGCTTAGATGGCTCTCTTATGTTCCCAAGGTTTGTATAAATTTATGTTTACGTTCTGCCGGTGAAGCTCCAAATGCCATACATTTCCTGTACTCACCTAGTTGTATTTGCCTAGTTGTGCTTGCAGGGGGGGAAAGGGGCTTGGCTCTGGCTCTTTGGGCCTGCTTCACAACTGTCAATCAACTTGCTTCCCCCCTCCACATACACCCCCCTCCCCAAGAAGCAGCCCATAACAGCTGTCTAACTCCCGGGTATCTATTTACTGCTAGGTGAACAGGAGCACGAAGGTGAAAGAAACTCTGCCTCTTTGTTTCCGCCTCTGCCAGGGTTCGAACCCGGCGGAGAGGGCAGCTTTGGGGACTGCCCTGTTAGGGTTGGGGACGGAGGCATTCAAGCCAGTTTCCCCTGCTGAGGCTTCTGGGTCCCACCAGCAGGCCCCCTTTTCAACCTTTCCCCCTGAACTGCCTTTTCTTCAGGAGTAGAGGGTATGGAGGACTGCTCTGCTCTGGGTCCCGACTTAGGGGAACCCTAGGGCTGGAGTGGAGTCGACCTGAGGGGTCTTGGGGCCCCTTTTTTACCCCTCTTGGGTGTTGGTGCCCTTTTCGTGTGGCTTATTCTTGCAGAGGAGGGGCGTTCTTATTCTCCGTTCCTGTATGAATATGATTTGGGGTTGGCTCCTCCCTGAGTTTGATTCTGGGCTCTCTTGGGTTCCTCGGCCCCGTTCTTCCAGAGGTTTTCTGCCTCTCGTATCTTCCCTAGGGAGGATTGGGAGGGATCTTGCTGCGTACCTCCTGCGAGACCCGGATTCCGCCTCTGTAATGGATCTGTCCTTACTTAAGTTTGGTTCTTCTTCCCCCGTATTGGGTGCATTTGGAGATTCCAGAGTCTTCCTGGCTGTCAGACTGCCCATTCTGTTCGTTGGGGGCGTGACATGGACCTGTCTGTTCTGTCGGACCCGCACGGTTGAGTGGCGAGAAACTTCTGCAGGTTTACCTGGGGGAGAGTTGGAGTGCCTTAATGTGTGTTTGTTCGCACTCGTGATTCCTCGGGATGTTGGCCTTGTGCAGATGCATGTGCAGGTTCCTACGCTTTCGGCGTCCTTGGTTGCTGAGGACTTGCACACTCATGGCCTTCGGTCTTGCGCATCTTTTTTTTTCTCAAGCTGTCTTCGGCCTGGCTTGTGGAAGTGCTGAGTGCAGAGCCTTTGTCTGGTGTGCTGTCCTCGGCAACTCAGGCTTCGGCTGCACTATTGAAGCTGTTTGCGCCTATCCTGAAGGAGGTAGTGGTCTGTTCTTTGCTTCTCTCCTTGAGTGCCATCAGGCTGTGCTCGCACTCTTTGGAATCTGCTTATGCCCTGACTCTTAGGTTTTCATCAGTGTTTTGTCCGTTGCTGTTTGCGGAGTCTGCTGTCACACGGTTTTTGCAGGCGGCTTCGTCTAGTTGTCGTCCTATGTCAGACTTGTTGGTTCTCCAGGGTGGCTGTTCTAGGCCTTATTGGCAGGGTCATGCCAGGGCTTGGAGTTCTGCTGGTCTAGGTGGGCCATTGGTGCTAGCTTCTGAGCCGGCATCATCTGGTCGGCGCAATAATCGGTCTGTTCATCGGCCGGCTCCTTGTTTTGTTGTAGGGTGTCAGGCTTATCGTTTTAGTTGAATTCCACTCGACTTGAATCTGGCACTTCGCATGTTCACGCGCCTTACCCGGGTCGTTGTGGCCCGTCTGCCTCTCTTAGGGGTTCAGGTTCTGGCCTTCCTCGACAACTGGCTGGTGTGGGCTCCCAGCCAGTCCATGTGTCTGCTCACCAGGGATTTTTTTGAGATATATACAAGAGTTGTTACATTCTTTTACAGCCACTACTACGCGTAGCGTTTCGGGCAGGTCCATGGAATATGATCCCCTGCTGCGAAGAATCGTTTTTTCATCCAAGTACACATTTTTACTGTTGCGTTAAACAGAGGCTACAGTTAAGGAATTGCGCCCAGTAAATCCTCCCCGGCCAGGATACGAACCCATGACATGATGATGATTTGGTTCTTTCCCAGCTCGCCGGGGTCGGGTTTTTGGTGAACTGAAGAAGTCTCATCTGATTCTCTCTCAGGTTTGGACATAGCTGGCTTTTGTGTGGGAATTTCAGACTTCTTCCTTGTCTTTCTCTCCGGAGGCTCTGCTGCGGCTGCGGTCCCACCTTCGTCTGTTTCGGGAAGGTTCCCTGTTCACGAGGCAGTTGTTCGAGGGGTTGTGTGGGAGTCTGAACGTTGTTGTGTTGGTGTACCTGCTGGGCTGGGTTTGGCTTGTCGGGTGTTCTGGGTCCATCGGGAACGTCCTTTCCGTCTTTCTCATGATAGCTGGTTTTGGCCTCTAGGTGCCTTACGTCGGATGCTGCATCGCCAGCTTCCTTATCGGGGTTTTCAGGGTTCAGTGCCTTGGCACCTATGCAAGCTCTCGCTTGACGTGTTCATGGACACGTCGTTTCTTGGCTGGGGCTTTGTGACCAGTGCTCACCTGGCCGGCCAGGAATGGTAAGGCCCATCCTTCTGTCGGGCCCACTGCATGGTGCAAGAGTTTGCGGCAGTGTGGAATGTCAATTCCAGCTTCATTCGAACTGCTCCCCGGGGGGTTCGATGTGGTCCTTAACTCTTTGGGGCTGGTTGTTTCAGGTGACTCGTCTGCTGAGTTCTCGGGATTTGGCTCTCCTGGCCGTTCATGTTTGGGGAGGGGAAAGTGTCCAATGTCCTGGCGGATGGCCTGTCATAGTTCATTCCCCTGTCCACGGAATGGACAGTCGACGCCGACTCGTTCAGTTGACTCTGCAATAGGTGGACCTCTTTGCGTCATCGTGGTCGAAGTGTCTTCCAAATTGTGGCGCCCTTACCTGACTGCAAGGCCATCGGGGTAGATGCTTTCAGCCAGGACTGGTTGAGGTGGTATTACCTGTACCTCTTTTCACCAGTTCCGCTGTTGCTCCAGGTCCTGGCTCGCTTGGAGACTTACCAAGGGAGAGTAGTCCTGTTGGCCCTTTGGTGGCCAGCCCAACCTTGGTTTCAGGCGCTGCTTGCTCGGTGCCTGAACGGGTCTTCCTGCGGCTCCACCTCTTTCAGCAGATTGGGCCAGTCTGTTAATTAGCTGGTTCAATTTTCTCAAATCTTCGTATCTGGTCTTTCTGATGCGGGTCTTATCACCATTTGTATGGTGAGCAGGTGGCTTCGTTGGTGTCCCACCTACGTGCTTCATCTCGGCCGCAGTATGAAGTTTCCTGGCAGTCCTTTAGTTATTTCTTGTCCTTCTGTAGGTTTTCTTCAGTTTCAGATCTGGTTGTCTTGCCCTTAATTTCTTAATAGTTTCAGGACAGTCATCTTATGCCAAATACTGTCGCCTCATATCTTCTGATGCTGGCGGAGCCACTTTCTGGGGGGAACTGAGGGGGCATCCCCCAGAAAACTAGCGTTGAATGTAGTGAAACACCATTTTCTGGGCGAGAGCCTGAGGCTTCCCGGCAACCCTCCTTCCCACTGGTCGGCGGTTTTCGTGGTTTTGACGTCCAGCCTCGGAACTGGGGGGTGAATAGCTGGTGCGAGGTATCAGGGGCTCTTTCTTCCTCCTCCTGGGAGGGGGACCTGCTCAGACAGCAGTGCAGTGATGGTTATGATGTCATGCTTGTTTGCTCATTATTAGTTTGGGGAGTTTTATCAAACAGTTTGGCTTTTAGTAGCAATTTTTAACCAGATAGGGTTTGTCTTGGGGTGCCTACCTTTCTGGGTGCTTACCCGGTCGATGGGAGACATTGATGCTTCCAACCACACAGGTTTCTATAAGCCATTGCTCCTCGTGCCTCTTTGAGAGGGGCCAGGTTCTGGCTTGTGGTCCCTGGTAGGCCTAAGAACTCGATTCACTTTGACAGATGCCATGGTCTAAAACATTCTTATCAGCCCAGATAGCTTTGGGGAGCCTCCAGGTCTCGCCCAGAAAATGGCATTTCATTACGTTCAGTACTGGTTTTTTGGTAATATGCCCTGGACTGACATACTACGGGGCATGGGGGTTTTTGGAGATCGAACAGGGTCCTGGCTTCTCGGTACCTCGTTCATGTTCTTGGCTCTTCTCAAGGCGTGTGTAGCCTTGGGTGGCAGGTTGCAGCCAGTTGTCTCGACTTCGAGTTGAGGAGAGAGTGGCAGCCGCCTCCTGGGTAAGTCCCCTTTTTCCTTTATCTTTGGTTAGGTAGCTCCGGGGAGCCGAAAGGGCTCTCCACAGAAAACCAGCGTTAAATGTAATGAAACACCATTTTCTGGGTGAGACCCGGAGGCTCCCCGGCATCCCTCCCTCCCTCCGGTAAGCGTTTTTTTTGTGTTTTTGATACTCGGCCTCTGAACTGGGGAGAGTTGCCGGTGTGAAGGTCTGGGACACCTCCGTCCCCCTCCTGGGGAGGGGGGGGGGGGTTGCACAGACGGATGCGCGGTGTTTGTGGTGGCATCATACTGGTTTTCTTGGTTTTAATTGGAGAGTTCTGTTGCTAGTTCAGCTTTCGGTCTGCAATAATTTAATCGGCAGTAGTTTGTTTTGGAATTCTTACCTTTCTGGGTGCCTGACCTGGTAGATGGCAGACAGACTGCTTCCAATTACACGGGGGTGTCTTTAGGCCATTCCTCCTCGTGCCTCTTGAGGGGGCCAAGTTCTGGCTCTGGTCCCCGGTAGGCCTCGAACTCCTTCGATTGACTGTTGCTACAGTCTAATATATACACATCAGGCCAGTATAGCTCCGGGGAGCCTCCGGGCCTCACCCAGAAAATGGCGTTTCATTACATTCAACGCTGGTTTTTTGCTTGTTTTCTGATGGGGAGTTCTGCCTGCTCGTTCAGCTTTCTGTTTGCAATCTTTAACCAGCTGTAGTTTGTTTTGTGATTCCTACCTTTCTGGGTGCCTGACCTGGTAGATGGCAGACAAAGACTGCTTCCAACTACATGGGGGTGACTTTTGGCCATTGCTCCTTGTGTCTCTGAGGGGGCCAGGTTCTGGCTTGTGGTCCCTGGTAGGCTAAGAATTCCATCGATTGATTGTTGCCACAGTCTAATACATACAAATCAGTCCGGTATAGCTCTGGGGCTCGCCCAGAAAATGGGGTTTCGTTACATTCAACGCTGTTTTTTGTTGTGTTCTAGCTCTTGCTATTTTTTTTTATGCTTGATATTTTTTGTTGTAATGCAAGCAATTGGTATCAATGTCTCCACGGCCTGGTCTCTGACCAGGCCTGCTGGTTGGTGGTCAGGTTAACCAGGCTGTTGGACACAATTGCTCGCAGTCTGACATTTGAATCTCAGCCCAGTTCATCAGCTATTCTTTGGAGGTATTTATCAACTTTTGTTTTGAACACAATGAATGATCTCATCTGTAGTTTCTGTAGTTGTCATAACCTTGGTCCACCACCTTCAGGTTCATGGCTGCTGCTGCTTTTTTTTTTTTTTCACTAAAAATTTGCTTTAAATTGAAGAAAATAATTGCATTAACCCTCGCATGCCTCCAATCACCGCTTATGATTACCTCCAGTGTATGAATCACTGTACGGGATTTTTTTAATTTTTGTGAATTATTTTAATACACCATAATGTAGGACTTTTAATTTGCAGAATAAGAAAGCGGAAATATGGTTACCTCCATGTTAGGACAGGTCCAGTTACTTTAGCAGGGGAAATACAAATACTTCTAACAATCATTAATTAATTGTTGGTTGCAGCTATTAGATTTTTATAAATTTTGTTATTCAAAATAAAAGTAAAATATTATTGTATTTGTGAACATACTCTGACATGTCATTCAGCAACCCAACAGCCTAGCACTAGAAATTAGATCGTCAGACTCTACAGATTGTCAAACTTAGTCACGGTTTTGGCCGAGTTTCCAAGATATTCGAGTTACTTAGGTTGGAAATAGGTGATCATTTAGTGTGTGTCTGTGATAATCTTATATAATTATTATTTTTTATTTGTTTTTTATTCTTCAGACGAAAGATTCTCCATTACCCATACTTGAGCCTGTAGATCCAGTGGAACGTGAAGTGACTTTTATGCCAAGTCGGGCTTCATACGATCCAAGGTGGCTAGTTAATGGCCGACCATCTCCATCCAATCCTAATGAATGGGAAAGTGGCTTCTTTGATAAAAATTCATTCCAGGTATTTTTTCTGAAATTTGCTTTTATCTGTATATTGAAATTATCTATTCATATTACTATGCTAAAATAAATAAATAAAATATTTTCCAGAGTTACTTCATTTAATAAATAATTTTGCTTTATACTGTATACTTATTCTCCTATGAATTTTCCTCAAAGGAAGTGACCATGATAAAAAAGACCTGCAAGTATTTTACGTAATCTAGCATGGTATATAACCTATATTTCTATAGGTTATATTTCTATAGGCTATATTTCCTCATGTGACGTATACCTGAAGTGGTTCCTTGTTCTATTTTGTTCCTGCATACATGTTTGAATTTAATAATTTTTGTGTTAATGATTATCTCCTACAGGAAATACTAGAACCTTGGGCACAAACTGTGATGTGTGGCCGGGCACGGCTAGGTGGCATACCCGTCGGTGTCATTTGTGTAGAAACACGAACTGTGGAATTCAATCTTTTAGCTGACCCTGCTAATTTGGATTCTGAGGCAAAAGTAAGCAACCTCTCTGTATGTTTCAAGTCTTGTACTAATATCTATGCCATTATTTCCCCCCTCCTTCCCTTACCCCAGTCCTGTGTGGTTACCCATTTGGGTTGTTTGGTGACAACTGTTCTCATAGGGGTACCAGCTCCTTTTACTTCATTTATTTTAAATTTTGTTTGAAGTTACAGTAGTTTTGGCTCACACTCCAAAACACATTTTCTCACATTCCAACATTGTGATAAATTGGTCATAAATTAAATAATTTATAGGGGGCCAAAATCATTTGTTTAAATACTCTTTTGCAATCAGATTAATAAGTGGAGAGAATAATTTAAGAGTGTTATACTAAAAGTTTCATTGATATTACAAACATTATATGACATTATAGGGAAGATGAGAAACCACAGGCATAGCTCTCATATTATAACTAAACTTAGGTAAGGACTACTCTACTACACCATTAGTGGATAACGGGAAGGTGATACACAGCAGTCATGGAGCAAATTGGTGTGCCTGCAGGGTTGGTGTATATGCTCTTCTCATTCATAGCTCTTCATGGCTAAGTGATGCTGAAGTCACCATTTTTTCTTCCTTAGTTAAATATTATCTTTGGTTTCTTGAAGGACTTTCTGGAGTAAAAGACTACTTGCCAGATGTTTGTTGATTGCCATAATGCCAAAATGTATCGAGTTAGTGTGTGACTAAAACTGATAAATGAGCGAGTTTGTTGGTGAAAACGTAGTGTTAGCTGGGATGATTTTTTGTCTGTTCAGTCCTCCACTACACACACCTGTCCACTCATTTTATTTCATTGTTCTCTCTATCTGTGAACCACCATATTTCTTGACACTACTGTATTTGATAAAAAGCCTTGTATAGCAGATAATTGGTGTCGGGTACAGTTTTTATTGCATATTATTTTAATTCTTACAGATACCTTCACAAACTGCATTCTTTCACATCCTTATGCATGCAACAATGAACTTAATGTATGCCATTGGATTAGCATTATAAAAGTATGTGTTTTCCAGTAAATGTCTTCTTTCCTTTCTTGGCTATGGAAATGGAGAAAGGGGCAAAGAGAATTAAGCCTAGTAAATTTTGCCCCTGACTGTTTAGAGAAAAAAAATAAACTCTTGCAATACCTTAATCTTAACAGACAGTCTCCCAAGCCGGGCAAGTGTGGTTCCCTGATTCAGCATACAAGACTTCTCAGGCAATCAAGGACTTCAACCATGAAGGTCTTCCTCTCCTCATCTTTGCCAACTGGAGAGGGTTTTCAGGAGGCATGAAAGGTACTTTTTATCACCAATTATTTCACAGTATCTTTGAACATTTATTCAGAGTGTCATGTTTTACTTTGACAAAGGTTTGTTAGGTAAATGAAATAACATGTGTATGTACCCAGTAGCTCAATATCAAGCCTTGGCCTATTTTATACTGATGCATTTTGCAAGTTAACCTAGTTGTAATATTTTGCTTGAAATAGAACATGATTGCATACAGATCTAGGAGCCATATTATTAGATACTTATTACTATCGGCCATGGTCATTATGAATACATAAATGTTACACATGCTTATCCTTTAGAGGGGTTAGATAATGACTTCCCAATGCATAAGCATATTCAGTTGGATCATTCTATATGTTGTACAGATTTGTTAGCTTAGTAGACTACTGTGGCTTTGGGTCGTACAATCCAATACTCTACGCTTGAGCCTTGTCTGCTTCCCTGTGTTCAGAGATGCTATCTTGTTGATCAACACTGAAGATGGTTTTGGTATTAGCTAAATTAGACAAGTGTGTGTATGTTCACACCAACTGTCTACCATTCTTCCAAGAAGATAATGTAATACTACTTAGGAAACAAGCAGATTACTAGGACCATGGCCCTAAACATGAAGTGCTTACCTGTCAGTGACTACTGTGATGGGGGGGGGGTGAGATCTAGCTCTTTATGCCCTACCTCTAAGCAATTTATATCTGATATACTAATTAAATCTCTTGACATTAAAGTTTATAATATATTTTTAAACTGTGGATGTTGTGTGGCTTTCACAATTTCCTCCATGTTAGGAAGAAACACAGCTTCCTCTTGCCAACAACCCATACAAGGTCTGAGAAGATCCTTGCACCTCTTAAAATTTGACTTGCTATCCAGATTTCACCAGTGTCCTCATGTCCTGCCTCCTTTCAATTTCATTCAGTTGCAGGCACTGTTGTCAGTCTCGTATACAATCCTTTAGCACTTGTGCAGTTGAACCTTGCCGAGTATTGATCAGTTGCACCTTCCTACGAGTACACTTGTATGATGGGTTCTTGAAGCTCTTGAACTTTCCTAGCAGAGTGGCAGTTCAAGCAACTGGTTTATATTACAAATTCAACTTGTTAAAAGAATCAAAAGGTGAAATAACCTAACACACACATTAAATCATATGTAAGTGACAACATTTAGATTTTTGTCCTCGGCCCTTATCAAGGGTCCAGGACAAACAAGAAACATAAGCATTTTCATTTTATTTCATATGTGGATGGAGTTATTTGTTTGAACTGTGTTACTGTGACACATCCTCTATATCTTAAGGTGCTATATGATGACAAAGATTGTTAGCTCATAGCCACTTGAATTGGAAACTTATGATAACTGGTCAGGTTCGAGATCTTCATTTCTCACCATTTATTTTTGTATGTACAGTATTTTAACTTTTAATTACCAAAGATTATAGAATGTATCTAAAAGAAAGTTGCCTTTAATATTTATACTCTATACTACTGTATATGAAAGAGATGAATTAAGGTATATAAATAGAAATAAATTTCAAAATTATTGAAAGATTGTTTTTGAATAATTAACTGCCAAGCTACCTTTTAATGTGACCAATAATGTGACCAATTCCAATATTTATTGGAATATTTGTAATTAATTTGCTTTTATATTGCAGTAAACAAAATGGCTAAAGAACATTATTTGATGAAAGAAATTGCTGATATCCTGTATTTCAGACATGTACGAGCAAGTGATAAAATTTGGTGCTTACATCGTTGATGCTCTACGAGAATATAACCAACCGATATTGGTGTACGTGCCGCCCTATGCCGAGCTACGAGGTGGTGCGTGGGTTGTGATAGACTCTTCCATTAATGAGCGATACATGGAAATGTATGCTGACCCCTTATCTAGGTAAGATAATGTATTTGGAATGATACTGGTCATGGTGGGTGACTGGAACAGTAGATTCCGACAAGCTGAAAGTTTTGTGGACCCATACAAGTTGGTGGTTCGTGGAAACAAGCAACCACGGACTGGACAAAAAGTACTTTTATTTCACTTGATGTCCTGTTGTTAAATACATTATTTTAACTTAAAATTAAATTAAAACAGTCGTGATAATATACAAAATTACACTTCTTTAACCCTCGCACTGCTCCAATCACTTGAGTGATTTGTGTATATGCATCAATTGTACGGAGATTATTTAAAGTGACCCATTTTATTAAAAAAAAAACACCCATTCTTGGGAGGACATAATTTGACACTGGAAACCTCTGGCAATTGTTTGCCATAGTTGGAAAAAATCCCAAATAACTTGGTTTCCTCCCATTGCCTTAGTAAAAAGATATGGGCCATGTCTGGACCCTCCAGTGACTGAACGTGCATGGCGGCCATGCTAGAAACCATTGAACTTTTAACAACTGCAAATCAGTGATAACTGGATATAAATTTGCATGCAAGATGTATGTATTTAATATGAACAAGTACAGGGTGTGCATATATTTATACACACATACCTGTTCATATGTATATTTCCAAAAGTTATACAAAATGAATACAAGTAATGGCATATCAATACAACATGTGAAAATACAAGTCATGATGGGTAGATGCTTTTCACTTAAATTTTCCTGCTTCCTGGATGCTAATTAACAATATCCAAATAATTTTTTGTTTAAAGCTAGAAGTACCCTGCACAGTTAAGGGGGGATTAAAAAGGACTGTCATTGGAACCCTTTTCCCACCTCTACCTTCCTACTGTATAGTGTTCTGACCTGAGGGGGTTGGGGCTTATGGAACTTAAACCTCCAAAGAGAGCTTTGGTTGCTACACCAGACTGTTACTTGCGTACAGGTGGACAACGTCCCCCAACCACTCTCTGCCAGAACAGACAACTGACCTCAGCAGCCACACTCCCGCTACCGTCAGTCGACCAGTAATGAACTCTGGAGTGCTTGAAGTTTTCTCAGATCACCCTGTATGCCTCTTGATCTTGGAAAGGGGTTCAGCATCACATATCTAACGGTGCAGCTCCAACACTGGCCTCACTATATCTAGCCTTTTCTCCTGCACTCTGTTGGGTCCTCTTGGAGTGGGTTCGCTTGAGTGTAGTCAAAATGACCTCATCCCTCAGGTGAGTCTCCCGCTTGTTTTCAGTTACAAAACGGGACTGCGCGGACCAAGTTCATTCTGGACTTGTCCCGTCTGAACCCCTGACTATTGCCCCTCCTTTTGGATGACTACTGTCACAGGTCCATCTTCTTGTGGAGCCGGGTGCTTGGATGGTGCCCCTGGACCTCCAGGACACATACTGGCACATCCCGATTAATCCGGGGTTCAGGGACTGGGTAGATTTTGTTGCGAGGCATCAGGCTTACCGATTTTGTTGCCTTTCTTTCGGCTTGAATCTACCGCCTCCATGTTTACAGGCCTTACCTGGGTCGTGGTAGCCCATTTGCGTCTGTTAGGGGTTCGGGTTCAGGCCCACTTTGACGACTGGCTGGTGTGGGCTCCCAGCCAGTATGCATGTCTGTTTGCCAGGGAATTGGATCTTTCCCAGCTTGCCAGGTTCGGGTTCCTGGTGAACTGGCGGAAGTCCCATCTGGGTCCCTCTCAGGTTCGGTCTTGGCTGGGTATAGTGTGGGATTCTCAGATCGCTTCCTTGTCTCTCCCTGCAGCGGCTCTTCTGCGGCTGCAGTCCCACCTTTGCCTGTTTCTGGAGAGCTCCCGGGTCATGAGGTGGTGTCTAGAGGGTTTATGCGGGAATCTGAACTTTGCCGTAATGGTGTGCCCGCCGGGTCAGGTTTGACTTCGTCGGCTGTTCTGGTTCCTACGGGGATGTCCAGGTTCCCAGGTCCTGTGGCTCCACCTCTTCCAGCAGATCGGACCGGTGCGTCACGTGGCTAGTTCGATCTTTCCTCGAGTCTTTGCGTATGGTATTTTTGACTCGAGTTTATTATCTCTATGGCGATCAGGTGGCTTCCTTGTTAGTGTCCCACCTGTGGGCTTCATCTCGGCGGCAGTATGAAGTTTCCTGGCGGTTCTTCTTACGTCTTCGTCGTTGTACTTCGCTTTCGATTAGGATGGTGTTGTCCTTTCTCTCTTGATTGTTTCAGGACCATCTCCTTATGCCTAACACCGTCGCCTCGTTTCGTGCGGTGCTGGCGGAGCTGCTTCAGCTTGCTTTCGGTATTGATGTTACGTCTGCACCGTTTCGCAAGCTGTCTCGGTCGTTGTTTCACCTCTGGCCTGCTCATGCGCCGCCCGAGCCGTCCTGGTCTTCGGATAGAGTGCTCTCCTTTCTTTCTTCTCCTCGGTTTGTTGTGGCCCCTTGGGTTCCGGATTGTTTTTCGAAGGTGCTTTTTCTGTTGGCATTAACCTCTGGGGGTCGGGTTGGTGAGTTTCATGCTCTCCTCCGTCGCAGGGGTTTCTGCTTTTTCGGTCGGGGTGATGGGTTTGTTCATCTGCAGCCTCCTTCTTCTCTGGCGAAGAAGAATGAGACTGCTGCCTTCCGGATGGGTCCCTGGGTTGTTGATGCTTGGTTAGGCCTGGGGTGCATCATGTTTTGTGTCCTGTTGCGGCTCTCCACCGTTATTTGAGTGCCACAGCTGCTGTATCCGTGGACGCACTTTGGGTAGATCCGGTTTCCCTTCTTCCCTGTTCGTAGGTACGGGTCTCCTAGGTCGTCCGCAGGGTTAAGGCTAGCCAGCCTGAAGTCTATCCCCGTGCCCATGACGTTCGCAAGTTCGCGGTTCTTGCCGCCGTCTTTGGCAATATGTCTTGGGCTGACATTCAGACGGGGGGGATTTTGTCGGTCGAACAGGGTCCTGGCTGCTCGTTACCCTATTAACGTTCCTGGGCCCAGTCGGGCCTGTGTCGCTTTGGGTCGGCGGATGCAGCCAGTTGTCTCGACTTCGGGTTGAGGAGTGAGCAGCAACCGCCTCCCGGGTAAGTCTCTCCTTTCCTCTGTGGGTAGTTAGCTCCGGGAAGCCATAGGGGCTCCCCCCAGAAAACCAGCATTGAATGTAATGAAATGCCATTTTCTAGGTGAGACCTGGAGGCTTCCTGGCATCTCTTCCTCCCTCCCTCCCTCCCTCCCTCCCTCCGGTCGACGGTTTTTTGCGTGTTTTAACATTCAGCCTCAGAACTGGGCTGTGGATTGCCGGCACAGTAGGTCTGGGGCTCCACCTTCCCCCTCCCGGGAAGGGGGAAGCATTTCATATGACGTCATAGTTTGTTCGTTCTTGTTTGGGGAGTTCTATCCACTTGTTCAGCTTTTGGTAGCAATATTTACACCAGAATAGGGGTTTGTTTTGGGATACTTACCTTTCTGGGTGCCTAACCCGGTCGATGCAGACATAGAATGCTTCCAACCACACAGGGGCTTCTATAGGCCATTGCTCCTTATGCCTCTCTGAGGGGGCCTGGTTCTGGCCGTGGTCCCCGGTAGGCCCAAAGAACTCCATACACATGACTGATGCCAAAGTCTGACATTAACATATCCTGGATAGCTCCAGGGAGTCTCCAGGTCTCACCCAGAAAATGGCATTTCATTACTTTCAATGCTGTTTTTTTATATACTGTATATATATAAAATTTGGGTTTATGCTCTTGAAAATAATCTGATATTTTTTTTTTTTTTTATCAGAGGAGGAGTCCTAGAACCTGAAGGAACAGTGGAGATAAAGTTCAAGAAGAAAGACATCGTGAAGTCCATGTCACGATTGGACCCAATTATCCACTCACTTAACGAGAGACTGTCAGTGCCAGACTTACCCCCAGAAAAGGAGGCAGATCTTAGGAAGAAAATACAAGAGAGAGAAGATTTGCTCATGCCAACGTATCATCAGGTAAATTTGATCATCTGATAAATTGAATTACCTCATGAATAAACGTTAACACTCGTGATCAGTCATGAGTGTGTAAAGAATAGCGGGATATGTTAGGTTGGCTAACATAATAACTGCCATTTGAAACTTGTTTAAGGAATTCAGTACCTTGTATATGGTATGTGACCAACCAATCATGAAGTACAGTATACAGTTCGAAGGTGGAGGTCAATCGAGATGAAGTTTAAAGTTTCAAGGTGTGCTAGTAGACTAGTTCTGGAGCTGATGGGTGAGAGTTACAAGGCTACAGGAATTAAACCTCAAGTCATAAAGACAAAAGGGTTAGGGGGAGACATGATTACCACCTACAAAATATTAGAAGAAACGATAAGGCAGATAAACTATTTAGCATGGGTGGTACACAAACAAGGGAACACAAGTGGAAACTTAGTACCCAAATGAGCCATAGATATATTAGAAAGTTTTTTCAAAGTAGTAAACAAATGGAATGCACTGAGACACAAGGTGGTGGAGGCAGACTTCATACACAGTTTCAAATGTAGATGTGATAGCCCAATTTGGCTCAGGATCTTGTACACCAGTTGATTGACAGCTGAAAAACAAGACCAAAGCACAACTAAGTATGTATTGCAGTGTGTCTCGGTAACATACTACAAATACACTACAAAACCCACTTGGTAGTCTTCTACATATTTCAGTGCCACTTAATAGTCTTTAGGAGATAAGGGGGTAACTGGAAACACAAATGATCAACAGGAATGAATGAAGAAACTCCAAGGAATAAATTGCAGGAAATATTAGTTTAACTATGCAATCTATAGGTTTAAAATTAGATAAGATATTCATAAAAAAATGTTAAGTACCATAGTTAGTACCAGATAATCAAAATTGAAGAGGTGGAATCCAAGAGGGAAGCCTCCCTGCAGGTAATCACATGACATGACATAATGAATTAACTGCTGATTGTTAGTCATGCATGTCACCATTTGTTATTCTATTTTTCTACCATGCTCTTCATGCACAAGATACGGATCTCTTGCCAAATAAATGCACATGACATTGTAATTTGGTTAGAAACTGCATCCACAGTGAATTTTAATGTTCATTTCAGTTGGCAGTAACCTTTGCTGATCTACATGACACCCCTGTTAGGATGCAAGAGAAAGGGGTTATTCAGGGAGTGGTACCTTGGGCACAGAGTCGAAAAGTTCTCTTCTGGAGGCTTAGGCGTCTTTTGGCTGAAGAAAGGGTGAAGAAAGAAATAAGAGCGGTTCAATCTGACTCGTCTGATGGCCAAATTGATGCCATGTTGAGACGATGGTTCTTTGAGGAGAAAGGATCAGTGGAGGTATGTTAATTGCTTTTGTGTCTTTTTAATATTACATTTTCTCTTGCATTACCATATAAGATTTCATGCCTTGTGTCAATGGTGATTGTAGGATGAAGTTCGTGCATCAGGGGGTCATGTTTTCCTTAAAATAGATGGCAGTGGTGTTGATAAACCATTTACACATAATGGAATTTAGTACTATTCTCGAATGGATGAGTGAAATTTAAAAGCCATTACAGTCAGCCACGTGCTATCCGAACACCTGTGGGACTGAGAATGAATGGAAAACATGGTGTGTTCAGATAAGTGGTTAGTCATCCTGAAAAGCTAGGGGGGGGGGGGGAATTGGCAATTCTGTTGCACAAATTCAACAGTGTTATAATGTATCTATACTGTATCACCACTGATACCAGCCACTAAGCAAGTTGTTAATAATTATGACTAAATTAAAGATACTTAATGCTGCCACCAGTATTCGATAACAAAAGTATTTAACAGTGACCGGCGTCGAAGGGTACCGGTCACGGGAGGGTTAAAGGTGGCACAATAGGGGGAGGGGGAGCCACATGGTCGGTTTCCACTTTTTTCTGACCGCTCTCTATGAATGAATACACGGGTACGAATGGATACCCAGATTGACAATTTAGTAATATATATAATATATATTTATTTAAATGAAGATCACTACATAAAAGTCCTACTCTATCTTCCCTATCAAGGCATGTAATAATCAACACTTGTGATATTGGAACATAAGGGACCAGTACTCACTCAAGATACAGCAGTGATGAAGCTTCCTTGTAGATACCAGACCGTCAGTCTCCCTCCCCCTGTGATGCCCAACACTCCACCCCAGACTCTTGTCTGAACTGAGACACAACACACACTGTCCTTTCCCTCTTGTTGTTGTTTTAGATATAGCTACTCAGAACGAAGTGTCCATGTAGCACGGGCTATGGCCTCTCCCTCTCTCGTAACGAGCTTTTATACTCGTCTATCCCCAATTTTCCGTTGAATGGACGGATTTGAATCTGGTAACAACGGATTACTTTCCAACTCTAGAAACTACTGGAGGTGAGGTTTGTTTGACCTTACCTCACCTCCCTGTGAATGTCTCGTAAGTCAGGTATAATCCCAAGTCTCTACTCACGTCACCTCAACAACTGTTAGTGTTTTGTTTGAATTCGCCAATACATGTTCTGGTCTGTTTCTTAACAATGCTCCATCGACGAATCTTTAAGTTATTTAGATAGAAAAAGTGGTGGTGGATGATGATAGTATTGGATTGACTGAAATGAAGGTTAATGGTGATGAGGTAACCTGAGCAGACTACCTTTTACCATGTACTTTAATGTACCTAATGCCATGGCAGAGTTGAAAGCTTCTGAGCTATTCATTAGAGTACGAACACTGCCCAGTGACTGTACACAGCACCACTTGAGCAAACTAGTTTCATCTTTTTTGCATATTTTTATTCAGACTGCCTGCTGCACCAGTTATCCAAACTTTTTTATCCGAACAAACCCCCAATCGGATAACGGGCATTTTCAGATAACAGACATTCATAAATCATGTGGCTGACTGTACCCTCTTTTACAATACAGGTACAGTATTACATTTTTCTGTGTTGATCCTTCGCCAAATCTTGAGAGTGGGAGCCAGGTTAATGATACTGAAAGTATGTAATACATGTTGGCCTTCTCTTGGCTCAATTTCATGGTATATCATAGAATCTGGATCCAAGCAAATATGGTATTTAAACCTAAATATTTTTTCATTGTACATTAGTATATATTTGCATATTTTCCTCATTATAATTATGTAAATGTTACATTTTATGCATATACTTTTTCAGTCTTACCTATGGGACAAGGACAAGGTTGTAGCAGAGTGGTTAGACCAGCAGATGGAGAGCTACTGGCTCAGGGAGGATGGGAAACCATGTCTTGAAGAAAGTAGTAATTCATATGTCTTGGAGAATCTTCAACAAATGAAGAGAGATGCTGCTATATCACAGGTCATGGGTGTTGTCAAAGTGAGTATTTCTACCTCGGTTCAATACCTATTTTATAGATTATTAAGTTGTGTTTATGTTCATTAATTTGGGATCCTAGCACCAAATGGTACATTTATCGCCATCATCATCACATCTCTGCACACATTAGGCTTTTGGGTGCTTTTCTTGGTGAATCCACAAAACAGAGCAGTACTGTACTATATTTGTTTAGATTTCATTGGATTAGGTGACTTAGGCAGTACAGTAATATTTTTGGTACAGAACCTTGCAGCATCTAAGTGCTGTACATGATGATGCCTCACAACTTGGTATAGAAATTACAAGGGTTGGACCACACCCTGCTGGCGATATCAGAATAATTGCACACAGAGCAGCTGTGAACTTGAGATTCAAAGCTGTGTTGTTGCCGTAGCTGAGGAAAGAATCTTGAAATAATTATAGTGAACTGTATCGTTTGGCTGCATTTAGATTTTGACCCTTAAAATCAACCTAAATAGATATATTAATCAGTAGTGAGTTAGGTATTAATATTTGAATGTTGGTATTCAGATAATACCTGATATTATTTGAGCTGGTATTAGTATACAGGTACCATATAATACTGCATAACCAAGACATGTTAACAAAAATAAGTCTGGTTAGGTTGGAGTGCAGGTTATTGCATAAGTAACCTGTTTATTTACATGCAATGAAAGAAATGGGATTGATGTTACATTACTCAAATGTAAGAGCAAGAACTACTGATGGTGAGTTCATGCTAAAAAACATGCAGGCTCAATAGATAAACATAACCACTGTGCTGCATCAGCTGAGAGAACTTGTTTGCCCAAAAATGTGCCAGCTGAGAAATGATGTTACTGTATCATAAGAAATGAAAATCCAATGCATACGAAGGGGGCACACATTACTTCCTCAGACCTCCAGTAATCATACCCCATCTTGAAAAACATCCCGAGTCCCTCACTTTCCTTTTTTTGGGCTTAGTACCGTGTTCTAGGCTACTTAGGCCTATGAAACGTCCAAAGACCAAGGGCTTTAGGAACGTGTAGGGCAGCCATACTATGAGCCACTGAAAGTTGAACAGCAACAAGTGAGTGATTACCATTATATATTTCAGGCAATATGTGTGCTATGTCAATTATAATATTTAGGCTCCACCGGCGCTGGAAATCGAACACTGGATCATAGGACTACGTATCCAGCGTGCTGTCCATTCAGCTACCGGTGCCCCCATCAGTGCTTACCTCCCAGTGACTACAGGGGAGTGAGATATAACTTTATGCCCCACCACCTAGCCATGTATATTGGCATGCTAATTACCTCTATCAACGTTATTTTCATTGTATATTTTATTAAGGTAGTGGATGGAATTAGTTTTGATGACCTCTTCCTTTAAGAGGAAGAGGTCATATTATTGATTGTCTGATGGGGTTACACCATCACCACCTCTCCCCTTCTCAATTTGGTTTTCGCAAGTGCCGCAGCACAACTGATGTCCTGGTGAACTTGGAGGTCTATATTTGTACTGCTTTTGCTGCGAGGACCTGCGTTGTTGCCGTCCTTTTTGACCTGGAAAAGGCTTACGACACCACCTGGCAATATCATATTCTGTCCCAACTTCATTCTTTTGGCCTTCGTGGTCATCTCCCTCTCTTTCTCCATAGCTACCTTTCTCGTCATTCCTTTCGAGTGAGGCTTGGTGCCACTCTCTTTGCTTCTTTTCAGCAATACGAAGGTTTGCTCCCAACGTAGTGTTCTGAGCATTACTGTTTTTCTGGTTGCACTCAATCATCATCTTTCCTCTCTTTCTTCTGGCGTCTTCTCCGCTCTCTATGTCGACGATCTTACCCTTTGCTGTCGGGGTGATGATTCGCCTCTCCTTCAATGTCGGCTTCAACTTGTGATTGATGCCGTGTCGTCTTGGGCCACCGATCATGGCTTCAGGTTCTCTACATCTAAGACTTGTACTATGACTTTTACTCGGAAGCATGTCGTTCTTCGTCCCTCTTTGTCGCTTTATGGCCATCCCCTTGTGTACAGGGATTCCGCTAAGCTTTTGGGGTTGATCTCTGACTCTCATTCGTCTTGGTCACCCCATATCTCTTACCTCCGAGATGAATGCTTTAAGGCCCTTACCCTCCTTAAGGTTTTGTCCCATACTTCTTGGAGGAGCGTATAGGCACACTCTCCTCGCTTTACATTTTTCTCTTGTCCTGTCTAAACTCGATTATGGTTGCCCTGCTTACTCGTCTGCTTCTCCTTCTACGCTTCGCCATCTTGAAGCTTTGCACCATAGGCACCAGTGCACGAAAGGCACCAGTGCCTCGGCTATGGTGCCTTTCGTTCAACTCCTGCCCTCAGCTTGTATGGTGACACTGGCTTCCTATCTCTCCAGGACCGTCGTGATTGCTATTGTCTTCGCTATCTTGCGCGGTCCTTGCAACATCCTTCCTCTCGCTTCTGTCGTGCTTTAACTTTTACCCCTCCTGTGGTTCCTTCACCACCTCCCTCTTTCTGTCCGGTTATCTCGCTTACAGGTTTCTCTTTCAGTTCGTATTTCTAATGTTTCTCCTCGTGTTGTTCCTTCCTTGCCCCCGTGGAGAGTCCCCCCCTTCCAAAGTTTTATAAATCTTTAACTCGCATCACTAGAGCTTTTACCCCTCCTACGGTTCTGAAACGCCTTTTCCTTGAGCACTTTTCTTAGCACTCTTGCTCCGTTTCCATCTTCACCGATGGGTCTAAGTCTGTGGACGGTGTAGGCTACTCTGTAGTTTTTTCTGACCACACTTATATGTGTCGACTACCTCCAGAGACTAGCATCTTCACAGCTGAACTTTATGCTATTCTCTATGCCCTTCGTCTCCTGCTTTCTCGTTGACAGTCTTCCTTTGTGGTTGTCGTTGACTCTCGTAGTGCCCTCATGGCTCAGGTCTTTTAATCCGGTCCATCCAGTGGTCGTCGAGAGTCGGCATTGGCTGTTTCTTATTTCCAGTAAATTTAACACTTTCGCCCGGGCATGACGCAGCATTGCGTCATCCGTTTACTGTCGGTAATGCCGGGGATGACGCAGCATTGCGTCATCCACTTTAAATAATCGCCAAAAATCAGGTTTTTATCCGATTTTTTTGGGACTGGTTTTAAAATGTGCGCCGATGTCTTCCCATTTTCTTTGTTGAGCCTCGTGGCCCTCAGGTGGCTTAGCACACACCGTCGGCCCATTGTTTTTGCTCCACTGTTGTGACCAATGTCGCCTCCCCTCGCATCTCAAACGTGTGAACATTTCGGCTATTTTCCGTGGCTATATTTCTTACTGCAGCTTTAGAAACTATCTACGCTTACTCCACGATGGATAGTGATCATGAACAAGGCCCTTCCAGGAAGAAAATTGCGAAAGAAAGGCTTGAAAAGGGCGGGAATTGGGAGTGTAGCTGGAAGGCGTCTGCGCGCTCGCTCGTGGCTAACGCGTGGCCCGTCTTCAACTCGTCGGCGGTTGGAGCGTGACCAGGTTTTTTATTTTATATGCTAATGTTCCTCTAGAGAATTCTATTGCGAACCCATTGAGACCAAAATGAAAGACCTAGGACGAAAATTGAGGTGACCAGAGTGAAAATAGTGAAAACATTTTATCGCGTTTGCGCGCTCCTGGGTAACTCGTTCGCACTTTCTCTGTTTGCTGCGGTAATTAGCCGGGCTTTTGGAGTTTATATGCATTTAGTGCTGTAGAGAATTCTATTGCGAACACAATGATACCAAATTTAATCTCGTAGGACAAGAATTAAGGTGACAAAGTTGAAGAGAGTATACACTTTTCAGAATTTACGCGCGCTCCCGTGACACCCTGGGACCCAAATTGCACAGTTAAGGGGTGGCGCGCGGGGTACGCCAAAGTATTAAGTCAATTGAGTTTTGCTGGGTTCCCAGCCATATTGGTCTCTCTTTAAATGAGCATGCGGACGCTGCCGCAAGGGAGGCTGTCCGCTCTTGTCCCATTTCCCATAAAGGTATTCCTTATTCCGAGTTTTACCCAGTTATTCATTCCTCCATCCTTACCCGTTGGCAGGATTGTTGGGCTTCTGTTACTGGTAACAAACTGCATTCTCTTAAGTCGCGTGTCCTCCTGGCCTTTCTCCTGCCACCGTAACCGGCAGTTGGAAACGGCTCTGGCGAGGTTGCGTATTGGTCATGCGCGCTTAACTCGCGGTCACTTAATGGAGTGCTGCCCTGCTCCTTATGGTCCAAATTGCATTGTCCCTCTTATGGTCGTGCATATCCTTGTTGAATGTCCCGACTTCCAGGACAAGCGTGTCTCTTGCTTTCCAACCATCCCTCGCGGTCACTTGTCCCTCGATATAATTCTTGGTGAATCAGATACTTTTAATATCGTTCGCCTTATGCGTTTCTGTTCCCGTATTGGCATCCTTGGTGATATTTACCGCCCTCTGATTATTCCGCACATTTGATGGTGCTACATAGCTTTCCCGGTTTAGTGCCTTCTTTTGATAATTAATTACTTGTGAAGTATAAACAGAAACTTGAGAAAGTTCAGAAGTTAGCAACTAGATGTGTATCAGAATTGAGAGAGTTCTCGGCTATGAGGACAGGTTGTGAAAACTCTCCCTCACAACCTTGGAGAGAAGAAACAGGAGATATAAAAACTACATACAAGATCTTGAGGTAATAAAGGGGATAAAGGAAGCCTATTTAAATTAAAAAGAGGTAGGACAAGGGGGATGTCGGTGGAAGTTGGAGATGCATTTTGAGTCATAAAGATGTAAGGAAGCTCTTGTTTCCTGTACAAGTGGTAGGAAAGTGGAATGCATTGATGAGAGATTGTTGAAGCCAATTCCATCCACAACCTTAAAAAGAAATGTGATAAGCATTAGGGGTTATTAGCATGCCTGGTATAAATGGCTAAGTGGCGGGGCATAAAGAGCTAAATCTTGCTCCCCATAGTCACTTGGGAGTACCCAGTGTACGGGTTGGTATCCTTCTCATGGCTCCTACTGATTGTTCTCAGTGTTACATGAAACACTGATAGACAGTGTTTGTCTATCATATTATAAAATGCCAACCTGTAAATCTATTTCACTTAATAGTTAAAATTGTTAAAAATGGGGATTAAAGCAATAATGTTTCCTTATCTTAGATACAGCAATCTTACCTGTGCCTGTCTTGACCATCTGTCTACTTAACCATTTGGTCATCTTCTTGAGGTTACAGTATCTTTGAGATGATTTCAGGGCTTAGTGTCCCTGCGGCCCGGTCCTCAAACCAGGCCTACTTTTTGTTGCACACCCCCAGGAAGCAGCCCGTAGCAGCTGTCTAACTCCCAGGTACCTATGCAGGTGATGAGTCACAATAACATGGCTGAAGTATGTTGACCAGATCACACACTAGAAAGTGAAGGGACAAAGACTTGAGGGGAGGGACAATCGACTTGAGAATGGTCCAGGACGTCCCAGGTACCTATTTACTGCTAGGTGAACAGGATCATCAGGGTGAAAGAAACTGCCCATTTGTTTCTGCCTCCACCGGGGATCGAACCCGGAACCTCAGAACTACGAATCCGAAGTGCTAATCACTTGGCTGTCACGCCCCTATAGACCATACAGCATAAAATTTTAATGGTTGGAATTCACTCTGTTTAAGGAATTATATACTGAATTATATGAAGTTGAATACAGTATTGAACTTTAGTTTCATTTCTTAATAAATTGTTATTAAGTCCTTAACCCTCTAACTGCTCATCATTTTTAGCTCTATTTCCTAATGCACATAAACAATTCACAAAAATTCCATTGTTCTTTATCATAAAACTTATTTTTGATGGAAAAGTTCTAAACATTTTAATTTGGCTGTAGTAAGGTGAAGAAATGTTGAAAATGCCAAATTTCTAAGAAGTAATTTTCAAGCAAACTATGTGTAACAGATTTCTCCATATGACAACTATATGGAGAAATATAGTTATTCGGGATTTCAAGTTTTTGAAATCTTGCATGGCATCAATGATTCCTACCATAGATGTCAGATGATGAATGGTGATGCACTTGACATGGTGCCAATTTCGTTAGTAATGCCCAGGAACACACCTAAGGCTTTCAGAATTTTTTTCCAATTTTGCCAAGTAATTGCCAGAGGTCTCTAATGTTGAATGATATCCACATAGAATATTTAAGACATTTGAATATTACAGGGGACAATAAATCTCCTTAGAGGCACTCTGGACTTTATTGCTTGAGGGGGGCTACAGGAGCAGTTTAAGGGTTAAGAAAGCTTTTTAGATTGAATTTAGTTTTCTTTTCAGGAGTTCCCTGAGATTGCGATGGACACAATTGTGCACATTATCCGTCGAATGTCTCCATCACAACGAGCAGATACACTGAAAGCACTCAACAATATGGATCTCATTAACCAGCAAGCAGAACCCATTACCACCCCAGACCAGCAGGATAATTCAAACTGACCCGTATGGTGGCAGTAGTACTTTAGCCCATACTACTAGCCACACTTGCCCATGGTCCATATAAACCCAGCTGCCATACCCATCCACTTCGTGTACACAACCTGATGTGCGACTACACCTAAATATAATGACAATTTGATGAAGCATTTGGTGAAAGTGTAAACCTATTTGTTAAATTAAAAGAATAATGTTTAGGAATACAGTACTGTATATACAGTATATATATTTATAGCACAAAATGTATTGAAAAACTCCATGAAAAGATGCTAAGGAAAGTTAATGGAGTTATACAAATCATTAAATATAAGTCATATTTCTAAAGTCATTTGCTTTACAGGTAAATGTAGTTATGGAAATTCTGTCATTTTACTTTTTGCATAGCAAGGCCAGATGTGTGTCTTACGGATGTGTATATTATTGATTAAATTATTACATCATTGAAACATAACTCTCACAATTGTTCAGTAGTGTAGAAGATATACACAAAAATCTGTAAGATTCAATATTTTTGCAAATAGAATATTATATATGACAATAATTTATGATATCAATCGATTCCTTTGATTTTTCAGCAATCTTCAGTGTACAATACTGATGATTTTAAACCCAGAAAAGTTGCACCTATACAGTGCATACCTTTTTTCTTTGGATTTACTAATTGGTATTCTTTAAAACTTTTGAGCCAATAACATCAATTCTTGTCATTTGTCAGTACAAAGATTAATGCACGACACTGAATGACTGACGTCTTTCATTGCTACGTGACTGCCATACGTTGTATCCCCCAGGGTAAGTGGGCTGGAGTTGCATTTCCACCAGGTTGTGTTGCACAATGACTGAATCATTTTCTTATTTGTATTTTCATTATTGTCATCATTATCAACTTGTTGTTATTGTTGCTTTATTGTTTTGTTTTTGGTTATCCCTAAGATGGATATGTTGTCATTGTTTTTTGTTCTATTCATTATCACTTTTTTTTACTACATTAAAATCTTCATGATTTGATTGATAATGAAATTTTATATTTATAAATACTGTTTTCTTTAACATATATAAATGTATGTGTGTATTTTAAGGGTATGTAAGTAAATGTGTGTATGGGGGGGTGGGTGCGGGTATTCACACTTGCAAAAGGAATTCATAGAAGAATATGAAAGTGGTTAATGCATTTTAGTGTTTTCATTCATGTTTTGAGGGCTGGCTCTTCTTGTATGAAATGATGATGAGATATTACTCCCTGCAAACTTGGCAAGTATGCTCTCATGCCTGTGTGTAGACAACATGTGCATATCCATATATATATACCCACTTAGTGTCATTTATGAGTGTGCAATTGCCAGTGTAGTTTCAAGATCGGAACTACTCTGGAGGTGTCCTGTCTTCCCAATACTCTTTGTTAAATAAGGCTTGGGTGCTCTGGTTTTGGCATCCACCCTTGTACCTTCTTTAGTACCTTTTCATATAATTTATAGATTGAGTACAGGCTGTTTTGCTCTACTCCACATTCCATTGTTTAATTTATTTGCATTTAATTCCATCTGCCATGTGTTGCTTCATTCATTTATTTTGTCTAGGTCTTTTTGAAGTCTCTTATTATCTTGTAACTTGGCATCATCTTCAAACATTTAACTCTGATTTCTGTCTGGTAGGTAATTTGTATAGATAATAAACATTACTGGTACAAGGGCTGAACCTTGTAATACACTGCTAGTGACATTTCTCCAGTCTGATACATTGCCGCTTATGACTCCTCTCGTTTATCTATTAGAAAATATTTCGTCCAAGTGTGTGTGTAATTACCTAAGTGTAGTTACAGGATGAGAGCTATGCTCGTGGTGTCCCGTCTTCCCAGCACTCTGTCATATAACGCTTTGAAACTACTGACGGTCTTGGCCTCCACCACCTTCTCACCTAACTTGTTCCAACCGTCTACCACTCTGTTTGCGAAAGTGAATTTTCTTATATTTCGTCGGCATCTTTGTTTAGCTAGTTTAAATCTATGACCTTGTTCATAGGTGTGTGTGTGTGTGTGTAATTACCTAAGTGTAATTACAGGATGAGAGCTACGCTCATGGTGTCCCGTCTACCCAGTACTCTGTCATACTGTATAACGCTTTGAAACTACTGACGGTTTTGGCCTCCATCACCACCTCACCTAACTTGTTCCAACTGTCTACCACTATTTGCAAAAGTGAATTTTGTGTGTGTGTGTGTGTACTCACCTATTTGTGCTTGCAGGGGTTGAGCTCTGGCTCTTTGGTCCCGCCTCTCAACTGTTGAGGGGTTGTGTGTGTGTGTGTGCGCGCAGGCGTGTGCGTGCTAATTAATTGTCCAAGAGTAGTTACAGGATGAGAGCTCGTGTTGTCTCCGTCTTCTCAGTACTGTCATATGATGCTTTGAAACTAATGAGTTTTATCATCCACAATCTTCTCACTTGACTTATTTCAACCATGTACTACTTTATTTGTAAAAGAGAACTTTCTAATGTTTTTTTGGCAGCTTTGTTTCCTTAGTTTGAGCCTACGACCTCTTGTTCTTGAAGTTGCAGGTTTCATGAATTCTTCATTGTCAATTTTGTTGATTCCTGTTACTATTTTGTACATAGTGATCATATTGTCTTATTTTCTTTTATCTTCTAACTGTGGTTTGTTTAACACACTACACTTTCTTCATAGCTCATGTTTTTTCAGTTCTGAAAGTTCTGAAAGTTCAGTTTTCAGTTCAATTTAGTTGCTTGTCTCTGCACTTTCTCAGATTTACTGGTGTGCTTCTTTGAAATATGGGGCACCATACAACCACGGCAAATTCCAATTTGGGCCTCACGAAAGTTGTGAACCATTTCTTTAATATTTAGCCATTCTTGGTAAAAGTGTGTGTGTGTGTACTTGCTCACATGTACATACTTACACTCACATATGTATGCATACATTTAGACATGGTTTACTTTTGTTGAGTTTGTGTGCCATTTTATAATTACAAAAATTAGTTGCACTTTCTGGTTAGACTGGATCATTAATGATTTTAGATTAAATTAAATTCAAGAAAATAATAATATATTAATGAAGGTTGCTATTAAGAATTTTGTCACATTACACTGTACTGTATAATGCTCCTAAGCTATTTGTTATCATTGGAGATAACCAAGGTTTTGACTATTTTTGACTAATTCTCTATTAATTTTACCACCAATAATAGTTTTCATTTTCATAAAATTAAATGTATAGTTAATATATCTGTGAGATTACCATTAATACATAAGAGTATTTAAATAGGAGTCCAGGGCAGTAAGGAATGCTAAGGCGAGATATTAGTTACTAGAATTTGCACGCTTTATCTATAACTTGTACAAATCTTTTTTTCCATACTGGCTAGACTGACAGATATACAATAGTGTCTAATTACTCAAAAAGACATTTTTATTTATTCAAAAAGCAAGAAACAATTACTGTTAAAGCTTTACGCAGGCTTCTGCGGAGAAAGTATTTTCGAGGTAAGTGGAGTGCGAAACACAATTGATGTATATATTTTGGTATAAAGTAGGCAGCTCACATTCCTATATACCTTGTAATACTTTCTTCTGTAGCTGTTTTCTTGATTTATCTTTATAATGGCCTTCATATTTTATCTTTCACTCAAATTGACATCTTAGGCAAAAAAAATCAACTGACTTGGTTAATTTGTTTAAAATATATTAGGGGTTTGTTAGATTGATGCTTCTATATTGGGATAAACTAAATTTTTACAATAATATAAAGGTTCATGAACATAACATTGATTACGTGCCATTGTCTCGTAATGAACGATAAGTATCTTAATGTGTGCTCCTAGTGTGCTGTGTATGGTTTCCCCTTTTGTCAGGGACAGGAAACATGTTAGGCTTATTTAGGTCCCTCCCCCCTAGATTAACTATTGACTTCCTAGAATGCAGCCCACAACAGTTACCTAACTCCTAAGTACGTAATTATTGCTAGTTGAACAAAGGCATTGGGTGAAACATCTGTTCTACCATGGGAATCAAACCCAAGAGCTTTCGGTTGTGAATCAGCTGTGCTGATCTCTGCATTATAGGACCTTTTATTTATATAAATATACATTTAAATATATATGGTGTATATCATATATGCTGGTGTACAAGTCAATCCGGTACATAGGTCGACCCTCAAAACTTTAGAGGTGTAATTCAGGTTCAGGCCTATATTCCCCACATAAGACAACCCCCCCCCCCCCTCTCCCCAGAACAAGGCAGCACCATTTTCCTTGCCCCACTGTATGGAAAGGGAAAAAATATGGAATCTCGTAAATATACAGTAGCTTAACAAATATTTACCGCATAAGGCAGGTGGTGTCGGGGGAGCTGTCATGAGGCAGGTAACACACATTTAATGCCAGCTTTGTGTAAGTTGAGTATTTATAATTGTGAACAATACGTGACAAATACCTGAGAACATTTCTATGTGCACACAATTCAATTAGGTCGACTACATTGACCACAATATAATTGGTATAAAAAGTTATTGTAAGCATCAAGGCTTTAAGCTCCTTATGTAATAATGTAACCAACTTGTCATTGTTTAATAACAGAAGATTCTACTTAGAACTGCTATGTTAATATATTCAATGTTAAAACCCACAGTTCAATTTGATAAGGAATTTTTCATATGTAAAACATGCTGTCATTTGGAGAATGTCATTTTTTATTTAATTTCCTGTAAATAATACATAATTGTTCATTTGCCAAACTCTTCATCGAGGTCTAGGACATATTTAGTAGAGATTGGTTTTTAAGAGTTCGTGTTTCCAAATTCTTTTTCAGCAGTATTTGTGTTGTTGGCAGGGAATGCATGAACTAAACTCGATGGAGATAAACTGAAGTAAGATTTGGCTGCTAAGAGAAATTGGAGTACATTCATATTATTTAGATATTCAATGTTGTCTATTTTTCTCACTTTATACTCTGGAAATTAAATGAGAATTTTATTTTGGTGTTTAAAAGATAATAATAA